ACAGCATAATCATAATAATATCTGTATTTTCCATTCTGACTATCAATTTCAGACTAGAATCTTGAGATAAATCTTTCATTTGAACTTCCACCAATGATGCAACTGGATTAAAAACACACACTTGACTTTACCAAATAATAAACCCCTACATAAATTTCTAATTAACATATAATTCATCATTCTTGGACATCTAAAGCAGATACTGTCAAAATTCAGAGTAGTACATACTTTTATTTTCTCTTACTCAGTAAACACATTAGTGTTTTTCACAAGTATAATATATTTGCCAGTCATTGGATAAATATATAAGGTTGTGTTGGAACGATGATTAATGGCAGAATTGTGCTGATGGATGTGATTATGTACTATATATAATATTATATATATCCTTCCACTTTCTCCACCAGTTCACTAATGAAGATGCAACATTTTCTGGACTTAAACTCAGCTTGACTCTGTTGCTCTGATTCTGCTCTATACTGGAAAAATGGGACACTCTTGCTCTGTTCACCAGCTGGAGTGGGCTCTGCTAAATGTGTGCACTGGACTCTCACTGCAGGCATCTTCCTATTTTCCTCCACCAAACATTCAAAAAAAACATTAGTTGAGAAGATAGAAAATTTCCCTCATTTTTTCTGTCAAAACATTGAAAAAGTAATTCATATATCAATGATTTTCTGTGTGTGAGATATGATGTAAAAATTTGTCAGTTTCTTCAAGGATAATGCTGTATTTTCTGTATATTGTCTTTTAAATAGCAGCTTATAATAATGTTAATTTTCTTTTGTGTTTTTCAAATGTTTTGTGTATATTTGAAAAACACAGAGAAGAAAATTAACATTATTGTAAGCTGCTATTTAACAGATAATAGATGAAAAATATAGCACTATTCTTGAAGGAACATGCCAAATTTTTGCATCATGTCCCACACACAGAAAATCATTGATACACATTTTTTTCTTCTATGTTTTGACAGAAAAAATGAGGGAAATTTTCTATCTCCTCAATCAATGTTTTTTGGATGTTTGGTGGAGGAAAATGGGAAAATGCCTATAATATCTACAATCAAGTGATGGAGCTGCTACTGCTCCCAGAACTCTACCTAATGCCCTGTCTGCACTCCAAACACCACCAAACACCTCTACAACCTAACCTCCTCCCTAGGGTCCCCCACTCCAATATTAACTCAAGCTAACTTGTCAGTGTGGAATATCAGACTGCTGTACTTCAATGGTGTTAATAGCTGCTGCACATGTCCCACATGTACAAGCTTATATACACAAGGAGCTGAAAGCTGTGGTTGGAGTTAGATTGGGAGGTGTTTTACAAACACATAGGTGCAGATATTCTTGTTCTCGCTGTAGGACTTGGAGTCCTTATAGCCTTGTAGAGGCCATTTTTGCAGCATCCCTTAGGTCCTCACACCATGTGCATTATCACTAACACAGTGCACATTCTTTCTGCTATCAGCTAACAGCTGCAGCTCATGCACGTGCATCAGCTCGCATTAGCTTTTCTTTGGTTCCATTGTGTATCCTTCCTCCATCCTATCCATGTCCTCCACTTGTCCATTGGTGCGTATTTAATCTCATTTGTCTTAGACTGACCATATTTTCAAAGCTATCTCATTTATATTTTCATTACTTGCATTATGGACCCTTTTTTACATATTACTGCTACCTACTCGGCTCTGAACAGCACTTCAACATGCTATCATATATACTTAGTACTTGAGATTTTTCATGTATCTTATTTTTCCCCCATCGAAATTATCATCCGTTTCCACACAAACACTTAGACTGAAAATCTAAAACCTTCAGCATACTACTGCACACATGTCTCTAATGGCCATGCTAATTTTCGCACTTTGCCCATTGCACCTATCGTCAAGCACTCCTCATGCATCATCATCACATCACATCACTTCCGTGTTCTCAAACCTTCATATATATCCTTTGGCTCGACAGCATGTTTTTGCATCTCATTAAATCTTTGGCCACTCAGCCGTGCATCATATCGCTCTTTTGGTGGCTCACTTGCACTCGCATTGCATCGGCGCAAGTTCTCGCACTCCTTCCATTCTCAGTTACTCTTATTAGTTCTAAAGTTTCCCCTCATATTTTACTTATAGGAATTGTTCTCAGTAGCAATCCCCTTGGGCCGAATCTATACTCATGTCCAGAGGTCTATTTGAGTTTGACCCCACTTCACCCTTTCTCCCCCTTTCACCCCTTCTCATCTAGCCATCATTCCTCACACACATCATATCTCACATTGATGACTGTTGAGTCCATCCCTATGGACCCTAACTCCCTACTCATGCAATTGCAATCTCCCAAGACTCCTGCTAAGTCCACACTCATAAAACACATCCCTTATTGTGAGGCCATTAGCTCACTCATGCATCTTACCATTGACACTCATCTAGACATAGTGTTTGCCATCTCAACCATTGCTTAGTATGGCACCAACCCTGCATGGCATACTGGGAGGCTATCAAGAAGATCTTTTGGTACCTTGCAGGTATCAAGAAGATGGTGCTTACCTTTGGTCAAGGCAAACTCAGCCTTAAAGGGTACATGGATGCTAATGGTGCCTTGCAGGACCATAGACACACCATCTCTAGCTATGCATTTTTGTTGGATGATGGAGCCATGTCATGAAGCTTGAAAAAGCAGGAGCTAGTGACACTCTCTATGATAGAGGCTGAATATGTTACTGTCATGCATGCAGCAAAGAAAGCCATCTAGCTTTATCATCTCATCTCTGAAATCTTTTACCTGCTCACTCAACCAACCACTCTCTATTGCAACAATCAGTCTATCATTGCACTTACAAACTTCAGCGTGTTTCACATGCACACCAAGCATATAGACATTTGCTATCATTTTGTTCAGTTTTCTATTGACAAATGTTCAATTTTACTAGAGTACTGTCCTACAGATGATATGATTGCTGACACCTTCACCAAACTTCTTCTTAGCCTCAAGGCTAAGCACTTTGCTACTGTGCTTGGACTCTGCTTAGTTTGAGGAGGAGTATTGCATACTCTAATCTCAATATGCCCATTCTGTAGGTTACATAAGCTACTTACTATTTTCTTTCACACACAATAGAACTTCCTCAGTGACTTCTATTAGTTCACTGAGCTTATGTACTTTCTGCATTAGTGCATAGCCAGGAGTGCATATCACTAGACTGAGCCAACAGCATAGTTTCATGATAGGCCTACCTTATCTCATTGCATCCACTATGTTTCAGATCAGTGTATATCATTATTGCTCTTATGTTGTAGTCCTTTATAGTGGAAGAAGACCTCAATGATTCCATCAACAACATTGCTTTTACCCCTGGGTTAGTATCACATTTCAGCTTGATATTCAAGCCTCGCATAGATGAAGCATTATTGAGAAATATTCTCAGTTAGACAGTGTATAACAGGCCTTTTTGCTTTGGGTGGCTGTGGGCAGAGCGATCTTGATATATTTTGCATGACTTATTAGGTCTGTATTTTGCCTTTTTAGGACCACTCACACCAGATATCCACTGACATAATCTTACTATGCAGTATATGCTCATCCAATGCTGTTTGACATTACTGTTCCTGCACTTTACAGATCCCTTATATACTTTTATATACTTACTTTGTTTCTATAGTCACTAGTTTGGATGCTTGGTAGTGAGCCAAATCTCTAATCTCTGACACTAGTGCTCATCAAGGGATAGTGGTGCCTCCTTCAGTTTCAACATCAATATATGATGCACAACTGGTATCCAATATGAAAATTGCCTCAAGAAAATTTCACTAGCACTTACCAAGCCTTGGACTGCAGTGCCTCCTTGTATTTCAACATCAACATACAATGGGCAACTGGTGTGGGCCTTCCCACCACATGAGGCCCACATCTGCCCTGTCAGAGCCCTCGCAGCCTGGCTGTCTGAGTCGAGGATCAAGTCTGGGTATGTTTTTCGAAAAATAGCCTCAGGTGACTGCATAGCGGAGGCCAACACCCCAATGGTGAGTTTTGGTGATGCTCTGGTAGCCAGAAACATTGCTGATGAACTTACAGACCTCTGAACAATTCTTAGAGCTTTTCCACAACAACTTGCCCTCGCGAGCACACTCCACAAGTGCAAAGTTTGCTTCCTTGCGCTCTTTGCGAAGCCTGTGAACAATGGCAGTGAACTTCAGAGGCTCACCATTGGCAGCCCTGAACCTGGCCCAGAACTGTTCTGGGGTGCCTCGTCGGTACCGCTGAAGGTTCAACGATACAGCGAGGCACGAACAATGCTCCTGACTGTATCTATAAATGTTGTAAGGTCACGCGTTGCCTAGTCTGCTATACTTGAGACGACAAGTGCGTTTGACCCTAAAGGGGAAGTGAGTGCAGCAAGGATCTAGAGGTATGTGCTGAAAGCGCTACTGGTTGGCCAATGCGAAGCGCGAGAAAGCGCAGGTGCGCGCAAGGCGCGGGAATGCGCGCGTGTATGGCGCGAAGCGCGGGAAAGTGTGCGCGTGTATACAGATACGAGAGAGAGTAAGAGTGAGTTTGCTTAAGTGATGATATGATGTAAGACAAGAGAAGAGAGATGCGAGGTGTAAACAAATAGATTTCTACTATGTTCTGCTAGGTAAATAGTGGGTAGTAACCAGTAAGTCCTCTGTCGTTCTGGTGGGAGAGTAAGTGAGTAAGTCATAGTATGTACTGCTGGCGCTTAAGTATGGTGCCTAAGCGCTGTCATGCGGAGCTGAAGCGCTACCGAGTAAGGTATGTAAAGATATATGTAAGTAAGGGTCCATGATAAAATAAAGATGGAACGATAAGCAAATGTGAGAAATGGAAATATACGCACTAGGGAACTTGGTGGACAGTGGATGGATGCTTCTGGATGGCTGGCGCTATAGGGCGCTCAAGCGCGGGAAAGCGCGCGCGCATATACATCGTGAAGCGCGGGAAAGGTACGCGCGCATGGCGCGTGTTGCGCGGGAAAGCTGCGCCTCATATAGAGATAGCTGCAGGTAGCACACAGAGTGATGCTACAAGTTCGTGCCATGTACTCCCCAGTGAAAACTGCCATATTGCACAATGAGAGGCATGAGTCTCTACACCGCTCAACGATGTCCTGTGAAACAACAAATCAGATCAGTCAAGGCCAGCTAGGAGAAGCTTGCACATACACACCAGTCAGTCCACTTGTTTTTCGTACCTTTCCATTGCTGATCATGGCCATAGCAATAGAGCAAAGGCCAGTACTTGATTGCAATCGGGTGGCCTTGTATGTTGATGATGGACATGCCCTGCCAGTGCTCCGTGCGATCATCCCACATTCCATTGAGCCAAGGGATGTCGTTGACAAAACTGATGGCAGGTGGGTCTGGGATTTCGTCGTCAGCCACTTGCAGCAATGTGCCATTCCCAAGCTTGAGAACTCGCATCCTCTTGGTGCTCGTCTCCGTGGCTGGTGCAGGTTCTTCTGGTGTACACCCAGCAGAGGTGCCCGCATCCTGGGGCTCGGCCTCGGGTAGCCAAACCTGAACTGTACTCAGCTGGAGGAGGGCACCTTGGACAATGTTGACGAGCCTTGTGCCCACACTCTGGACAATTGCATCTTGCAAGCTCGCATCAGCACCAGCGCTCGCAGGAGTGGGGCAGGGCAGGGTGCTCACAGCTGGTGCAAGCTGACCATCTGTCAGCGCATATGGGAATGCACGATTGATAGCATCAGCCTGCCCATGCAGCGCATCAGTATTGTGAAAGGAGGGGGGCAGGAAGAAGCAGTTACTCACCCAAGGCAACAGTGCTGCGACTTCAGCCATCGTGCGAGTGTCTTTGGAGCGGTGTAGAGACTCATGCCTCTCATTGTGCAATATGGCAGTTTTCACTGGGGAGTACATGGCACGAACTTGTAGCATCACTCTGTGTGCTACCTGCAGCTATCTCTATATGAGGCGCAGCTTTCCCGCGCAACACGCGCCATGTGCGCGTACCTTTCCCACGCTTCACGATGTATATGCGCGCGCGCTTTCCCGCGCTGTAGCGCCCTATAGCGCCAGCCATCCAGAAGCATCCATCCACTGTCCACTAAGTTCCCTAGTGCATATATTTCCATTTCTCACATTTGCATATTGTTCCATCTTTATTTTTATCATGGACCCTTACTTACATATATCTTTACATACCTTACTCGGTAGCGCTTCGGCTCCGCATGACAGCGCTTAGGCACCATACTTAAGCGCCAGCAGTACATACACTCACTTACTCACCCACCGGGACTCACTTACTCTCCCACCAGAACGACAGAGGACTTACTGGTTACTACCCACTATTTACCTAGCAGAACATAGTAGAAATCTATTTGTTTACACCTCGCATCTCTCTTCTCTTGTCTTACATCATACCATCACTTAAGCAAACTCACTCTTACTCTCTCTCATATCTGTATACACGTGCACGCTTTCCCGCGCTTCGCGCCATACACGCGCGCATTCCCGCGCCTTGCGCGCACCTGCGCTTTCTCGCGCTTCGCATTGGCCAACCAGTAGCGCTTTCAGCACATACCTCTAGATCCTTGCTGCACTCGCTTCCCCTTTAGGGTCAAATGCACTTGTCGTCTCAAGTATAGCAGACTAGGCAACGCGCGACCTTACAACAATTATAGATACAGTCAGGAGCATTGTTCGTGCCTCGCTGTATTGTTGAACCTTCAGCGGGTGGTGGCAGTGGGGTCAGAGGCCATTTTGCAGTCACCAAGCAACTCGGCACAACTGCTGTGTTGACTGCTTCGTGCGGTGTGCCTTGGCCTTGCTTGCTGGACCTGTCTGTGGGCCTTTGTGAGCTTTGCGGGCCCCAGGCCTGAGGCTTGAAGATGAGATGACTTGTGAGCATGCTGAAATGGATGACAGTTTCACATACCTATCCCACAAGTTTCGGTCACGACTGAAGCCTTCGAGGCGCTTGCAAAGAATGGCCTTGGTGCCTGATGAAGGTAGGTTGAGCTGGAGGCATTGCTGCCTCATTGCTTTGACGGTCATCGTGTAGCTACCCGCACCCATTAAATTCAGCAAAGGGGGGAAAGAGGGAACTGAAACTCACACAGGAAGGTAGTGGATCTCCGGCTCACCGTCCGGTTTGAAATGAAGCGGGAAAGGGAGTGACTGGTTGGCATCTCCTGGACCAGCAGCCTGAGACGGCTGCAATGTCCCGGCATCAGACAAGACAGAGAGCTCAGCTCTCTGCTCGAACGCACGTGCATCAGCGCTGCAGAATGAGTCTGCTGCAGCAGTGGTGCATGTGCCCCTGGTGGCTGCATGGCTGATGATCGGGGTCATCGTGATGATGGTGGAGTGGCAGTTCACAAAGCGGGTGTTGCGATGGTCGGTGCAGATCGAGACAAAACAAGGGCACCAGCCAAAAAACGACTTGAGTGGGATGTGCGGCCTCCACCAATGATAGGTGATGAAGAGACCGAGGGACACGACAAACAATGTCAGGGCAATGGCACCCCCCACGGAGAAACCTCCTTGTGAGTCGGAGGTGGCGCTGGGTGTGTTCGCTGCGATCTAGAGCAAGGAAATGGGGTGTACTTATCTGAACCTCATGTCTTGTTATCATAGATCCTAGATATACTATAGATTACAGACTGAGCTTGAACACTTGTAGTTAGACCCTATAAGTAGACAGATTATTGTACTTAGACTTTACTTTAATCTACTAGGTTCATCCCAGAACTTGTTCAGCTAAGCCTCTCAGCTCAGCTGCCTAAGACCGCACTTCTAAGTCACTCCCCGCTTCTTAGCCGTATCCGCTAGCCCTGTATCTCGACGAGCGCTGTCTTACCAAGATCACCAGAGGAACCCTTGACATTCCGTCAAGCCGAGAACCACCCTCAGCTTCAGTAGACTCACTCGAGTCGTCACTGAGAAGACCTATCCTAGTTCACACACGCCGACCGACGTCAGTGTAACAACGGGTAGAATATTTGTGTGCTTGAAGTTAACACATATCCTGAGTTCACGCTTTAGCCTTTATGAAGTAACGCCCTGTGGTGTCAGTGACAGACTGGAACATCTAGACGGAAAGACAGAATCGACAAACCAAACAACATGTTGCTAAATCTGGAAGGTGGTCCCTTGTCTTTATAAACCCCCGCTCCATATTTTATTTCTTCATCTCTTGTGCTCGGGCGTGTACTATCGCCAGTGAGGTCTTTACCGAGGCACAGTCTTTTGCTGATCGCAAATTACACATCTAACAGTTAGCTTCGGCTTTCAGCAATTTTTGTAAACCCCTTCGCTGTGATACTTTTGTTTGCAAAAACGGAGTGGAGCGAATTCAAGAACTTGCGCATGGTAGATGTTAATGTACATAGTCTCTACCAATGTACTTGATGTTATTATTTTGTTAATGCACAGAATACCTTTTCATATGACAAGCTTGAACATAACTAGGTGTCGCGCGTCAGGTCTCCTCAACGGCCCTGATAGCATCTAAATTTAACGCATTACATAGGATGTACTGAACGCCTTGGAAGTCACATCCCGTCCCATTATGATTCTGTGTTCATGCTCTGCGGCCTTATGTGTCCTTCAGTAAGCTAGCGCAGCGCATGAAACTTGCAAGGTCGACAAATGAGATACGTTCGAATGTTAGACGAGTGAGGTGGCAGCATGGCCGATAGAAACTCCGACTGAAAGATACGTCCATGTCTTGTCCGTCCGAGCCAGCTAGGCAGAATCAGCGCCATTACAAATTCAATGATACGTAGTGTGCAGCTGCCACATTTACAGATCTGAATTTTGGTCGGTCCATCTGCAAGTGTTTCATTGCAAGTGTCCCGGCCAATATTCCTATCTACCCACTTTGATGATGATCGTTGACTCACAATTCTGACTAGGGCCGAAGTCGCTTCAACTCCCTAGCCAGATTCAGACGAAGGAATACAGTTCGTTCTGATAAATCTCCCTCTCGTAACGCGTTACAACAGAATACCAATCAGAGGACAGTCCTGGTGAGATAGTTATATCTTCTTATATACCACCACATGACAATATGTGCAGAGCATTCCCTTTATCTTCATTGCTACAAGCAATATATTGCGACGTAAACGCCCTGCAATCAACGTAACGCACCCTAAAAGACTCGTCGGTTCCCTGATAATCGACATGTGATACTTGAGGCTGGTGCACACTTAGTAAGTTGATAATCGAATGTACGTCCTGTATGGACAGATAACAGGGTCGACTCATGACGTGGATGGTTGGCTCTTACAGAAATCCTGGATGATTGCGATCCTAAACCCTCGATAACTCAAGCTGGTCGTTCGGGTATTCCTTGCAGTGGCTATCCGATAGCCAGAATGAAGACAAGGTTCTATAGGCTATAACCGCGCCACTCGATCGGCCACGTTGTTCGACACACTGACACTATAGTTGGGGTTATCTTTGATCAACGGCGCCGGCAAAACCATATGCGCTTTTGTCGCCCGCTTCATTGCTGAATCATCTATGTTATCATGCACTCTCAGACAATCTCAAGCTTCAGTTCCTGCATCGGATAACCTTTTACGCTATGGCAGAAAGCCAGAGTAAGACTCTGTCGCCTACGGAAATCGAGAGTATTAAAATATGACGCTCGACGTCACTCTCCGTACCTACTCACCCTTTTCTTTTACATATGCGATCACTCCTAGTTGCACGCCTCATACTCACCTTCGCTTTTTATTCTCCGTCTCAATCAGCGTATTAATTTCTCTCCCCTAAAATAGTCGCGCTCAATCTTTCGAGCCGAGACTGAGGTGAGCTCTCTTATTTACGGTTCTACCGACACCTTCCTGACTGTTTCTCGTCCCTAGTTCGAGCGTCTCTTTATTTGAGACGGCATGAAACCCCAGGATAAAAACACCCAAACGCATGTTTCGAATCAAAAATCGTCAAATGAACCTATCAAGCTCGATATAGAGCATGCGTTAGTTGAGGATGATCCTCGAATATGGTCAGACACGAAAAAGGTGCGTCCTTCCCTCTTGATTTTGTAATTACAGGCTGATAGATCACATCGTACAGAACGTTGTAGTGTTCATCATATCTGGAGCATCGATTATCACAGGTTTGTGCGCGAATATACAAAACCGTGAGTTGTTTCCTTAATACCATTGCAATATCGGCTGAACAGCCGGAGGATAGCCGCCAATGCTCAAATTGAACGACAGCTACACACCAGTAGTGGGGACATCAGCCTGAGTTTGTCTCTTTCCATTCTCATTCAAGGCAGTTTTCCTATGATTTGGAGCGCAATCAGCGAGATAAAGGACCGCAAGGTTTGGATTTCTGTGTCCTGACTGCCACTGCATCAACGAGGAAAAATGATGGGTATCTTCTATGCTGCACCTCTTCTCGGACCCTCGTTTGGGTCGATTATCGGTGGTGCACTGACACAAGGCCTCGGCTGGCGGGCGATCTTCTGGTTCCTAGTCATCTGGGGAGGTATGATATTTCGGCATTCCTTTTCTTGTTCAAGGACACCTTCCGGAAGGAAAGGAGTACGACGTACCAAGATGCATTGAAGAGGAGGCTCCGAGAACAACAGTCGTCGGAAGCAAAGGACGGCTCGAGAAACATCTCAGAGAAGGAATCACAAGTGAATGACGAAGACCATACGAGTTAGAATGACATCGAAGCACAGCCGACGGTCATACCAGCATCAGCCATCAGAGAAGTACAGCTGTCCATTGTTGATGTCAACCCTTTCCCTCCATACCTATCGGTCACAAGAACGGGTCAACGTCGCTGCGATGCTCTTCCTCGTAGGATTCCTATCCATGTATGTTTCTTTCCTTTCACACCGTCTTTTGCTCTCATCCACGAGAGATGGATCTACGCGAGCACGCTGGCATACACCGTCGATGAAAACACTGGTCGCTCATCGACGGCAGTAGCGACCAACGCTTCTTTCCGTGGTCTGTTTGCTTTTGTTGCTACTGAGATCGCTGTGCCTCTACAAGTGACTCGACTTCATGATTGCTTGTGGAACGGATCCGAGTTTGGTTTTAGGATAGTATTGGCGACGGTGGTTTGCATACCATCTGGGCGGGGTTGATGCCATTACTAATTGTATTATCTTACTGGTGTTGTACAAAGGCAGGACGTGGACAGAAGCTAGTGCTGAGCGGGAGAAGCGGAAGCTGGATGGCAAGTAGATGATCATCATGGCTTCCGAAGTTCAGACCATAGATGATACTAACTATAAATATAACTATAACATTATTGTGTCAGTACTGGCAGCATAGAATCAAGGCTCGTTTGCCGTCAATTCAAGTTGTACAATACATGATCGGTATCGCGGAGTCGACTGTCGTCGATATCAAATTCATTATTTAATACAGCAACTGCCAGCGACGTTATCAGCGTTCGAGTCGACGAGCCACTTTATGGTCGTCCATACAGCAGTATTGAAATCTGATCCTCGGGTCGGGCTTGGTCCAATGATGTCAACAATATTGACTCGTGAAGGTGAATGCTACGAAACTGAAGGCGAGGACCAAAAAGCTTTTGACAAGATGGCTCATTTGTACACTCCTTGTAGTATATTTTGAACGACTGATCGTTTTGTAAACCTCTTTGCATATATACTTCGCGATGGAAAATACACAAGCGACGTGAAAGAAAAATATCGATGCGAAATAACAGGATAGCAAGACATCCGGTGCATAAATTCGACAGTTTCAAACCCGGAATCCTGTACCTTCCAATTGTGCCTTTTGTGCGCAGGTCAGGTGATGAATACACGAAAACCATTGAGCACACACCTGCGCAAATTTCTGCCCTTCGGATAACACAGGGAGGCAGGATTGCAAGCCCTTCAAGCACCACTGCATTTCAAGCCAGGAGAGGAGGTGGCGATCCCAGAAGCGCTTGAATGTATAATTGAGCTTGTTGTCCATTGGACTCGGAGCTCGTGAGAGATGAAAGACCCAATTTTGGCATGCGTACTTCAGGGCGTCAGAAGATGACTCACTTCGCTCCCGTGCTTCGGTTGCGAAAATCATGAACGCGGTCATAGCACGGATGTCCTCGATGTCTGGACAATCTTGTAAGGATGCAGAGGTGGAATGATGGGGCCTTAACGCTAGGAACGCTGGAAACATCAAGAAGTCTGGTAAGCTCCTAAATTCCTGGATTGCTTGAAAAGCTGGAGGGAAAGGCAATCGTGGGGTGATTGTGCACTCGCTGATTGCTTCCAACGTGCTTGAGAAGTTTTCCATTGTTACCCAGACAGACGCCGCAGGGGTTAACTGCCATGCTTGACCATGGGGGGTCTGTAGCCACTCTCGCCCGCTCCGCTCAGCGTCAACAGCCACTCTTGTCCACTCATCGTCCGTAGCCATTCTTGGCCATGTTTAGTCTGCAGCCCACCTGGGGTCTGCAGCCACTGTTGTCCGACCGAGGTATGCAGCCATTTTTGCCCTCCTGGGGTCAGGAGCCACTCTTGCACGCTCTCGGTAAACCACTCTAGCCCATGGTGGGACATGAGCCACTCTTGCACGCTCTTTGGGAGCAACGGCTCTCGCCCCCTCCGGGGGAGGTCCCTCCTGGTCAATGTCTTTAGCCACTTCCTGGTTGTTGTCCTCCGCCACTCCCTTCCGGCCTCTATCTTCAGCCACTCCCTCCCGGTCGATGTCTCCAGCCAGTCCCAGTCCCTGCCACTTGGTGTCTTAGCCACTGGCTTCCGCTCGGTGTTGTCAGCCACTGGCTCCCGCTCGGTGTTGTCAGCCACTGGCTCCCGCTCGGTGTTCTCAGCCACTGGCTCGCACTCGGCGACTTTAGCCATGCCCTTCCGCTCGGTATTTTCAACCACTGGCTCCCACTCCATGTGTTCAGCCATTCCCTCCCACTCGGTGTCTTCAGCTCTTCCTCACTCGGTGTCTTCAGCCACTCCCTCCCGGTCGGTGTCTCCAGCCACTCACTCCCGGTCGACGTCTCCAGCCACCTCCTCCCAGTTGCTGTCTCCAACCACTCCCTCCTGGTCGATGTCTCCAGCCACTCCCTGCCACTGGGTGTCTTCAGCCACTGGCTCCCGCTCGGTGTTGCCAGCCACTGGCTCCCGCTTGGTGTTGTCGGCCACTGGCTCCCGCTCGGCGTTCTCAGCCACTGGCTCCCACTCGGTGTCTGTAGCCATGCCCTTCCGCTCGGTGTCTTCAACCACTGGCTCCCACTCCATGTGTTCAGCCATTCCCTCCCACTCGGTGTCTTCAGCTCCTCCTCACTTGGTGTCTTCAGCCACTCCCTCCCGGTCGGTGTCTCCAGCCACTCACTCCCAGTTGTCTCCAGCCATTCCTTCCCGGTCGATGTCTCCAGCCACTCCTTCCCGGCCGATGTCTCTAGCCACTCACTCCCGGTCGATGTCTCCAGCCACTCCCTCCCGTTCGATGTCTCCAGCCACTCACTCCCAGTTGATGTCTCCAGCCACTCCCTCCCGGTCGATGTCTCCAGCCACTTCCTCCCGGTCGATGTCTCCAGCCATTCCCTCCCGGTCGATGTCTTCAGCCACTCCCTCCCGGTCGATGTCTCCAGCCACTCTCTCCCGGTCGATGTCTCCAGCCACTCCCTCCCAGTCCATGTCTTCAACCATTCCCTCCCGGTCGCTGTCTCCAGCCACTCCCTCCCGCTCAATGTCTCCAGCCACTCCCTCTTCCTGCCACTTGGCGTCTTTAGCCACTCCCTCCCACTCGGTGTCTCCAGCCACCCCCTCCCGCTTGGTGTCTTTAGCCACTGGCTCCCGCTTGGTGTCTTCAGCCACTGGCTCCCGGTCGGCGTCTTTAGCCACGCCCTTGCGCTCGGTGTTTTCAACCATTGGCTCCCACTCCATGTCTTCAGCCATTCCCTCCCACTCGGTGTCTTCAGCTCTTCCTCACTCGGTGTCTTCAGCCACTCCCTCCCGCTCGATGTCTTCAGCCACTCCCTTCCGCTCGGTATTCTCAGCCACTCCCTCCCGCTCCATGTCTTCAGCCAGTCATTCCCTCTCGATGTCTTTAGCCACTGGCTCCCGCTCCATGTCTTCAGCCAGTCCCTCCCATTCGGTGTCTCCAGCCACCCCCTCCCGCTTGGTGTCTTCAGCCACTGGCTCCCGCTCGGTGTCGTCAGCCACTGGCTCCCGCTCGGTGTTTTTAGCCACTCCCTCCCGCTCGATGTCTCCAACCACTCTCCTCCAGTCTGAGTCTGAAGCCACGCACGTCCATCCAAAGTCCCTAGCCAGGACTCCAGACCAGACCCGCGAGCTCCCCGAAGCCATAACAGGCCCATGAAAGCCTGCAGCGGCTCTGGTGGCTCGACGATGAAGGCTAACGATTGTTGCAAGTTCCGGGGGTCGTGGAGTTGCAAAGCCTGATTCTGTGACTTCAATTCTAAGAGCGCATCCATAAGAGTAGTGCGTTCTGGGATGTCTTGGATCATCAAGCGGAAAGAGGAGTCAGCGAGTAGGGAATGTGGTGCTGTGATGGGTTGTAATCCAGGGAGGTTGCAGTTTGACAAGTCTGAAACATAGTCCCGAATGGACGAGTGGTAGATATTCACGGGATGGCTGCTATCAGCGGGAATATCCATGAAAGACCGTAGCTGCATCAGTGCGGTCGCGACATCTCTGCCTTGACCAGGGCCAAGGAGCTTCGAGATCTGTGAGATCGGCAGAGGGTCTGCAAGGGCAGCAACAATAGACAAGTGCTGGTATGCCCGGCTAGGGTCCGAACAGGTGGCAAGGATACGGTTGTATAACTCATACACTTCCGTCCCAGGTAGCAGTTCATTGGTAAGGTCGAGCATGAGCTCAAGGCGATCCCGGGGGTCATTGCATCCGTCGTCGACAAACTTCATCATTGTAGATGCCACGATGAAACGTCTCCCAGCTCGGTTCGCCAGCCGCCTAAGCTTATCCGCAGTGGGCTGAGGGAAATCAGGATGTCGATTTTGCAACTTCATGAAGGAATACTGTAAGAAGATATAAATGTCATTGTCAACATCTTCACCGTCTAACGAAATGATGCCAGCAACGCTCTCCCCAGAAGTATTCACTGGTATCTCGTGTACCAGTGCGCGCATATCTTCTGTTTGAATGGCTTGACGGATATGCTCCTCCAAGCGACTCGTGAGCAGAATGTGAATCACGGGAAGTTCAGGATCACGAAGAGCTTCCCCAAGGAGGGAGATGAGATCGGCGACAGTTTCAGGTTTGCATTCACTGCAGGATTCTCGCGGACGGCTCTATTCACGTCGTTCCTGACGCCGGGAAAATTGCTCGCAAGCTGGTAAGCAAGCGTCGCAAAGAAATGTCCGGTCGTGCTGCGTTCCTTGGAATTGCGCGAGAAAAAGAATGTCCCCGCGAGCCTTGTTTCAATTTTCGTATTCTGTGTTATTTTCAGACTTTTCATTCTTTCAGCTACAGTGAATGCCACGGCAGACTTTCCGACGCCTGCCGTGCCATGCAGCCAAATGATTTGACTCTTCTCTCGCTTGTCTAACAGTCTGTGGATGAGTTTGAGAAGGTCTACTCGGGTCCCTTCCAAACATTTCGGATGGGGCTGGCGTTCAGGGGAGTCATATTCAGCGCCCAGGACAGCGACCTGGGACAGCTTCTCCCAAGTTCCTTCGGCCATTGCTAGAAGCTCGCCAAGAACTGTCATTCATGTCAGAGAGCTAGAGAGGTAAAGAGGGAAGGATATATTTACATCAATGCTAGTCACTTATCAACGTATATTGATGATAGAATGTGACACAAACGGGAAGTTGGAAAGCTGGAACTGCGTTTGAAATCAAAAGGATTAAGTAGCGAAACGATCGAGCAATGGAGATGTCAACGTTTAGAAGAGATGTTGGGAGTCTCTGAGATAGGATGGACGATTGGTTGCAATTCTATTTAAAGCCTGATGGATGGTGGTTGCACGCAGTCAAGGCGGGCGGATGACGGTCTGGCTGCACTGGCTGTCAGCTGCACAGGAAGAAGGCACGAGGCTGTACAGGAAGTTACCAAAATCCGGAATTGATTATGAACCATACACGTACCGCATCCGACTCGAACACCATATGGAATCCATGTGCATGGTCATATCAACTTTTGCTGTTTTTATTTATAATTTATGTAACGTTGCATCAATGCATATAGTGAACAGAAATGGATCTCAGAGAAGAATACCGCCAGCACCGGGTGCAATTGTGTCCATTACGTCATGCTGTGTTGTTGCCACACGTTCTCGAAGACGTCTACAGCGTGCATCAGGAAAAACGGGAAGTACTTACAACATAGCACCACAGAGGCTACATAAATCGTTGTCAGCAGGTTTCGACCTTGAACACATGTGAAAATTTTCATCCAGGTTATCATGTGCGCAGGGTAGAACAGTCTCAAGTATATTTGCAGCTATCATATATCATACACGACCAAAATTACAATGATTTGAAAAATGCTTGGAGGTCAAATCGAACCTCTCTCCGCTGGAAGCTGTTCCAGACTCGTATGAATGGTATAAAAACAAGACAAACCAACTACAACGCAGCAAACAGCATAAAAATTGTATGTCTTGTTTGACGGCATGGCTAGTTGTGTGCCTGACGTGCATGTAGCTCCTCTGCTTCAAACGAGAAGTTAAAAAATTACTTCAAAAAACAAAGCAAGTACCTCTCACGAGAGGAGTACAACAGACCCAGCACCGGAACCAGCATCAACGCAGTCCATCTTCACATCCGGCAGCGGGTGATCGCTTGTCACTTTCCAAAAGTGTCAATGCAGCATCATCGTGAGTATGTAAGTAGCCTACCAGCACGACAGTACGGAATCCCATCCTCCTTGTGTCCCCGCCACATCACAGGCGACCGCTCGTCTATGAGGTTGGCGAGCGTTTGGAGGTGGCATATGCAGCTGGTTGGAGACCACACGGTCGGTGCACTGCGACGAAATTGGAGTCACAGGCAAATATAAAGAGCGCAACGCATAAGTTCCAGATCTGCAAGAATGTAGAATGTTGTAGCAATTTTGCATGGGCAGTAAGTGCGAACCTGAGCGGTGTACATGTATACCGGCAGATATCTTATGTTCTCGTCAGTGGCTGAGACAGAAATGGTGAATAAAAGCCCAAACATCCAGTCTGTGATCGTCAGGGATAGTGTTCAATAACACTGACAACAAAGTACTAGGCGTGAATGACTCACGCAGGAAAGGCTTCGCGAGGAAAAGCACGAGACAGAGTAGATGTGTGAAAATCGGCTTCAGCGGGTTCGTCGCCACTTTGCGTCCTTTCTTTCCGGTAGCGCATCTCCACTGTGTTTCGTCTCGAATGACATTCACGATGAGCTCCGAGCAACGCAGCCCAAGCGTCAATGGTCCCTGAACGACTGCAATGTTGACGAAGAGCAGAATCCACCCCTCAAGACCGACACTTGACATATAATACGTGATGTATTTGCACTGCCTGTTCTGAAAGAATGGCCACGTTTGTAGGGTCAGCGAATAAAATACAAGCTGTGGAAGTGGTCCCAGATATACATGACGAGTGCGGCCCATCCAGCGCATGCTGCAACGATCGCTCAAAGAGAAATGACAACTTTCTGAATGCTAGGGTGAGCATGCCACGCAAAGGGCTGTATTTTTGTTGGCTTTGTTGGATATCCATCCGTGTCTACGTCAGATACATGACGCATGCACCGGAAAGTATCAGGGTCAATTGCATGTGGTGGTCGAGTGCGGCGGTCAAGTCGAAAGGTGACTCGGAGGAGCTCCACATCAATATTTTGACAGCCCGCATCGCTGACAAAGCGATCATCACCTGGAGGAAGAGCGTGACGCCTAGAATAAGAAGAGGAATCCCTGCGATGGCAACATTCTCCTCCGCCAGTGCAGGTGCCAGGCAGCCATTGATAGTCCGCACATACGATGAGTGACGCCTCGATTGATCAGTCAAGCTTCAAGGCTAACCTCTTTGTAATGTACTGCACACATCTCCGTGCACGGACTGGCTGCTGTCCGTTAATCAAGAGAAATAATAGCAAGAATGAGCTCGAGCTCGGCGACGGGCGTCCTAAAATGATAGAATTCTGATTGCTGAGTTTTAATTGAGGCGTGATGTGCTGCTATGCATGTGAGGAGTACTAGGTGAGTGATGTGTAGGCTATTACACTAAGCTTGGGATTGACGTTATTACTGGACCGTCCTTAGCGTTGAAGCAACATATATGATATGGGAGACCTGACTTGCAGACCAGGAGTACTTCTGTAAATCTCGATGATGTGACCGCCTGGTCCGCGACTCTGGGAGCATGGATGTACATATAGTAAGGAATCAGAGCACGCTCGAATCCATGGCTCGTTCGGATGACAAGCACTGGAGGTTCCAGTGACTAGCAGTAAGTGTAGTTAATGCGCACTCCGAGTCACCGTTTGGGAACGCCGCAGCGTAGACGCCCGAATTTACCATTATTTGCCAGAAATCACAGAAAACATACATGGCGTATATTGACTTTGCGAAGCAAGGTTATGTCTCTTCCTGCAGCGTTGGTCGACCAGAACATCTGCATTGTTCCATCGTTCGCTCTTGAGAATGGGAGGGTATTGCGAGGGGTCCCAGTCGCCTACAAGACTTGGGGCAAATTGAATGACGCTAGGGACAACGTTATGGTCATTTGCCACGCATTCACTGGCAGCGCAGATGTAGAAGATTGGTGAGATTTTTTTTTTTGACAACTCATTTCGGAAATTTTTTATGTATTGCAGGTGGGGCCCTCTTATCGGACGCGGGAAGGCCTTCGACCCTAATCGATTTTTCATCTTCTGTGCTAATATTATGGGCTCACCATATGGATCGGCTTCTCCTGTAACAACTAATCCAGCCACGGGAAAACCTTATGGCCCAGAATTCCCTCAGACAACGATACGCGATGACGTGCGGTAGGTAGTCTTCCAATATCCTGAATGGTTTCTGACCTGATTCATGCAGACTGCATAAACTCGTCCTTGATAATTTGGGAGTTTCCAACGTCGCTGTAGTCATTGGAGGCTCCATGGGCGGAATGGCCGTTCTTGAATGGCCTCTGTGCACCCCCCTAGGTTATGTCCGTCATATAATTCCTCTGGCAACGTCTGCGCGGCACTCTGCTTGGTGTATCAGTTGGGGAGAGGTACAACGCCAAAGCATCTATAGCGATCCGCTTTACGACGACGGGTACTATGACACACAACCTTCAACCGGTTTAGCTGCTGCACGAATGGCCGCACTTCTCACTTATCGATCGCGTGACTCTTTCGAGAGTCGCTTTGGACGTCGTCCTCAAGTTACTCCTGTCCTGGAGTCTAGCATTTTCACACCTTCTTCTATTACACTTGCTGATAAGGATCTCGCTGCTCATAATGAGGGTCACAAAAATGCGATCCGCACACGCCCTCAAACTCAAACCTCCACCGCATCATCTTCACCTCATTCTCCAACAAAAGGGCCGAACGGCACGGAGCCTAACTCATCCCCTCCACTTTTTTCAGTGCAATCGTACTTGCGCTATCAGGGCGCCAAGTTCGTGGCGCGCTTTGACGCTAATTGCTACATCCATATTACCCGCAAGTTGGATACGCATGATATCGCTCGAGGACGAACCTTCATTCTCCAAGACCCCCCATCACCGACGGCACAATCAACTGCTCTTGCCGCTGTCATTGCAACTCTCCCTCCGCGTGCATTGGTGATCAGCGTTGAAACGGACGGCTTATTCACTCCTTCTGAACAAAAGGAGCTCGCAACACACATACCTGATGCAGAGCTCGTAGTCATCTCATCGCCTGATGGTCATGACGGCTTCCTCCTCGAATTCGAGCAGATCAACACGCATATCCTTAGATTCCTTAGGAGGGAGTTTCCAGATTTATATGAGAGAGACGAGGAGGATATTCCTAAGGGGGGCTTTACGATCAAGAAGACGAGCCTGTTTGGAGAGGCTGAGGCAGGTATTACAAGGTGGCCTTGCAAGTTGTAGATCCAAGTCACTATACAGTACATGTGAGCAGCTGCATAGTCTGTGCCCTGGTACCACGTCCGAAATATCTCATTCAGAATGACATGAGAAAATGATGAGTTCATTGCAATTGACATACTTCTGTGACTTCGAGAATATTGCAGGCGTGTTTTACCATACTTTCATCAGGAAAACGTCGAGTCCCCTTTTGGCACTGAACCTTCTCCATTTAGAAATCTCGACAAACTTGCGGCCATCGTCAACAAGTTCTTGGAAGGACTTCACAATGCAACTGGCCTATCATACACGCTCCTTGCTGGTGGTCCCTCCCCCGAATCTGCCATGGTGGTTTAATTGATTGCTATAGGTTAGTTCATCTGACTCGTCTGATATCTCAATACATGTTTACGGTAGTTGACGTTTTCATGTTGGCCTCACAAAGCTGGGGAACGATTTCAGTAACTTGCGTCTGCGCAGTCCTCATCGCATGTATCTGCCCTCGCTTCTCCCACTGATAATGCGACGGTGCTGCCGATTCTTCCCCCATCCACGCAATCAGATTCTACCACAACTCACATCGATACCACACGTACTTTGCTAGTATCGCATGCCTCCCACACGATAGCTCCCACTTCTCCCACTGCTAATGCGACAGTGCTGCCGACTCTTCCCCCATCCACGCAATACAACGAAGACTTGGGTGAGGCTAATACGCGAATCTAATCTCCTCCCACTTTGACTACTGAGGCAACGACGAAGACTTAGTATATATCGTTTGTGGTTACTAATACATGTTTTATAGTAGAGGTTTAATGCATACCCGCGGGTTTACTGCGATACCCGCGCAATCCGTCAATACCCGTTTGGAAGCTCGTACCCGTTGATACCCTTGGGTACACGGGTAGGGGTATATGACAGGGTAGAGCACCCGCGGGTTTACCCGTGCTATTCCCTATCCCTTTCCCGTTCCCAGTCCGAGCCTCTCTTCATTGGGGACAGAGTATGACATCCCAGGAGACAAGCACACAAACGCATATGTCGGGTTCAAAATCGTCAAATGAACCCACCAAGCTCGATATAGAGCATGCAGTGGTTGAAGACGATCCTCGAATATGGTCGAACGCGAAAAAGGCGTGTCCTTCCCTCTTGATTTTGTAACAGCAAGCTAATAGATCACATCGTGCAGAACGTTGTAGTGTTCATCGTATCTGGAGCATCGATGATCGCGGGTTTGTGCGCGAATATACAAAACCGTGAGTTGTTTCCTTAATACCATTGCAATATCGGCTGGACAGCCAGGACAGCCGCCAATGCTCAAATCGAGCAACAGCTACACACCAATAGCGGGGACATCAGCCTGAGTTTGTCTCTTTACATTCTCGCCCAAGGCAGTTTTCCTATGATTTGGAGCGCAATCAGCGAGATAAAGGGCCGCAAGGTTTGGATTTCTGTGTCCTGAGTGTCACTTGTTAATATCGCCGAGCTCAGACGGTGTACCTTTTCTCCTTAGTACTGTTTACACTCGGATCAGCGATCGTGGCCGTATCCAGTACCATCGGTTTTGTTATCAGTATGCGTATTCTGCAAGGCATAGGGTAGGGAAGTCCCTCAGTCCCTTAATTCCTTGCTCACATGGAGTAGGGCAAGCGCAGTTCTCACTATTGGAGCTGCCACTCTGGCTGATATATACGAGCCGCATCAACGAGGAAAAATGATGGGTATCTTCTATGCTGCACCTCTTCTCGGACCCTCATTTGGGTCGATTATCGGTGGTGCACTCACACAGGGCCTCGGTTGGCGGGCGATCTTCTGGTTCCTAGTCATCTGGGGAGGTATAATATTTTCGGCATTCCTTTTCTTGTTCAAGGATACCTTCCGGAAGGAAAGGAGCACAACGTACCAAGATGCATTGAAGAGGAGGCTCCGAGAACAACAGTCGTCGGAAGCAAAGGACGGCTCGAGAAATATCTCAGAGAAGGAATCACAAGTGAATGAAGAAGACCAGACGAGTTCAAATGACATTGAAGCACAGCCGACGGTCATATCAGCATCAGCCATCAGAGAAGTACAACTGTCCATTGTTGATGTCAACCCTTTCCCTCCATACCTATCGGTCATCAGCCGTAAGAACAACATTGCTATCTTGATAGCATCAGGTGAGTACCCCCAGTGGTCCTTGCTGAAGTTGTTTCGAAGAAATCTGATGCCCTCTTGCGCGAGGTTTAATTCATGCATTTTGCTTTAGCATTATGTATACATGCGCAAGAACATTGTCGATGTATTATAATTACGACGCTTTGAAGACCAGCCTCGTCTTACTTGCCTATGGTATTGGTAGGCGAATCACGAGCAAATCACGAGCACCTCCCTGACGCATCTATCCCAGGCTCTATATCCGGCAGCATGTTAGGTGGACGTTGGTCCGATCGGACACTTGTTCGGCTAAAGGCAGCGAACGGAGGGATCAGCTTTCCAGAGGTGAGGCATTATCTTCAGCTCGACCTGTCTCTAACGCGAATTCGTGCAGATGCGCCTCGAGAGTACCAAAGTCGCCATGGTGTGGTTACCTCTTTCTGTGATTGGATACGCTTGGGTGTGCCAAGAACGGGTCAACATCGCTGCGATGTGCGTGATGCTTTTCCTCGTAGGATTTCTATCCATGTATGTTTCTTTCCTTTCACACCGTCTTTTGCTCTCATCCGCGATAGATGGATCTACGCGAGCACGCTGGCATACATTGTCGACGCAAACACTGGTCGCTCATCGACGGCGGTAGCGACCAACAGTTCTTTCCGTGGTCTGTTTGCTTTTGTTGCTACTGAAATCGCTGTTCCTTTACAAGTGAGTCGACGTCATGATTGCTTGCGGAATATCAGATCTGAGGTTGGTTTTAGGATAGTATTGGTGACGGTGGTTTGTATACCCTCTGGGCGGGGCTGATGGTCATTACTAATTGTATTATCTTATTGGTATTGTACAAAGGCAGGAAGTGGAGAGAAGCTAGTGCTGAGCGGGAGAAGCGGAAGCTGGATAGCAAGTAAATGATCATCATGGCTTTTGAAGTCCCGATAGTAGACCATAGGTGAGTATAGATGATACTAACTATCACGTTACTGTTTTACTAGCTGTGTAGAATTAAGGCTTGTTTGCCGTCAATTCAAGTTGATGCATATGATCGGTGTCGCGGAGTCGACTGTCATCGATATTATGTAATACAACAACTGCCAGCGACGTTGTTAGCGTTAGAGTTGACGAACCACTTTCAATGGTCGTCCATACAGCAGTATTGAAATTGAACGTGCTGATCCTCGGGTCTGGCTTGGTTCAATATTATGCGTCTTTCGCACCAGATTCCCGAGGACACATCTGGCTAGACGACTCCTGGGGGCCGGGGCACAAGTAGAGGCCGCCGGTGGGTCGTAGGTGAAGAACGCTAACGGCACACTTTCAGCGTCTGAGATTGGGGGCACTGGTATTCGTACGCGTGCGGGGATGAAGCGCCGCCGCGGGTTGCCTGGTGTGTGGGTGCAGTGGGGCGGTTAAATTGATGCTGTGATGATAAAGTGACTCCCTCTTCCTTCTTCCTGGTTTTAATCGAAGTTTGCAGGGATAGACACGTGCGGAATGGGGTTGGTTTACTGGTACTTCGGATACTGGACCCTTCGTTTGTACGTGCATGCTCGACTATTCGCATTTTTTTTCTTTTTCATCTTCGCTTTCGTTTCATGCACATTGTTATGGTATGGCATACATATGCTTTATTGATGTCGTGTCCATGGGGTATCTCAGATCTCACTGGGACGAAGGATACGAGTAATTTACTTGTTCTAACTCGAACTTGAAGAATATATAAATGTAATTGTTGATGACGGTCATGAGTTTCGTCAGTGTTGAACGTTGAACGTTGGACGATCAACATGTGTGCGCGAGCCTGCGAGTAAACCATGTTGACTAGGATCAGGGGCTTTTTTGACACCGGCAGGTTAGTGCTGGGGGCAGAATTATTTGCGAGCAATTGTGCCGGCATAACCGGCAGAAGCGGCAGAACCACCACTTCTGCCACTTGGCAAAATTTTCAAAGCTTCACAAGGCTATGTGTATGATTATTAATGTATGAAACACCATTAGAAGACATCAGCACATCCACATCCCACTGTCCGTTGTCGTGTGAGGTGTGATCATAGTTTGACATTCTGCCGGATTCTGCCCGCAGAATTCTGCCATCTGCCGAGCAGAACTTCACCAGTTGGCAGAATGGCGGACTTCTGCCCACAACACTAGGTCACTCAGTGACCGTACTAAGTCCCCGGTTCGAATCCGATGTCCGCATACAACTTTGGAATCAACAGACATGATATGAAGCGGCACCTACCAACCAAACACGTTCAGCGATGGATTGCAAAAAGAACGAAAAGATGCGAGGGAGAGAGGAAATGATACGCCTCAATAACTACCAGTTAAGCCTCGCCCTTTCAGCCGTGCGATGAGTTTGAACTACTAGCAGTGTCTGAGTCTTGTTCTTTGTATGCCAACTTGAAATTGCGGGTCTTTAGTACTGAGTACTGAGTACTCATCAGCCTGTAAATTACAGTGCCAGACTCGACGTTGTTCTCAAGATGTTTGGATGAGTAGACTCGGCGACAAAGACAACGATTTGGAACCTATATTCAGCAGTGTTGTAAAGGTTATTGAAAGACTGAGAATTTCAGGGTACGTGACGCTATACGCAACAAACATTCCAAATTCTAAAAATACACAAGCGATGTGAAAGAAAAACTTCAACATCACCAAAATTATCGAATTCAGAGATCACATGATATATTGAATTTTCTGACGCCGCCAATTACACATACCTGTGATATCCGACATTTGAAATATCGTATCGATACAATGACATCAAACATACCATCTGTCAGACACAAGTCATCCAGTAGAGTAGCGGTCAGCCAGATATCAGACATATCCAGATACATCCAATGTATTATGTAGAGTAATACAACGAAAAATGGGTGAAACTGAAGTAAAGTACCTAAAGGGCGCCCGCCGCCAGAGCACTAGTGTCGGTGTGGAAAGCGTTCATGAATTGCAAGTTGTTGGTACATCAATGGAAGCGAGGTATGAGATAGGTGCTTGATAGTAACGACCATGATCGAACAGACTTTTACAAGGCAGCATTCCAAAGGATAACAATAAATGGGTAGCATTCAAGACTGTCAGGTATTATTGACCAAAAAAACCCTTCACTCTCCACATGGTGTCCAAGGAAGCAAGCTGGGGAATCTGATTAGCAGCGTCATCTGGGGTTATGGTTTATTGATTTGATGACTCTGAGAATGCTTACCAGTTGAGCAAAACCTTCCTCTCCGATGACTTGTGCTACGATGGATTCTAGTTCTGCATGGGATAACTTGTGAAGGGCTGGAGTGTCATGCAGTCACTGATGCAACAAGCTGGGCTCGAATTGAATTACAAACTTCTGATAGTTGACTTTCCAATTGAACTTCATTGAAGAGATCATGTGACGCTCGAGGGCAGTGGAGGCGGGGGCATCATGTTCAGACTACTGAGAGTAGACGAGGATGGTTGGGAAGAATCAAGTAAAGAGCCTTTGGTAGAGTAGATGGAGCTGGGCAGTGCTTGGCATTGGGTGGACTTTGGGAAGATTATCCGAGGTGTTTCTGTAGGTATAACAAAGGTGCTGTCGTGAGATGGTGTAGCCATGGATGTCGTTTTCATAGAACTGCTGCTCAGAGCCACAGGAGTAAAATTAACTGGCGTCGATAGTGCGAATGCTGGTAAATTAGATTCGGATGATGGATTTCCTGAAAGAAGTGTAGTCGGCGTGAGTCTGAACGGAGCCCCACTCATTGATGGCCGAGCTTGTGAAACAGCTGTGAGTATAGTACCTTGATGGGGAATGTTGTCAATAAGGCCTGTCGTAGCTACAGGAGGGATGCGAGTGACCAGAGGCTGCAGTTGCGGATTCAATCTACAAGGACAAACAGGTTGGACGGCATCGATAAACTGAGCTGTGCTTGCTGCAGTGGTAAATGTGATCTGAAAACACCGATATACCTGAAATGCTGCTATCAAAGTTCCATATAATTTGAAGGCGAACAGAGACAAACTTTCCCGCAGAAGAAGTCTTCGCATCCAAGTAGAGGTTAATAATGGGTTTGCCATTCTGCATATTTGAGAGCACAAGGTAAGTTTAATGGAAAGCGGCATGGATACGAAGAGGATGCGGCAAGTCACGTGGACAGCTTCGAGTGCCTAGTCAGACTCATAGTCTGTGTGATGTTCAATCCTTACACCGCTGAGGCTGTTCATCAGAGCCTAGTTGTGCGTGATAAACACGGACAATACACGCACCTCTACAGCTTGCAAGGAACTGGTGCAAGCTTTGTCAAACAAAGCACCTAGTGGCAAGCATGTAGCGATGAACATCATAACGAAGTCTGGAGGACAGGATCAGCACTTGAGCAACTTGCATAATGCGAAGCTGTGCATAGTGCTTGTATTGGTGGTATGAACGGACTGGTAGTGTACTAACTGAAACTTAGAACTTTCTGTAGATGACAGTCACATGACTGTGTTTATTAACACAAACAACATGTCAATAATGCCACACTCGATCTTTGCTTGTCTTTCCTTAATCTTTTGATTTTATCTTTCTTTCCCCCACCATCATCATGGCGTGTTGTAAACGCTCTAACTCAATTGCCTCATCAGGCTCATCAGTAAGTATCCTCGTGTAGTTCGAACTCAGTATCATCCGTGGCCCTTGTACCTCCAAAGAGGGCCTCAAATACCAAGCTCAATATTATCATCAAGAAGGTGAGTGTATGCGCATATATGTATATATTATGTACTTATCTCATCCATCAGATGGATCCAGCATCGTCTACTCGCATGGACTGAAATATCCTTCTAGCATGCTTTTTCTGTCCAATCAGAGATTTTCAGAGGACACCGACAAGTGAGTTTTTTTTTGAAATTCACCTCACGTTAATCTAACACTTCGCAGAGCATTCAGTGCGAAGGTTAACTTGACCGCATTCAGACTTCTCACATGTCTATGGGCCGGAGACCCACCAGGTCAAGACTACGACAATGACCAGACGTGTTTGGTGGCTACTTGTTGGAGTGGGTGAGTGTTTTTTTTTGGTATTGTTTTAGGTGTTATTGACCTACTCATAGATCACTCATATTCCTGTTCTAGTGTCCATTCTCGATTACCCACATTCGCATACATAAGCTCAGAACAATACACTCAATTGTACCTCACTGCTTTGTACTACCATTAATTTAATGCATCACATTGTTATATCTGAACACAATTGCGATATCTGATGATTCATGGATCTGAGCGACATTTAAATGCATTATGTACATAGCAATGTTTGATATATCGGTACACTAGCCTAATGCCAGACTATAGTCATATGGCAGTCGCAATGTCAGAATTGAGTTTCCTAACATTACCTTACATTGAGACCTTGCACCAGATACATATGGCAGGTATGGTGGCTCCGACATGGTAATATATGACCATCTCTGGATTTGGTAATTTTGGTGATGAACGCGCAAAAAAGGACAGCAAGACATCCAGTGCATAACTTCGACAGTTTCAAACCCAGGACTGAGATGACCCTGTCGTTTCAATGAGACATTCCTTTGTGTGCAGGTTAGGTGCTGAACACACGAATTCATTCAGAACATACCTGCGCAAGTTTCTGCCCTTCGGATAACGCAAGGAGGCAGGGCTGCAAGCCCTTCAAGCACCACTGCCTTTCGAGCCAGGAGAGGAGGCGGCGATCCCAAAAGTGTTTAAATACACAGTTGAGCCTGTCATCCGTTGGACTTGGAGCTCCGAGTCGTGAGAGATGGAAGACCCAGTGTTGGCATGCGTACTTCAAAGCATCAGAAGATGATTGACCCCGCTCCCGTGCTTCGGTTGTGTAAGGATTCCCATTCTCTACGCACCGACCATGCTTCTAAAAAGAAGACGCTCGAACCATGCGGTCGACGTCATCCACGTGACTCACTGATGCGAAAAGTGCAACTTTTCGCATCTGAGTTTACGTGGATACATTCCTTTCCTTTCATTTCTCTTACTCTTTCATTATCTTACCTTGTGCTCAGACTTCACGATTCCTGTTTCTTCACCGATATCTCTCAACTCGCCATATGCTCCCTATTCTTGTTCCGGCCTAGTCAAGTACTCGAAAACGTATATATACTACTCATGTACACTCATACCTACAGCGAAATCCTACAGAGAATTCCCCGCTGTAGAGACTCATGCCTCTCATTGTGCAATATGGCAGTTTTCACTGGGGAGTACATGGCACGAACTTGTAGCATCACTCTGTGTGCTACCTGCAGCTATCTCTATATGAGGCACAGCTTTCCCGCGCAACGCGCGCCATGCGCGCGTACCTTTCCCGCGCTTCACGATGTATATGCGCGCGCGCTTTCCCGCGCTTGAGCGCCCTATAGCGCCAGCCATCCGGAAGCATCCATCCACTGTCCACCAAGTTCCCTAGTGCGTATATTTCCATTTCTCACATTTGCATATCATTCCATCTTTATTTTTATCATGGACCCTTACTTACATATATCTTTACATACCTTACTCGGTAGCGCTTCGGCTCCACATGACAGCGCTTAGGCGCCATACTTAAGCACCAGCAGTACATACTATGACTTACTCACTTACTCTCCCACCAGAACGACAGAGGACTTACTGGTTACTACCCACTATTTACCTAGCAGAACATAGTAGAAATCTATTTGTTTACACCTCGCATCTCCCTTCTCTTGTCTTACATCATATCATCACCTAAGCAAACTCACTCTTACTCTCTCTTGATTCCGCATACACGCGCGCGCATTCCCGCGCTTCGCGCATTCTCGCGCCTCGCGCGCACCTGCGCTTTCCCGCGCTTCGCATTGGCCAACCAGTAGTGCTTTCAGCGCATACCTCTAGATCCTTGCTGCACTCGCTTCCCCTTTAGGGTCGAACACTCTTGTCGTCTCAAGTATAGCAGACTAGGCAACGCGCGACCTTACAACATTTATAGATACAGTCAGGAGCATTGTTCGTGCCTCGCTGTATCGTTGAACCTTCACCGCTCCAAGTACGTTCGAAAAACGCCTCCGAAAGAACTCTCCTCTAGCCTTGTTATCACTATCTTCGTGTTACTCGCTGACACGTCTAAATCTCTAACTCATTTTGTTCGCAGTTCCCTGCCGAACTCATACTCAGCCTTACAGTTGCGAATGTCGTGAACGCGGTCATGGCATGGATTATCTCGATATCTGGACAATCTTGTAAGGATGCAGAGGTAGAATGATCCTGGGGCCTTAATGCCAGGAATGCTGGAAACATCAAGAAGTCTGGTAAGCTCTTAAACTCCTGGATTGCTTGGAAAGTTGGAGGGAAAGGCAGTTGTGGGGTGATTGTGCACTCGCTGATTGCTTCCAACATGCTTGAGAAGCCTTCCATTGTTACCCAGACAGGCGCCGCAGGAGTCAACTGCCATGCTTGACCATTGGGGGTCTGTAGCCACTCTCGTCCTCTCTCAGTCTGCAGCCACTCTCGTCCACCCATGGTCTGCAGCCACTCTCGCCCGCTCAGCGTCAGCAGCCACTCTTGTCCACTATTCATCCATAGCCATTCTTGGCCATGTTCGGTCTGCAACCCACCTGGGGTCCGCAGCCACTCTTGTCCGGCTGGAGTATGCAGCCATTCTCGCCCACCTGGGGTGAGGAGCCACTCTTGTGTGCTCTGGCTCAATAACCACTCTTGCCCACTCTGGGTCAGGAGCCACTCTCTCCCATGGAAGGTGTGCAGCCATGCATGCCCGATTGGAGTCTGTAGTTCATTCAGGATCTGTAGGCGGTCACGCTCACTCTGGGTCTCCAGCCACTCCCTCCCGATCAATGTCTCCAGCCAGTTCAATCTGCTTGGTGTCTTGAGCCATTCCCTCCCACTGCTTGGTGTCACCAGCCATTCCTTCCCGCTCAGTGTCACTAGCCACTCCCTCCCATCATCTGTCTTCAGCCACTTCCTTCCGCTCGTTGTCTCCAGCCACTCCCTCATGCTCGTTATCTCTAGCCACTCCTTCCCATGTTGTGTAGTCAGCCACTCCCTTGCATTCGGTGTCTCCAACCACTCCCTTGCATTCGGTGTATTTAACCACTCCCTCGCGTTTGGTGTCACCAGCCATACCCTCTCATTCGGTGTATTCAGCCACACCCTCCTGCTTGGTGTCCCCAGCCACACCCTCCAGCTTGGCATCTCCAGCCATTCCCTCCCACTCTGTGTCTTCAGCCATCCCTTCCCACTTGGGGCCTCCAGCCATTCCTTCCCACTCGGAGTCTCCAGCCATTTTCTCCCACTCAGAGTCATCAGCCATTCCCTTCCATTCCATGTCACCAGCCACTCCCCCCCGCTCAATGTCACCAGCCACCCCCTCCCATCCTGTGTCTCCAGCCACTCCATCCCACTCAGTGTCCCCAGCCACTCCCTCCTGCTCGGTGTCACCAGCCACTCCCACCTGCTTGTTGCTTGATACGACCATTCCCTCCCACTTAGCATCTCTTCCAGCCATAACCCCCCACTCGGTGTCTCCAGCCACCCCTGGCCCAGTGTCTCCAACCACACACTCCCACCCGGTGTCCTTAGCCACATCCTCCTGCTTGGTGTATTCAGCCACTGCCTCCCATGCTGTGTCCCTAGCCACTGCTTCCCATGCTCTGTCTCCAGCCATTCCCTCCCACCCGGTGTCTCTAGCCACACCCTCCCACTCAGGGTTTCCAGCCACACCCTCCCACTCAGGGTCTCCAGCCATACCCTCCCGCTCGAAGCCTCCAGCCACACCCTCCCATTCGGTGTCACCAGCCACTCTCGCCCCCTATCTGCATCTAGCCATTGTTGCCTGCTCTCAGTGTCCAAAAACTCTCGCCCACTCTCAGTGCCCAGCCATTGTTGCGCATCCCCAGTGTCCAGCCACTCTCTTCCATTTCTCTTCAGCCACTCTCTTCCAGGCGCGGTTTGCAGCCACTCATCATGGGTCTGCAGCCATTGTCGGCCACTCAGGGTCTGAAGCCACTCTTCACCCCTCTGGGTCTGCAGCCATTCTTGGCCACTCAGGGTCTGTTGCAGCCACGCTTGTCCTGTCGAGGTTTGAAGCCATTCTTCCCCGTGTCGGCTCTGCAGCCACTCTCCTCCAGTCTGAGTCTGCAACCACTCTCCCCCAGTCTGCTGCAACCATTCTTGCCCAGTCTGGGTCCATAGCCAGCCTTGTCCGTTGATGGTCTCCAGTGAGTCTTTCCCGCTCCAAGTCTCCAATGGCATGTACTTGTCAGGTTCTTCAGCAACTTGTTGCCGTCTTTGAGTCCACAGCCACCCTGGCCCACTCTGCAGCCACCCTTGCCCTCTCTCGGTGTGCAACCAAGTTTTTCCCATGTGGGTCTGCAGCCAATCTCCCCCACTCCAGGTCTGCAGCCAGTCTTCCCCATTCTGTGTCCGCAAATAGTCTTCCCCACATTGTGTCTGCAACCACGCATGTCCATCCAAAGTCCCTAGCCAGGACCGCAAACCCAACCCGTGAGCTCCCCAAAGCCATAACAGGCCCATGAGAACCTGCAGCGGCTCAGGTGGTTCAATGATGAAGGCTAATGATTGTTGCAAATTTCGGGGGTCGTGGGGTAGCATAGCCTGATTCTGCGACTTCAATTCTAAGAGCGCATCCATGAGAGCAGTACGTTCTGGAATGTCTTGAATCATCAAGCGGAAAGACGAGTAAGCGAGTAGGGAATGTGGTGCTGTGATGGGTTGTAATCCAGGGAGGGTGCAGTTTGAGAACTGTGAAACATAGTCCCAAACGGATGAGTGGTAGATATTCACAGGATGGATGCCGTCGGCAGGAATATTCATGAATGATTGTAGCTGTACTAGTATGGTTGCGACATCACTGCCTTGACCAAGACCAAGGAGCTTCGAGATCTGTGAGATCGGCAGAGGGTCTGCAAGGGCAGCAACAATGGACAAGTGCTGGTATGCCCGGCTAGGGTTCGAACAGGTGGAGAGGATATGGTTGTATAGCTCATACACTTCGGTCCCAGGTAACAGTTCATTCGTTAGCTCGAGCATGAGCTCAAGGCGATCCAGGGGGTCATTGTATCCATCGTCGACAAACTTCATCATTGTAGATGCCACAATGAAATGTCTGCCAGCTCGGTTCGCCAGCCATGTAAGTTTATCTGCAGCGAGCTGAGGGAAATCAGGATGGCAACTTTGCAACTCCGTGAAGGAATGCTGTAAGAAGATATAGATGTCATTGTCGACATCTTCGCCGTCTAACAAAATGGTACAAGAAATGCCCTCCCCAGAAGTATTCACCGGTATCTCGTATACCAGTGCGTGCACTTTTTGAATGGCTTTACGGATATGCTCCTCCAAGCGACTTGTGAGTAAAATGTGGATCACAGGAAGATCGGGATCGTGAAGAGCTTCCCCAAGGAGGGAGATAAGATCGGCGACGGTTTTGGGTTTGCATTCATCGAGGGCATCGATGACAAAGACCAGAGGCGGACAGGCACGTAACCTGAATTGCAGGTGCCGGAGAGGCTGGCGAAATAATACCTTCATCTGATCACAAAGAGATTTGCTGGAGTCTAGAACGGCAGGATTCTCGTGAATAGCTTTGTTCACGTCGTTCTTGACGCTGGGGAAATTGCTCACAAGCTGGTAAGCAAGGGTCGCAAAGAAATGACCAGTCGTGCTGCGTTCCTTGGAATTGCGCGAGAAAAAGAATGTCCCCGCGAGCCTTGTTTCAATTTTCGTATTCTGTGTTATTTTCAGACTTTTCATTCTTTCAGCTACAGTGAATGCCACGGCAGACTTTCCGACGCCTGCCGTGCCATGCAGCCAAATGATTTGACTCTTCTCTCGCTTGTCTAACAGTCTGTGGATGAGTTTGAGAAGGTCTACTCGGGTCCCTTCCAAACATTTCGGATGGGGCTGGCGTTCAGGGGAGTCATATTCAGCGCCCAGGACAGCGACCTGGGACAGCTTCTCCCAAGTTCCTTTGGCCATTCCTAGAAGCTTGCCAAGAACTGTCAGTCATGTCAGAGCTGGAGAGGGAAGGATATATTTACAACAGATATTGACGATAGAATGTGACACAAAATGGGAAATTGGAATAGGATACGTCGAGGAAGCACTAGTTTGGTTTAATGGTGTAACTGGAAATTGTGATGGTGATAGCTATCTCGGAGAGGACAGCAAACGATGTTAATTGAGGAATCGATGTTAAGCTGTAGCTTCGTTTGAAGTCAAAAGGGTTCAAGTGGTGATGGTAAAACAATTGAGCAACAAAGATATCACAGGATGTGTGAGATGGAATGGACGGAACTTGGTAGTAAGTTGAAAAGATAAACGAGCGCTTGTCTGCTACAGGAGTCCGATCGGAGGACACGAGGCTGCGCAAGTTGCACAGGAAGTTTAGGTAAGTACTAACCAAAATTCGACTCGGAAAATGTCAAAGTTGAATTCCAGGCGGCCTACTAGTACGCGTACTGTCATCCATATTAAATAAACCATGTGCTGGTGGCACTTCACGATATGACGTGTTGGAGGGGAAAGCTGTATTGGAGTCCAAGTCGTCCAAGCATGAATGTTTGCCAAATTGCTGAACATTGAATATATATTGAACACCCGCGAAGCTGGAGTGAGCTTGAATGTGACCTATCATGATATCGCATTACAATGACATATCCTTGAAACATTCTGCATCTGGTGTATTGATTGAAGGGTTCAGATTCAAATCATCATCGACTGGATCCTTGATGTCAAGAGCAGGCTTCGTCTTTTGCACTTAGTAGTGGTGGTACCATTCTGATTCAAGTAGCCTCATACACACATAATATCGTGTATCAATACAAATACCCCACAAAAGGATGCTGTCATAAAAATGGAGGTAAGAACAAAATGCACAAAGGACAAAGATATCTACTCATCATCACTGAGTGTCAGCCTGTATTCACCTGTTTGCAACCAGCACTCTGAGCCCTGCCCAGCTGCAGCCACTCATCTTCATCCATAGATGTAGGCACAGAGTTGTCATATGCTGCAGAGCTCAAGGGTCCACCTAGAGCTGGTGAGGCGCCAGCTAGCCCTGTCTCTGCAGTGACAACTCTCCAAAGTGCTATGGAACACTTTTTCTATATCCTCAGTGTCTATGTATACCCACGAACCCTCCTGGTTATACGTCTGTGCGTTGTTGAACATGAGCTCCCAGTCCTCTTTGTAGTGCATAATACTTTCGTATTATCCAGTATTACCTCACTTTCGAGGTGTGGACAAGGCAATCGGATGTGTGATTGACTGATAATAGTTGGGATAATCCTGAAAGCCACTGCAGCATGGAACCAGACGCCTTCTACTCACTCTCTTGTCAGGATTTAGACACATGAATGTTTATGGAAACCACCTTCATCCGTCATATCAAACTCTTCTGAGAACGCGCAGGATCACATACAATATTGCAGACCAGCTATGATATCTCTTGAATAAGTTTTCCATCAGTTTTGCGGTCTACCTGAAATACATAAAGAGCACTTACCAGCTGGAATCGTCTAACGACAGTAAGAGCCCCACCTTGACGCTTCAGGTAGACTGTCAAGTTACCATTCTCTGCCCAAGGACTGACTATCGCTGGAAATGGGCCGAAGCTGTGCACATAACCATAAATGGGTAGAATATTTGTGTGCTTGAGGTTAACACATATCCTGAGTTCACGCTTTAGCCTTTATGAAGTGACACCCGGTGGTGTCAATGACAGACTCGAACATTTAGACGGAAAGACAGAATCGACAAACCAAATAACATGATGTTGCTAAATCTGGAAGGTGGTCCCTTGTTGGCCTTTATAAACCCCCGCGCCATATTTTATTTCTTCATCTCTTGTGCTTGGGCATGTGCAGTCACCAGTGGGGCAGGTGGACTCCCCCACGTAGGCGCTCCGAGAAGGCGACGGGTGAGATCTTCAACAGCAAGAGAGTTCTACTGGAATATTGCATTCGTGCTCTGCTTCGGATGGCCTCAAGTCTACCTTATGCGTCCTTTAGTAAGCTAGCACAGCGCATTGCAAGGTCGATAATGAGTGGAGGTGTTGATCAACAAGTTAGGTCAGGTAGCAGTATGGCTGTGCAGTGGTGGCTGACATAGTTTGCGTCGTTGTGGCTAACATGATTTCGACTATATTATGATCGCGATATATGACTTCTCTAATCGGACTGCATCGTGTACTTTTCACATACAAGTTGGACATGTACGTCTCGCACTCTCTCGCTGACTCATGACTAGGGCCAAAGTCGTCTAATCAGACGAAAGAATATAGTTCCAGCTTCCTCTCTTAACATATCACAACAGAATGCATGGCAATCAGAGGACTGGTAAGTTATGTTGTCTTAGAGTCTGTTCGGCCACCATTATTTGCGCAAGTTAGAATTTGGTTCTGGCTTTGCTAATCGTCGGAGCTTGAACAAGATGTCACGCTCCGATAACGCTTACTGTATGCCTTATCCTACTATCAATCCAATGCCTCTTGATCCTGATTATGACGAGGACGCTAACGAGGACAAATACGACCTTGTGGAGGCAGAGGATATGGACAACGATGCAGAGGAGAGTGATAAGAAGTATCTGGCATGCATCATGCAGATGGCCATGCATGCTATGCGCACAGTCATTACAGTCCTCAACACAACAACTACCGCGCTCGAAGCTTACTCAAACACCTACTACGACAAAGAGCCGTATCATACCTCCGCTTTGTCGGGGACTGCATGGGTCACCGAACTTCTCACTGGACACCCTGAATGCATCAGATGCGAGCTCGGGGTCCACAAGCACGTTTTCTATGTGCTCATCAATCTCCTTCGGCAAGCAGGATGCAGAGATTCCAGGCATGTACTGCTAGAAGAGCAGCTTGCTATATTTCTCTATGCGTCTGTCACGGGTCTCTCGATTCACCATCTTGGTGAACGCTTTCAGCGGTCCAATGAAACAATATCAAAGTACGTATATTGTTGCTGTCCTGGTATCAAGCTTATGTTCTTTCAGGTATTTTAAACAGGTTCTTTTCGCATTCTCCTCGCCACCGATATATATGACATACGTCCACCTGCCCGACGTAGATAGCCCTCCTCCCCCCGAAATCACGAAAAACCCGAAGTTCTTCCCGTTCTTTGTTGACGCTATCGGAGCCATTGACGGTACACACATCGCATGCCATCCTTTTGGTGAAGATCGGCATGCCGCTTGGGATCACAAGGGGAACTTCTCTCAAAACTGCCTCGCGGCATGTTCATTCAACCTTTCGTTTACCTACATGTTGAGCGGTTGGGAGGGGTCAGCTGCAGATGCTCGTGTCTATCACGATGCTCGTACTACCGATTTCAATATCCCTGAGGGAAAGTATTATCTTGCGGACGCTGGATTTGGCTCGTGCGATGAGCTTCTGGTCCTGTTTCGGGGCGTGCGTTATCATCTTGCAGAGTGGGGTCGTGCTAATACTTTGTATGATGTGTTCTGCTAGTACCATTCATACTTATGTTCACATCATTACATAGGCCTTGTAATCGCAAAGAACTTTTCAATTTGCGTCATGCAATGCTTCGAAATGCTGTTGAGCGCATTTTTGGTGTCATCAAGCGCCGATTTCGTATCCTTCTCCTCCCGCCAGAGTACAAAATGGACATTCAAGCGCGCATTCCTCCTGCCTTGTGTCTCGTGCACAACGTTATTCGAGTTCACGATCCAAACGACATGATGGACTATTGTAATGTGTTAGATGTGCACATTCTCACTGACACTGGAAACCTTGCTAACGGTCCTCCTACTGAGCACGCACGCACTCGTGCGAGCCTCCGTCGTGACCAGATTGCTAGTGAGATGTGGGAGGCCTACAACAGGGAAAGGATTCAGAGGGGGGAGCAGGCAATCATAGAACCACTAGTACTGTAGTCGCGTTAATACCATAGCCGTTCGGACCCTCATCGATGACTATGATCCAAAGTATCTCCGTCAAATGATGACATTGTTGTCAGATTAAGACCAGACCCTCATCGATGACTATGATCCAAAGTATCTCTGTCAAATGATGACATTGTTGTCAGATCAAGACCGGACCCTTATCGATGACTATGATCCATAGAAATAGTGATATTGCTTTGCTACTACAAGTACAATACAAGAGAACACGACACGACAAGAATACATGTAACACTACTTTGAATGCTGCTCTAAAAACAACCACCGAAGACTATCTACCTCAATAGCGAGATAAATATCAATGATAGCGATGTCGGCCTGAAATTTATTCAAGATATTGAGTAGTTGTACGTCCTCTAGACCCTCACTCTGCAACTTTTTCACCACCTTCTGCCTGCGCAAAGGGATGGGATCTACTGATCGCGCCAAGGTGTTGGAGGTGTTGGCCTCAAGAGCATTGGCCGCGCGCTCTAACGTCGTGTTAAGACCGCCAATATTAGTCCCCATATGCTGGATGGCCACAGGCATCGTCAGGCATGCAGACTTTGCCGAGTCTCCCGATTTCGTTGAATGTGGGGGGCGGGTAACGATATCAAGCGTACTTTCGTCATCATCAATCAGCTTCCATTTACCGGAAGCTGTTGATGATGGCGCACTAACACGGACCGACTCAAGGGAGGGTTGCTGTGCAGCGTCGAATGGAGGGAGGCTCTCTGGGGTGAGGGGGGTTGCGCGCTGGCCGCCTGAAATAGAGCCGGGGAACTCGATCCCATCGAGCGCATCTCCAAGGTCCATCATATGGACCTCGTCAAAGGAAAGGGGGGTGACTGCGCTGCTAGAAGAAGGTGAAGGAATGATGGGAGGTGGTGTCGCAATGGTGGCAAAGAACGAGTTGTTGTTACCTGGCTTGACAGGTATGAGACCTTTCAGCGCCTCATAGTGCTTCCAACCCTTGTCCCAGAGGCCTTTGGCCTTTGGATTTTTCTATTGATTCATAGTAATTAGCATTGTCGTAGTAGTTTGATGCGAATTAAAATCACTTTACCTTCACAAAGTCAGTCCACATGTTTTCGGACTCTGGAGTGATCGAAGCTCCGTGTTCCATGCTGTAAGATAGTCCGGAAGCGTTGGCCACTTTGTCGACGACATTGAATGTACCACGGAGCTGAAACTCGATCATTAGTGAGGGTACCAAGGCTGATATAGTAGTAGTACATACCCGCCCCCATTTTGATTGACATGCTACCGCTGTTTTGCTTGCACCCGAGCAGGGGTGTTTTTCCATTTCAGCGGCAGCAGCAACCCAAAATGTGTGATCAAAGTTCATACCATCACCACCTTGTGAGCGGTTGGTGGTGACATACTGGATGAGGATGGTTTCGTCTGCTTCCGTCCACACACACCGATCTCTCGCTTCCGTTAGCTCTGCACCACCACGGGCACTTTTTCTGCCCCGAGACATCCTGTAAGAGTTGCGATGATGGATAGATTGTAGACAGGTAACGGGCATGCCTACTACTTAGTATTGATTGATTAATAAGGTTGGTCACACTGTGACCAGCACGGTCCTATGATTATGAAAGCAAAATATAGATTCTAAACCTGCGTAAACTGGCGCAAATATTGGTGGCCGAACAGACTCTTATATACTAACCATTACATGACAACACATCAGGAAAACATCGAGTTCCTTATTTGTCCTTATATGCCTTAATTCACATAATAAGGAATATTAAGTCTGTTTTTTTCACACTTAGAATAAGGAGAATAAGTAGGTCGCTCGCCTTAAACTAAGGAAAGTTCCTTAGAATAAGGAAATTAAGGCAGTCAAAGTGATGTCAAAAAGTGCACTTCATTTTCTACCACAGAGCTGGTTTGAACTCTTGAGATCACATGATCAATTCCCAAACTGTCAAGCAGCTTTACCAGTAGACTATATTACCTTGTACATATGCAGGCAGCAATTGATATATATATACCATATCCACTGGACTTAGAATAAAATACAAGTCTACCATTAGGATTTTGATAAGTGACGATGGTAGACCATATGAACTTTTTCGAAGAAAATCAAAGTTGTAACCCTTGTCAAGGGTAGTCTATCCATAGTCTCATGACATTTTTTGGTTAAGATCCTAGTGAGTTATAAGCAAAATACTAGAAAGTGGTGTGTTCAAGAAAGTTCAGGCACACAAGTAATCTCCTTAATTCTCCTTAATTCTCCTTAGGCTGACTTGCAGCCACCATGTGCCTTAGAATAAGTATAATTAAGTATGAAATCACTCCTTAATAGTCCTTATTCTCCTTAGCCGCCTTAGTAAATTTGTTAAGGAAATTAAGGGACAAAAAGGAACTCGACGTTTTCCTGATGCATCAGTGAACCAGTGAGTCCTTGATATTGTAGGCATGGCTATTGTAATCAAATATAATCTGGATATCGCACTGTAATACTATGGATACCCAAATATATTTGTTTCGCGATGGAATGTATATGAATTATATCAAAATACAGGAATATGATCAAAGTTTGTGGCGAGACTGCAGGGGAGCGTGATCACAGGAACAAATGGATAGATATCCACTTTTCTCAACCTTGGTGTATGTTCTCGTTTGTCAAGTCCTTGAGATCGTAGATATGGCTATGTAATCCAACATCATATTGCTACCAAAATTGTATGACTTTTTAAGGCTTTCCGACGGAAAGCTGCTTTCGCATCCGATAAACAATTCTAGAGCACTGTGCCAGTTCTCCACAACACTATGACATATCACAATCACTCAAGACAATTAACACTACTCCAGACGTGCTAGTTTTATTGAAGGTACTCATATTCTCTCACCTATGCGTCACATTACATGACTTTTGAAACAAACAAATCTAGACCTGTTGTTGTTTGGCAAATCCTTTGGATCCAAACAACCGCTTTGCATGATGCACTTCATGTGACTTCTCCAGGATGCTTGACAAAAGTGAGTTGATTCTGTTTCCTCGCAACTGTCTGTTATTCTTGCTACTATGCTACGCTTAATATTTGTGTGGTTCTAAATGTACAAATGTTATCATGTCATCCAAGTCCTTTGGTTGAACTGAACATATCCAAAGTTTCAGAGCATAATGGTGCTACCTATACATTGCATAATAGCCTGTGAGCATTAGGGACGAGGATGCTAAGTTTAGCGTTGGTGTCGCCAATCGCCAGCGTCCGAGTCTAGTGAAGGACATACTGTTCAGGATCTAGAGTTACCCTACTAGTGCATGGCACATGTCAACCAACAATCCATCAAACCTCAACGTTTCATCATGAGACAACGCGGGCAGGCGAGACTTCATGGTTTCATAATGGGCCCTGTTTTCCTCGGACTCCAACACTATAGCCCCAGACCAAGGGCCCGCCAAACCTTTCTCCAGCGACCAACTGCGTGAAGTTGCTGCAAGGAAGATGGCATTGGTGAGGTAGTGTTTCCAGTCTTCTTGGTCGAAAGAAACGTAATGAGAGTACTGCATGTTGTTTATTATATGTTCTAGCAAGTCAAAGATGGCCAGGTGGCCAAACGGGATTCGGTACATTATAATTATCCCATTGTCCATAGTCATCTATAATGAATATGCATCATGACATGAAAATAAAATTTCATTATGACCTACCTGAATGACCTCATCGGCGAATAGAAAATTTGACAGCAGGGCAGTCAGTCTTGTGATCCGCGCTGTTTGCATGTCAAATTTAGTCATGGATATGTTGTGACTCAATGCATAGGCAGATATCCAAGAGAACGTGGCGACCTGCTTGAAGTCATTGTGTATTTCCTTCACAACCGCTTTCATCCTCGCAAGTAAATTTTTACCATCTTGCCCAGATTTCCAATGGACAAGATCAACCCCATTAACACCTTTGGTGGTAGAGAACCGAGTGATTGTATCGTCCAGTGCTTTCTTAGCGATAGCAGAGTTCTCTTTCGTGGATGGGAAAAGGTTTTCTTTGAATAAAAACTTAAACATGGTCGTTCGAGCATCCTCTTTTACATCTCGTATAAACTCCAGCGATGTGAAGACTAGTGACAACGACGAGGGCGCCTGTATCATGGACAAAGGTGATTCCTGGGGGATTTGTTTGGAGGTGAGAAACTTTGTCCGAGAGCATGTAGCTTTACGGCTGCTCAGTCGAACACTCTGGCCCAACTTTTGTGTCACGTGAGGCATGGGGTCAGAGGGGGGCTGAGGGTCGTTCGAGTCACTGTGAGATCTCGCGAAGTAGTACTCGTTGTGCGAGCTGCTGGATGCCATAGTATAGGCGTCAGGAGGGAGTTGAAGATTGTGTATGGTATGCAGAGCCATGGAGTCGTGGACGGGACCAGCATGAGGGACAGGACCAGTGTGAGGGACGAAATCAGTGTGAGGGATGGGACCAACGTGAGGGACGGGATCAGTGTGAGGGACGGGACCAGCGTGAGGGATGACGACCGCATTGTGCCCGTCTGGGAATGTATGCAGCGGTGGCTCCATACGCAACTGACTGCTGCTGCCCGCAGACAGGTAGTCACCGTGAGCACCAACTTGAAAATTATGGGCAACTTGAAACAGTGTAAATGAATGATAACGAAACTCACAATTGGTGCTAGTACTACCGTCGTTGTAGCCTTGCCAGGGAGTGTTTGAGTAGCCGTCGTATAGGTGAAGACTATGATACCCTGCGTGAAAATGACAAACGTAAATGTGGCGAAGAAAGATAATATTCAAACAACATTTACCATGACCGTAGTTAAATAACTCTGCATTATCTGAGCTCTCATGCACATTCAAGTTAGAGGAATTAGCGGCCTGAAGATCATCGCCATACCCCAGCTGGGGGCTGTGAGCTTGAAGCGGAAGAACATTAATAGATCTTGCTAAAAGGTTCGAGGAGAAGCAAGACAGACCTTGAGCATGGTAGCCACCTGCTGGTACTAAGTCAGGTTCAGGCTGCAGCAGACTCTCCTGCAGTGATCATTGACCTGAATCAGAACGATTGAGGTGTGGCAGGCCGGACCATCCTGATTCAGTGTGACTCGGTTGCCCAGGGCCATGTCAATGCTGAGAGTCCGAGTCAGGCTGCCAATCCGAGTCAAAATTCAACATATCTGAGTCTGGATGACGATGTCTTGCGAGTAGTAGGAGTGTGGTCACGATACAGGTAGCGTAAATTCGAGTTGAACACGGCCGCGGCGGGTACAAGAGGGCCCCACTGATCAAACCCATGCCGGCTGCGATAACAGATCTATTAGACAGTGTCACCGTTAATTGGATAATGAGTGCGACTTACTCTTCAATTTGTTGCAAGATTTTCTGGCCTCTGTAGGCAGACGCGTCCGATTGGAAGGAAAAACATGTATTCCTGCTTTCAGACACGTACAAGTTGGGCAATCTACGTTAATTCCCGTTGTCATGAGGTCAATTAAGGTTTGGGGTGGTACTCATGTCGTTGATATATGGAGTTCAATTGAATTGTACCTAGCCTCATGTTACACACATGAAATTCGAACCATTGTCCAGATTAGTCATGCCAGCCAACTTCGGAAATGTTGGCCGCTGCAACCCCGGGTCGATTTACACCATAATGACTCACTGAGTAGTACTAGCCCAGTCTAACGTCAGATGCTGGCAGTACTATAGTACTATGATCCCAGGCGTCGGTAATCTAACATAGTCAAAACCGCGTCCCATCAAAGTAAGGTGAAACTTAAATTACAAAATCTAGCATAAAAGAAAACCAGCATCAAGGCTGCCTTCTTGATATCTGATATTGAAAGGCATCTGGTAGCCAACAACTATCGATGAAGTACATGTGTAACCTATCGCAACAAAAGTTCGAAGTGAATGTTGTAGATCTGATAACGATACTGTCACAGGGACAAACAGAAGGAAACAGAGAATAACAATGGGGACCTCATGCCCCACATCACAATTGGTAAAGTTACAGGGGAAACTTTGTCCCAGAACTATTCCTATCGCATTGCATATGTTGAGACAATGAATCTAGCACATGGTCAGCGCAAAGCCAGGCAAAAGGCATTTATACTGAGTACTTTAGCTGTTACATGGTGATGAAATTGCTGCAGTTCTTAATGTCTCACCCCTGGATCGGTCTTCTTCCGAGTGCGTGAGAGCGATGCCAGAGTCATCAGATTCGTCTGAGTCTGTGGCTTTATGATCATCAGCAGCGACATTGCTTGTAGGTGAATGAGCACACTTACATGTATTCTCGAGGTAATCCAACTGTGTGTCTCCAACAGCGAATGACGTTACATCATGGCTGTATGCAGCGACACCAAAGTCTATCCGATCTTTAAGTTCCTCCTCACTACAGCTAACGAGCCCTTCAACTGACGTGCCAAAAGGCTCACTGCCAGCACTGGCATATCTTTCACCTTGATCTTCAAGAACCATGTGAAGGAACTTCAAGTGTTCTTCACTCGCATAGATTTCCCAAGCCGTTGCCAGACAACACACGCGCCTCCATTCAACGTCAGCGTGCATCGTAACGACAGCTTGAGCTGCAGCTTCTGAAGACAAGTTCTTCAAACGGCGCCGGAGCACATCTTTGGTCTGGTATGTTTTTCTCAATGAGCAATTTGTCCAATTTATATACAAAATAACATACCCGCTGAGCATCTGATACACTCAATGAGCCACGGTGAGATAACTGGTTATTAAAAAAGCGGCGATCCTGTGTGTTGGAGCTATCCTTTATGCGAAGCATTGGGCTTAACTTTGCACGCTTGACAAAACGAGCAAGATCGTTGATTATGGGTGGAGGAGTTATAGGTCTAAGAATGCTGTCGTCGGTTTTGTCAGATGATGGCAACCTGGCACGTTTGGCTTGTGAGATATGTTGACTGCGAGTCTTACCAATCGTCCGAACGAGAGTGGGAGAAGGCTCGAGTATGCCCAAAGGAGGATCAGTCTCGCATTGACTGGGCTCATCTTTGTACTCGCATTCCTGACTCGACCCTCTGGTCAAGCTTGGAGGAACATGAAAGGGCATTCTTACTGTGGGCTGGTGAGTAAGTGGGAGGGAACTGGGTTCCGAAGGGTTGAACATAGTTGCTTATGAGTACGTGTACGTATAACACTTGTTATTATTAGCATTTCCATATTGATTCTATGTCGTATAAGGAAAAATGATAAGGAATTTGAAATTGGAAACAAAACTCCGGAAACATGTGTACAATGCTGAGTGCTACAGCAACGATTCGAGTTCTCAGATGCACTTACCGAGCTGAAGCTTGTATTCGGCAACATACCCATTGTAATCCATGCGGCTTTTACAAGCTTTCTGGATCCTGCTGGTTTTTTTCGATGGTGTCTTGCGGAGCTCGAGGTTGTTCTTGGCAGAAGGCAACAGACAATCGAGGACTGAATAGACATTGAGCGACTTGCAGTTTTTTCAAAAGGTCTAGCATTCTTGCAAGACAGAAAAGACTAGAGCTCGCGAGGGGTTCGACTTTGTCTAATTTAGTTGCAAACATGTCAATGAAGGCCCTATCACAAGTGAGTTGGTTGGCTTCTTGGTCAGAGCAGGACTTAGTAAACTTGTCGCTAGGGAACCTTACCACTGAGGCCTTCCAGTGGGCATGTAAAGGCCCATCCAAGACTGATTGCCTCTTGTAAACCCTTCGAAGCCAGGCCGAGTTCTAGCATGACTCATACTATGTCATTCAATGTCATCCCCTCTGGCAGTCCCACAGCATCCGAGTCGCAGCACCGTTTCAATGACTCAAACTCAGAAAGGGGGCACACTGATGTTGACATGACAATGGACGATACCCTTGATTCTGGAAATTGATCTGACCATGGTGAGATCTTACGTCCATATATTTATGGAGCAGCCGGATCTGATGTCTGCTGATCCCTCTATGGTTTCAGAGGATTCTAATGTTCCTCAGAGACGTATTCCGAGGTTTTTCAATGATATTGAACATTCAGCTGAGGACCTCAATGACTGCGATAATACACCACCAGCCCCACCCCAGTCCAGGATCCGACGTGTCCTTCTAACGCTAAGAGATACTCTTCAAATCGCTTTCAACTCTGTTGGGATTTGTTGTCTATACCCGAGGCGTCCGTCCTTTGAACCAAATAGATTCATCCTGTCTTCATTGCTTGCCAAAACATGTCCAAGGGTCATTCAAGGAACTGATTGCCCGGCAAGGATATTTTCGCCACCCTACCCCTTTCCAAACATGACCGTTTATCGGCTCATGTCTTGGATGAATTCTGGTAGTCACCAGAAATCGGAAACCGAGATCCAGCGACTCGTCTGAGATGTTCTACAAGCGGATGATTTTGACCTTAAGCATCTTGAGGGCTTTTTGGTGAAGAAGAGCCTGCAAGATTTAGATAAAGATGAGGGCGAGGAGAAAGTCAGCTTCCCAGATGACTGGATCGAGACCGACGTGACTATTGGCATACCTACAAAATCAAGAGAGGAAGGACCAAAGGCGTATAGTATTTCCGGATTTCATTATCGCCCTCTTGTTGAAGTGATCCACGCGGCATTTTCAGATATGCAAGCTGGTGCATTCCATCTGTTGCCTTTTAAATGGCTATGGAAGGATCCATTGGATGCCCATCAGGAGTGAATATTCGATGAGCTCTATACTTCTGATGCCTGGCTGGAAGCTCAGGACAATCTCCAGAAGCTGCCAAAGGAGCCTGGCTGTACATTGGAATGCATAATCGCGGGTCTCATGTTTTTTTCTAATGCCACTCACCTAGCCAACTTTGGGACTGCTAAGGCATGGCCACTTTACCTGTATTTCGGAAATCTGACAAAGTACGCACGAACATCGCCTCAATCGGGAGCATGCCATTTGGTAGGATTTTTACCTTCAGTGAGTCATCCTGTTTGGGTTCTTGTCTATTACCATTGACACGAAATGTCCTTGTCAGATTCCCGACAGCATTAAAGATATATTGAGCAAGCTACCTGGTATATCGAAGACTGGGATAGCCTCACTTCAAGCACACTGCCGTAGGGAGCTATTTCATGGGTGCTGGGAAATTTTGCTCGATGAAGAATTTCTTCAAGCGTATCGCCACAGTATCATTCTGACTTGCCCGGATGGAGTACTGCGAAGAATATTTCCGAGAATCTTTACATATTCAGCTGATTATCCAGAGAAGTACACCATCCTTTACCTGAATTAAAACTTTCAGATTATTCATGACTGATTTTCAGGGTTTTAATCGCAACCATCAAGGATATGGGCTTGTGTGCATGTCCTTGCTGTTTCACGCCTAAAAGTATGTTTGGTTCGCTTGGTTTACTAAAGGACATGAAAAGTCGTATAGCCATGCTCTGAGTGTATGCTATGGCAAAAGTCGAAAAGGTGCGCGAGTTCATCTACAAGTGGGGAAACACTGTAGATGGTCCAAAGGTCGAAAACACTCTTGGAGACGGCTCGTGGGTACCTACTATTGTAAGCGCGAACAGTTCCTTGCAAATTGCGATTAGCTGAGGTAGACTACTCCTAGAATCAATTTGTAAAGAAGCTTGGACCGCTTGGTCTTGACACATTCCGGATGCTTGTTGTTGACTTGATGCACAAGTGCGAATTAGGCACTTGGAAAGCTCTGTTTACGCACCTCATCAGACTTCTTTATGCTCTTCCTGGGGGCAGCCAGCTAATTGCTACTCTTGACAACAGGTATGCGAAGTTCACATATAGAGTGCTGTCATCTACTAACGAGTTGTTGGCTCTCAATCTTACCATAGATTTCGCCAGGTCCCAACATTTGGTAATGGTGTAATTCGAAGATTTGCAAATAACACCTCCGAGATGAAAAGATTAGCAGCACGTGACTTCGAAGATATCCTACAGGTTTTTTTTTCTGTTATTCTTTGTCTTATGCTCGCTGACATCTTTGCTCGGCAGTGTTCTATCCCGGTTTTCGAAGGGCTGTTCCCAAAAGACCACAATACAATCATACAGTCTCTGTTGTATCGATTTGCACAGTGGCATGCGCTCGCTAAGCTCAGAATTCACTCAGAATCTATGCTTACTCTTCTCAAAGATACATTGAAGAAGCTTTGTCAGAGGTTACGGAAGTTTCAACGGGACACCTGCGCTGTCTTTAACACTGTCGAGTTACTGAAAGAGAAATCAGCTCGCCAATGAAGACTCGCTCAGTGCTCGGAATCCAATACCACCTCCTCTGAATCGAGTGGACCGCGGGTAAAGAAACTCAATCTCGGTACTTACAAGTTTCATGCGATGGGCGATTATGTGAGAACGATCAAGCTCTTCGGAACAACAGATTCTTTCACCACTCAAATGGTATGCACCTGTTTTATTTCTACGATGCAACTGACATTATATCTGGCCAGGGAGAGCTCGTGCACAGAGCCCTAAAGGCATTTTATCTGCTAACCAGTAAATTAGATACACCAGCACAGTTAGCTAAGCACGAGCATAGGCGCTGTGTACTTCGACGCGTGGCAGAATCCGGAGGCATATCATCTTCTGATAGTCAATCGCCCGCTGATGTCCCCCCTTTTGCCCCCTTGCAAAAGCATCACCATATTGCTACAAATCAAAACAATCCAGTCAATATATTCCCGTTCCTTCGAGAACACAGCGGCGATCCGGCAGTCAAGGTATGCATGATATTGCAGTTGGAATTCTTCGTTCACAATGGATGTCAGAATTTTGTACCAAGACTGAAGGACCATATTCTCTACAGGCTGCGCAAGCTTGACGTCAGTTATTGCGACCACAGCTTCACGGACAAGGAACATAACTCAGTCATCATTCCAAACAATACCCTCTACTCAACCCAGACCATGCAGGTATGTATATATGTGCGCGTTGTAGCACTCGGATCGGCGTTGGGCTCGTATCCTGCCAAACTCATAGGTATTCCACATACACATTCCTTGACACTCCATTTTACCTTCCGAGAGTTCCATGTGTTCGTCCGAGTCGTCTGAAGGTCGTCCATCCATTTCCGAGGCTTGTATACAGTTCCGATCCTCCGTACCATGTCCCATCCGTGTCCGTTTGACTTCGCTGGTGCGTTCTTCACTTGGTTATCTGTTATTGATTATGTCTAGGGGCACATATGTCGTCGGCCCGTCGGTTATACACGCCTTGCATCTTATCTACGCAGTTTCCGAACTTTCATGCTGTAGGATATAATCTGCCTCGCTAGCTACTCGCACTTCACTTCACTTTCCCTGCTACGAGTCATAGTTAGTAGAGTCACTTTCGGATAGTCGTACTTCGCACAATCGACCTTTTGTTCATTCAGAATGATTGTTTGGCCTGACCGCTGCCATTTCGCATCTCGCTGTCTCTAAGTACTTTCGATAGGCTTTGCTTAGTTATACTTCGCGAGTCTTATACTTCGACACACCGTCGTACTTCTCTTGGAACCTTCACTGTTCATCAGAAGCTCTTCAGACGCTTCGCGCAACCTCGGACCTTCGTTTCTTGACGTCGGACCATCTTCGGACCTCTTTCGGACCTCTTCAGACGCATCCTCGGAACATTGAGCATGCTCTTGGTAACATTCCTTTCTCTCATCCTCGATCTTAACAAGATATCCCTTGCTTTATATCAAGGAGCATTTCTATAGGCAGTCTCTTTGGGACGAACATCTCACTCGCACTCTGAGTCTTAAGGTAACACTTTTGAAGCGCCCACATAGAATCTACTCTTTACAACTGGAGCCCACCGCGAGGGACTCCATTAAGATCGGAGAACGAGAGCTTCGGAAGAATCCTTGCCGCATTCTCCAATCCGTCGATTTCCCGCAAGAAGATTTCATCACCGAAGTAAACATCCCCGGACCATCGCAACTCCCGTCGCAAGTATCTTCTGAATCGTCTGTCCTCCAACAGCTTTCCCCGAATTCCCCCGACTCTACGCTACTTCTCAAAACTCGGGAAGAAGAAGACACCCATGCTACACAAGCACTTCGTTCTTTATTTTCAGACAGTCCGTTATCGGAAACCCGCGAAATCCTTCCTTCGGAATTCCCCCGTGCTCCTTCACCAGACAACCCCTTCCTAGGCGTAACTCTGTTACTTCTCGCACCCTCACCCAGACAACGCGTCGCCGCACTCCCTTCATTTTCCGGACCTAGATTATCCGCCCTTCAGATCCTGTCGCTCTCTGCAACACCGTCGCTAGTTCTGCCAACCGCACCCATCTCGCTACCACTTCTGCAACCCGCACCAGCTCAAATGTCCACTTCAACGTTTAGAATGCCTCTCTGTGGCACAGACACCGCACCCAAGTTTGACGGCACCGCAACTCGTCTTCTCACGTACCTAGAAGATGCTGACCTACTCGGCGACCACGCCAGTTTAGACGCAGAATCACGCATTAAAGCCACAATCCGATATGCCCCCGTCGAAGAATCCGAGACATGGGAAATGCTCGACAAGGCTAAGGGAAAAGATTGGAAAAAGTTCTACAATGCACTCAAACTCCTGTACCCGGGATGTGAAGGTGATCGCCACTACACTCAGAACAACCTGGAAAATCTCTGCAAGGAACAGTCACGCATCCCCATTCGCACGCACGACGAGTTCGGAACGTATTATCGGAGCTTCTTGAAGTTATCTAAGTTCTTAATGATGAACAAGAGGCTTGCCGAGCTCGAGCGCGACAGATTGTTTTTGGACGGTATTCACGAGACCGCTAACACTACCATTTGCAGGCGTCTAGAAATCAAGATGATAGATCACCACCCGGATGAACCATACCCGATGGATCAGGTATACACCGCAGCAGTATTCCTGCTACCTGGAACTGCGGCAGTTATCAATACCAGCATCGCATCTCCTTCGCCAGGTCAGCCATCTCGGACGACAACAACAACAATGGTAACGACGTCGGCACCAGCAGCGCAACCCTCCGTAACGGTATCGCAGCCTTCCGGCGGTGTTGTCGTGAAAAAGGAATACAGCTTGCAGGGTACGCCATACGAATGTTATTTCTGCGGAGGCAAGAACCATATCGCGAGATGGTGTAACGCGCATAAAGAATACATCTCCAGCGGGAAGATCATTGAGAACGAGGGTAAGGTATACATGCCCGATGGTAGCGGAATCCCCGGATCTCGGGAGGATGGATATTTCAAACAGCGGATAGACAAATACGTTGGTCAGACACCGGCAACCGGAGCTAATGCTATTCAGGTACAAGCCAGACTATATTACCGCTCCGCACTGGATATCGAGATTATCGCGGAAATCAACTCGTCAGCATTCCTGCACACCTGCAGCGAGACCATTGAAGATGAGGAAGAGAAATGTTATGCACTCAAATAGATCTGTTAGGCGGAGCCCTAAGAGGGGCGTCGTCCGCTAATGTTCGTGACGTAACCGGAAGGGTCCGGTATAGCAAGTGAGACTGGCGACGACGAGTCGGCAGCGATCACAGTACGCGCGTGTCACGTGACTTCGTAGACGGATGTCTGCGAGGTCGCTCAAGGTAAGGACTATCTTGTCCTGTACGATGAGGTCGATCGATGTAGACTTAGTCGCGATGAGCGACTAAGAAAAGATACTAGAGACTGAAGCTGAGGGGGCTTCAGAGGGAAGTATGTTCCAGGGAAGATTGAGTAGATTCAAGTTAGAGAATCTGGTACAGGGTGACCGACTACTTATACTAAGTGGAGAGGGTTAAGGGCAGGGCTGCCGTACGGTAGGTAAGGGTAAAGGGGAGGCGAGAATGGTATAGGTGCGTTGGCAACACAGCTGGATTAGTGATGGATGGTCGAAAGTGGAATGAGACCGAGAAACGTTGGAACGAGCCAACGGTAAGAATACAACGTGCGGGAATCCGCAGTCAGAGGGAACAGAAAGGGAAAAGCCACATTGGTGGCACGAGTCAGACTGAGTCATAGGTGCAGGACCACATTGGTGGTCGAATCAAAGGAGGAACGTGCGTGCACGTGCATAGAGGCGGGCGATGCGAGGGACGGGAACGGTCCCGAGGATCCGGTCAACGGAAAGGCGGTAAAGGAGGACGAGCCGGTAGATGGTGAGGGCGAGGATGAAGGGAAAATGATAGGGGGGCCACGTGACCGATGTTACTTGTAACAAGCAAGACCATTTGGAGAGGATCCGTCAAGCCAATGCGGAATATGTTGCATTCACCGCCGAGTGCGCAAGAAGGTCGAACAAAGGTAAAACTGTGAGATTTGAGGGCGTTGAAGTACCACCGCGCCCGAAACCAGGTCTGTCATCGAAAGTCATGGAACAAGCAGAAGAGATCATGTCTCCGGAGGTAAGAGAAGCCAAGGCAAAGAAGGTACCCAACCCCGGAATGGTAGTCGTTAAACCAGCGACGAAGGCAACAACCGCAACCCCAGTTGCACCGGTCACATCAACATCTACGGCAACTCCAGCAACCCAGACTTCGCAATATCGCTACGCGTTCCCATTGGAAGACAAGGACGCCGAGAAACGAGTTATGGACAGGATCTTGAGTACGGACGTCAATGTCCTCATCCGAGACCTTATCGCATCATCATCGGACATCTGGAAAGCATTGAAAGACCTTACAACGTCAAAACGTGTCATGGTAGGTACTGTCTCGGTAAACGAACTCAGCGGCCAGCTCCAGACGGAACAATTCCTGAAGGGGTGGGACGAACATATGAAATGTGCTAACGACGGACGCATCGTTGTGGACCACTTTAAAGCGTTGCAAACGATCTGAGGCACTACGACTGGGGGCCGGGTACTCACCTGTGTCCTTGATCAAGGTGCCGAAGTCATTGTAATGCCGCAGTTGGTCTGGCGCAGTCTCGGAGGCATTCTGCTCCATTCAGATTACCAGATGACCATGGAATCAGTCAACACGTCGTCGGACCAGATGCTCAGAGTAACGGAAAACTTCCTGATAGATTTCGGAGCCGGAGAGATGCTCTTCCAGATTCAGATTGTTCTGGTTTCTGCTTTTGACGTTCTTTTAGGCAGACCTTTCTTCACGCTAACCAGTTGCAAAATGGTCGACCTTCCGAACGGCGACCAAGATATCATGCTGACAGACACGAACACCGGAAAGGTTATCCGGATTCCTACGGAACCATGGACGAAGAAATGCCTGAAGTGCAAGCATGGTATGATGTGCACAGATCATCCGATGCCAAAGGGTTTTTGAGGTCCGATGATCTGCATTCATGGGGAGACCTATCGACCGACATTCCTTTTGATTCTCCCTTTTGTAAATATCCCAAAGCTAACTGTCTCGCGCTATCCGCGCAATCCTCGCTCTCACGGAGCACTAATACCCCGCCCGCTCCTTTTGTCGTGCAACCCTTGTCGCATTATGATTATCTCGCGTCTACCCATTCCTGCATTAATCGCGCATCCATTGATGCTTTTCACAGTGTATATTCTTTCGACCAAGCCAAGCACGCGCTGGTGTATAAACCAGTTGCGAAGAAAGTCCACACAGTACCGACAACTATGCTGCCTGAGTTCCGCATCACGAGAAGACTACCTGACGACCCTTTGGCTGGCATGCCCCACTGCCAACATTTCCGCCCGATTTTATTCCGGGCGTCCGCTTCACGCAAGAGAGATTGGATAAATGGGATTTAGATCCCGCAAAATGGTTATGGCCGGAGGAGCTGAAGCTCGTACGCTGGCTCGTCTCGGTGCATGAGAAAGCATTCGCTTGGAACGTGAGCGAACGTGGACGTCTCAACGAGATATACTTTCCACTGGTAAAGATTCCGACAGTACACCACATCCCCTGGTCTCAGCGAAACATTCCCATTCCGCCCGCAATCACAAAAGAAGTCATCCGCATCGTCCGAGAAAAGATTGACACCAGAGTATATGAGCCCTCCACCACCGCGTATCGCTCACGATGGTTCTGCGTCATCAAGAAAGATAAAACATCCCTCCGTCTAGTTCACGACTTGCAGCTACTAAATCAGGTAACCATACGAGACGCTTCCGTTCCGCCGTTCGTGGATCACCTCGCCGCAGCTTTTGCGTGCTATGTGTGCTACGTGAATTTGGACTTACTTTCAGGATATGACCAGCGGTCGCTACATGTAGATTCGCGATGTAGAGACTCGCGCCTCTCAATGCGGAATATACGGCCCTATTACCCACATAACTCCCTACATGTTCCAGCTCTTATCCGAAGGATCAGTCATACGCGCTCTCATGCACGTGCCCTACGTACGCGCCTCGTTCGCGCGCCTTACACGCACTCGCGCCTTTTGCATGCGCTCGTGCGCCTCCCCTTAGGCCTTTGTACCCTTGTCCGTCCGTCCGTCCTATGTCCTCACTGATTTACTGGTGCATTATTCTTATCCCTTTCACTAAATTGACGTACCTTCAGTCCGATCTCCGCGCTTACATACAGAAAGTCTATCATAGGCTTTAGAATATATTTAGAGTTGATATGGTTACTTGGTTCGGTACCACGCTCGGAAGCGCGCCGCATAGTGTAATCTCCCTTCTTAAATAGAGGGAAAGTTCCTTTTAACTTACTTTCTTCCCTTCTCCCTTATCTGAGTATACTGCAAATTGTATAGTGCACCTTAGTACTTGAAATCCGATTATACTTCACTATTCTACCATCGCTCAAAAGCACGCTTCCGCATACGCGCGCGCCCCTCGCATCTTTCGCTTGCACGCGCCCTTCGCGCGCCCTCGCATCGCTTACTCGCGCCTACGTGCGCGTTATCTTCTCGCGCCTGTTACCACCCGTCTAGTTGGTGAAGACTCCCTCCATTACATTAAAGAGGAACTTCTCTCAGTAGCTGTCCTTTGGGTCGAGTCGTATTCTCGTATCCTGGTCTTACTGTAGATCCCCCGTTAGCTTTAGCATTTCACCTATAGTCAAGATTCCTCACCTTCAGCGAGACATGACAATGTTTGGTACCCTGCTCGGACCGCATCGCTTAACCACACTCCCTCAAGGGCATGCTAACGCGGTGCAAGTATACCAAGCTGACATGGCTTTCATTCTGCAGGACGAAATTCCAGATTTCACATATCCCTTCATTGACAATGTTCCAATTAAATCGGTGAAAATGCGGTATCAGAGAGCTGACGGCTCGTATGAAACCATTCCGGAGAATCTGGGCATTCGCCAGTTCATTTGGGAGCATTGCACAGTAGTCAACCGCATACTCCAGAGACTCGAGAACGTTGGTGTAACCATATCTACTACTAAGTTCGTTTTAGCCGCGCCGACTGCTATTATCGTCGGACACAAGTGTATGCTTGAAGGTCGCATCCCCGAAGAATCCAAAGTGCAAAAGATCCGAGACTGGCCTGAGTGTCGCAACATCACACATGTGCGGGGCTTCCTTGGAACCTGCAGAGTCTTGCGCATCTTTATCAAGAATTTCTCAAAGATCGCCCGTCCACTCGTCAACCTCACATGGAAAGATGCACCCTTCGTATGGGGACCGGAACAGCAAGAAGCAATGCAGACCCTGAAGGACTCCATATTAGAGTCCCCCGCACTCCGTCCGATTGATTACAAATGCGGTCGCGAAGTCATTCTCGCAGTTGATACGTCTAACATTGCTATCGGATTTATCCTTCTACAGATCAGTGAAGACGGAAAATGCTACCCGGATCGTTTCGGATCCATCGCACTCACGGAAGTCGAGACTAGGTACTCTCAGGCAAAGCTGGAGTTATACGGTTTGTTCTGCGCTCTCCACGCAGTCCGAGTTTTTATTTTCGGCATCACCAACCTTATGGTTGAGGTCGACGCCAAGTATATTAAGGGGATGATCAATAACCCCGATCTCCAACCGAACGTGACGATCAACCGATGGATCGCTGGTATACTTCTGTTTCAATTTACGCTAGTTAATGTTCCCGCAGCGAAGCATGCAGGCGTTGACGGACTCTCAAAGAGACCGCGCGCTGACGAAGATCCAGACGAAGACGATGATCATGAGGACTGGCTTGACTGCCAGTACTCGTTTTCTATGGAAATTCTGAATGATCGGACTCACACTATCGCAAGAGTAGATGCTGATAACCCGCACCGTCCGCACGACTCACCCGTCCCGAACCCGCTAACCCGTCCCCCCATGCTTGTTGTTTTGTTAGGTACCGCCAAAGTCACTTCCGACGAAACCCGCATTCCACGTTCCGATGTTGCGAAAGCACAGGACGCACAAATTCTCAAGATTCAGAAGTTCCTTGAGAACTGAAAACGACCTTCAGAACTCTCGGACGAAGAATACGAGACATTCGTGAACGCCTCGCACCAATTCTTCATCCTCGACGAAAGAATGTGGAGGAAGCACATGCAAGGAAAACATCAGCTCATCATTCCGGAAGCAAAGCATTACAAGTTGCTCAAGGAGGCGCATGATGACCTCGGGCATAAGGGAGTATTTACGATCCGAATCCGTCTCCTCCTCCGATTTTGGTGGCCACTGATGATTGACGATATCAAATGGTATAACAGGACTTGTCACGAGTGCCAGATCAGGCAAACTCGGAAGTTACACATCCCGCTGATTATCGCGGTACCCAGAGGAATATTCCGAAGGGTACATATCGACGTTATGATGATGCCGACAGCCGGAGGGTTTGACCGAATCATTCACGCTCGCAGTGCGCTAACGTCTTACCCGGAATGGAGACTTCTCCGGAAAGAATCTACGAAGATTATAGCATCATTTATCTTTGAGGAACTCTTTTGCAGATGGGGTCTGATCGTCGAAATCGTTACCGACAACGCGCCGGTTATCAAAGCCGTAGTTGACGACCTTGCAGAATGATACAATGTTCACCATGTCCGGATATCACCGTATAATTCGCAAGCTAACGGAATCATAGAACGGCGGCACCAAGATGTCCGGGAGGCCATCATGAAAAGTTCTGGGGGAGAGGAATCCCGATGGTATTTGTATGCACACGCAGCCTTTTGGGCCGAGAGGGTAACTATCCAGCAGTCCACTGGACTTTCGCCTTATTTCATGGTACACAGAGTAGAACCGATATTCCCATTTGACCTCGCCGAAGCGACCTTCCTTGTAGATCTCCCGAAACAAGAGACATTCACGTCCGAAGATCTTATAGCATGGCGCACCCACCAACTCATGAAGCGCCAAGAAGATCTCAACGGTATCAAGGACAAAGTCATGAAAGCGCGATTCCGGTCAGTCCGTGAATTCGAAGAGAAGTTCCAAAACACCATCAAAGATCATGACTGCGCTCCGGGCACTCTCATGCTCGTGCGGAACTCGAAGATCGAGTACAAGCTTAACCGGAAGACGAAACTGAGGTACCTCAGACTGATGATTGTTCTTTGCAGGACTATCGGAGGTTCGTACGTATTAGGCGAGTTGGATGGTTCGATATCCAAGCTCAGATATGCGGCGTTCTGATTGCTTCTGTATTTCCTGCGAAGCGAAAGCAAGGTATCTGTAACAAGTGTCACCGGTCTCGACGAAGAAGCATTGGACAAGATTGCAGAAGAAGTGGTAGAAGAGCCAGCCGACGAAGAACTCGACATAGGACCCGATGAATAGATGCAACAACCCCATTCCTTCCAAAAACAAAAACAGAAAAATACAAAAACAGTACGATAGTCTCCATTTTACTCCGGGTTTCATCCGGTGATCTCATTCTTAATTCCGATCTTCCGAACAATCCATACATATGATCCGTGCGAAAGCATATAGACACTTATTCAAGTGATGTGGACTCACAAGAACAAACTCTAGGACTTCCGAAGTATATCCTGCGCAGCGATGAGTACAGTACATATTCTTCTTCGCACGCGGAGGTAGTGCGCCACGCACTTTGACAGACTTTTCAGAAACAAGGGACTACGAACCGAGCATCCGAAGGCATAGACGATGACAGCGCATCAATGAAGACAAGACGGATGGTACTCCGCGCACTTAGTACACCGTTTATTTCTTATTCCAATGATTCTGATAGCACGTGCTCAAATATTCTTATATTCCTCTTAGGCACAGCGAAGATCAAACAGGAATTCCGGACTTGGACATGGTATTGGAACGGACGCACACCGGAATAACCAGGACCGAGGCATCTATATTTGCCATTATGATATAGTACATGGGAGACAAGCTAAGTACCGAAAGAAAGGGACTATCTACTTGCGGATCCGGCGCCTCTTAGCGATGAGGGAACCGACCCGGTCCATCTCTAACTTCAACTCCCGCATGATTCCTTCCGCCTGGTAATACTTCGCACCCCAGATAGCGAACTCCCGCTCTAACGCGTCGTCAATCTCATCAAGATCCTCCTCTTCTTCTTCTTCGATATCCGCCGCCTTCCTCTTTCCTTTTCTGGGACCCGGACAAGTGCGAGGGGGGGCGTCTTCATCTTCCGAAACAACTGTCGCACGGTCCGACGTAGCCTTCCTTCCGGAAGTCTGTGAAGTACCTGTGGCAGGAGCTGGCGCTGCAGCAGTGGCAGCGGCCTTGGCCTTCTTGCCTTCTGAAAAGCACAAGTCAGTATTTGGAAAGACGAAGAAACAAAAGGAAAGACTCACTAGGCAGAGCAGTGCTAAAGTTGCATCAAACGTGTCCCTCCCTACATCCATCGCAGCTTTTCCCAGCGAGACCGACACATCGGAGAGAGTTCCAAACGCACCGCGTGCACGGTACGCTGTGGCGCATAACCGGCGCGGGGCCAGCAGTCATGCGACCGGTCTGAAAAACACAAAGTCAGTATCAATGAGAAATCAGACAAAAAGGAAAAGAACGCACCTTCCGCTGGACAATGATAGTGTCATTGGTCTTCTCCGGGGCTTCCGAAGACTCACCATCGCCTTCCCCATCTCCACCGTCCTGCTCACCATCTCCATCGGTGTCACCAGTCTTCTTCCCGGCTTCAGCAATCTTGCGGGCCAGCGCAGTGGCCTCCGCAGTTTTCCTCGCCAGTTCCTCCTTCTCCGCAGCCTTCCGAGCGTTCTCTTCCTCCTCCTTGACTCTCCACTGTTCCTCCTCCAACTTACGAGTATCCTCCGCACACTTCTCCTCGGCTACACGTATCGCTTCCGTCACAAGGGGGCGAGCAGCGATGCATTCGTCACCTTTCTTGCCGATGGTGGCAGTCAAGGGAAGCGCGACGCACTTTTCGGCGGCCTCAGTTTGGCACGCACCAAAGTTTTGCTAAACACAAACAAATCGGTACAGCCGTAGTTGTAGTATTAGACCTAATATAGATGGTAGTTGCCACTTTTGGAATAGACACTTTCGATGGCAACTACCAACTGCACATTTTGACCAACGATGCTGGCAAGTACCGCTCATGGCTAAGGCCCTCCTTCTAGGCATCCCATCATCCACTGAAATGTCTGCCCCCAATATTCCTGGTATATACATATATAATACATATAGATATATTGATATATATATATTATACATACACGCACACATTCCATATATATCATATCTGGTGGGACTGATCACAATCAGTCAATACTTACCTTCGTTCTCCACTACCTATACTCGACTCTCTCTCAATATTTCACGGATGGAGTAAGTTGATTTAATTCTGGTGGTTTTTACTGATAACTTTATCTATAGAACAAGCAATCCGGCACCAGACGACACGGCCCCACCTGTAGTGGCGTTGTCCAGCCCATTTCCCGACCCAGATGCGACACCCACACCAGCTCCTGAACCAAACACTGACAATCCCAACACCCACATAGAAAAGTTGTTTCGTAACTGGGCGAAAAACTCGCGCCTGGCGTTTCTCAACAGCCACTTGTCACTTACTGCGAGCGCGTCAATCAAGGAAGGTTACGAGCCAAGGACTATGCACACGAGGTCGTGCAAGAATACTTCAAGCAGTATCATTGGAAGTTGAAGGTATCAGATGAGCCCTTGGAACACAGTCCATTGCAAATGGAGCTGGAGGAGTCACTTTCCCCGGTCGAACTCGCACAAAAATTGCAAAAGGTTCTTGTGATGCAAAAGGTAAGCATTAATACATGTATTTATCTATAGACTTCTTAACCCTCAAGTAGGCGATCACGAGCTGGCTGGATTATTGTGCCAAGTCCTCGAAGAAGTTGTTCGTCCGCCGCGGCAAGCCAGAGAACAATGAGTGGACCCGGCTCCTCAGCCAACTTTCTGGTGTCCGACGACACAAACCGAAGGCCTTGCAAGCACACCAGCGGTGGTCCAAAGACCATTTCGAGACCGAGGTCAAGTCTTGTTTTCTCAAGAAGTGGCGCAAGGCCAGGCTGCCTAAGGAGAAGATGGCAGCCTTTCACGACCAGATCACACGCAAACGCTTCAAAAAGCTGTCCAAAGAAGAGCAGAGGGATTGGAGGGATAAAGCGCAAGCAGAGGGTAAAGCAGCAGTCAAAGAGTGGAACGACCGGCTCGAAGCACCTCCATCCACATCTCCTCTCAATAGACAAGTGTAAGTGTTCGAATCTATTCATTTGTATCTGTATTGAAGACTAAACTAGGGCCCTGGATAACTTGGCGACTTTTGCTGGACCGATTCTTTCTGGTATGTCTGAAACTCTCGGCATGCATGTATCCCTTTTTGTTGGTGGTCCCGAACCTCGGAAGCAGGGGAAGATCACTGTCGTCAGGTATGTTTGTCGATATCGTTCCGACACAGAACTAACGTCACACTGGAAGCATGCACGAGGGTGTTGATCTGAATTCGAAACCATGCAATTGGCAGACCTGAGATAAAGCAAAATTGAAGATGGTCACAAAGCATTTTCAAGACTACCTATCGCACGCATATAGTGTGTTTTTTTAAAAAAAATTCTATCATCTAACTATATGCTAAACATCGTCAGGTAAACAGGATTGTGATTCTTGTCGCCTCCCGGACGATTTAAACAACCTGTTCACCATTACGGATGAAGGCAATCAATCTGATGCTCAGGAGGATCGGGAAGATCGTCAAGTGAATAAACCGACAAAGGCCAAATATAGATCGCACCGAACGAAATCAAAGCAGAAAGGTACCAAAAGGGCTCGTACTTCTCGATGCAAGCCTTCCGAACCTTCTGAGATGGACAAATCATCATCAGAATCATCTTCCACATCCTCTGGCTCATCTTCGTCTTCCTCATCTTCAGGTTCCGCTTCATCAAGCTCTACAGACATGGACAGTGAAGAAGAACATCATCGTTCTAACAAGGTACTACCATTTTCACCGCCAAAAGGACATTATGGTGTTACCTACTTCAATCCACGCCACAAAGCGGCAGCTCTCACACGACTCAACGTAAGGTGAAGCGATCGCACGTCCGAAGTGTCGGCTCATGCATCCGAGATGCTGGATGACACAGAAGAAATTGACCAGCTTGACGAGAGCACTGCTGACACCCCCATTGACGATGCCGAGATAAGCACTGATCATCCTCCTGTTCCACCTGGTAAATGTGTTATTTAATATGTTATACAAGCGTACTAAATCGATATCTCCTTAGCAATCACATCCACCGCCATCGTTGAGCCACCTCTTGACAATATCATCGCCCGCCCAACTTTCAATGACAATACAATTGATCTGCATCTCAGAGAAGACTCTGGGATGGCTGTTGATCAACCACCTGCTCCACCTGGTAAGTATTGGTGCTCAGTATGCTGACATATTAACATTATTTTAACACAACAGCCGAGATTCTTGGACAGGGTCTTCGTGAGCCTGTTGATGATCACAATATAGATGAGACGCCCTCTGCCGAACGGGACATAGAAGGGGCTGTGGACGATCGTGACACCACAACTTGGGACAAGCACACGGTCAACTCAAATAAGACTGCAAATGGTACGTAATTGATGCTTCTGTTATGCGCCGCGATCAGTCATTCAGGTTTATGTACAGCCTCTCATGATGGCAACATATCCCTTAGCCTGCCTGCACTCCCACCCAGCCCACTGTGGTTCAACAATCCGTTCCAACAGTTGATGAATCCTGCCCCGGCCTCTCCTCGTGTGATCCAGTTGTTTGAAAAGCTGGTATGCCTTGAGGATGCGTTGGGCTTTGCGAACGAGAAGGCTGCCTTGGGATGCGAACATCATCCAGTCGAAGTCCACTGGTGGATTTCCCGCGGACGTAAAGGGAAACCAACCATACCCGATCTCAATGCATTCATGTTGCGATGGTGGTCCTGGTGGATCACGCTTCAACCGGAGTGGAGAAAATGTCAGGCCCCGACACTTACGACAAGTGCAATTCTCCCTCACACAGATGACAGCAACTGGGACACCCTCAACAAACCAGGTGCAAATGGCATGCTCTCGGTTGTAGCTACCTTGAAATGGTGGGCAGATGGTGCAGATGGTAAAGGGTATGAAGATTCGTGATGGGAAGATGCTGCTGACAATGTCGTGTGGGTTTTGGATCGGCTCATAGCAACTCGTTCTATGTCGAAGTCTGTGGCTTCCAGTGGTAGCAAGAAATGGGGTTGCTCTGATACTCTGGCAAATGCATCATCATCGAAGAGGACGCGTAACTAACCATAATAGACTTATCGATTGATGGCTCGCTAGGCTAGACATCAAGTTCATGCTCGCTTAGATACATGTTACGTTGAATTACTTTTGTATCTCACATCAAGTCAATGCAACACGCAATTGTTAGATCTAATTTTCTTCGGTGCTCGCTGTTTAGATCATGGCAATAAGTGTATTGTATATTCTAAAAAAACAAACAAGTGGCTAGACTCCAGGAGCCTCCAGTCCCAAGGTCTTCTGATTCATCGTTTCCCCAAGTAAATAAGCCTCATCGAGGTCACCCCAAATGGCTAGTCTGTGAAGATCCTCCAGCATAGCTACCAGATGTCCAATGAATCTGGAAACCTCGTCAGCAGCATGCCATTCATCACATACACCACACATGTCAAAAATTTTATCCTGCCCCTGCTGTGCCCACAACAAATATGGCTCAACGAGCTTGAGCCCGTCCCAGAATATCCCAATGTCCCCGGTGAAGGTTCAACGATACAGCGAGGCACGAACAATGCTCCTGACTGTATCTATAATTGTTGTAAGGTCGTGCGTTGCCTAGTCTGCTATACTTGAGACGACAAGTGTGTTCGACCCTAAAGGGGAAGCGAGTGCAGCAAGGATCTAGAGGTATGCGCTGAAAGCGCTACTGGTTGGCCAATGCAAAGCGCGAGAAAGCGCAGGTGCGCGCAAGGCGCAGGAATGCGCGCGTGTATGGCGCGAAGCGTGGGAAAGCATGCGCGTGTATACAGATACGAGAGAGAGTAAGAGTGAGTTTGCTTAAGTGATGATATGATGTAAGACAAGAGAAGAGAGATGCGAGGTGTAAACAAATAGATTTCTACTATGTTCTGCTAGGTGAATAGTGGGTAGTAACCAGTAAGTCCTCTGTCGTTCTGGTGGGAGAGTAAGTGAGTAAGTAAGTATGTACTGCTGGCACTTAAGTATGGCGCCTAAGCGCTGTCATGCGGAGCCGAAGCGCTACCGAGTAAGGTATGTAAAGATATATGTAAGTAAGGGTCCATGATAAAAATAAAGATGGAACAATATGCAAATGTGAGAAATGGAAATATACGCACTAGGGAACTTGGTGGACAGTGGATGGATGCTTCCGGATGGCTGGCGCTATAGGGCGCTACAGCACGGGAAAGCGCGCGCGCATATACATCGTGAAGCGTGGGAAAGGTACGCGCGCATGGCGCGCATTGCGCGGGAAAGCTGCGCCTCATATAGAGATAGCTGCAGGTAGCACACAGAGTGATGCTACAAGTTCATGCCATGTACTCCCCAGTGAAAACTGCCATATTGCACAATGAGAGGCATGAGTCTCTACACCGGCAACACTGGTGCGTAATGACATAGCGTATTTGCGGAGGATGCCCTCGACATATGTTGTAGGTATCCCGGAAGGAACAAGTGCCAGGACTTTGTTCTTTGCATCATGTACAAGCCCCAGACAATCAGACAAAGTGATACTACAGTAGATCGTCAAGGACACAATTTAATTATCATTGAAAAAAAAAGTACATTGCCTCGAAGTCAACCTCATCATCCGATAGGTTGTTCGTGTTAGACTCGGCTGTGACGGAAGGAGTGTTGTTCGTGCGACAGAGACGACGTCTCAATAAAATGGCATCTCTGTGCCTAAATACTTCAGTTGCAGGGAGAGAGCCAATAATGACAACTAAACTTACCTTTCATAGTATCTTTTGTGTTTCTCGCGTGCAGCCTGCTGTTTGGCTTCAACAGTATGGTGAATAGTGGGGTGAACCATGAGAAATGATCATAGTGTGAGGAACCGAAAGCAGCACCTTTATATAGTGAATTTGATTACCTTAAATCGATGATCTGCGATGAGGAGTAATGTACGTAGTATGTGTGAACTGAATGCAAACACAAAGTCAATCAATCATTAATGGAAACAATGAATCATATCTCACTGAAGATGTCCGCTTCAAAGCCTCAAGTCCATGTCGTTTGATAATGGGACAGAGGGTAATAGCATTGAGCTACACAGGCCTGTGTGTCAGCGATCTTGATTTGATGGTAGTAGGACCATAACTCAGCGAGTCTAAGGCTCAGGATGCGAATTCGATTGTGCGATCGCACTGACGATTGCTCAAATCAACAAACTACTATAAATTAATGACTCGGAGCTACATACCAGTCCAATCTTGATGATTTGATGGTGGGACTGCTAACTTGACCCATGTTTTAGCGATCCTGATTGGACGGTAGGACCATAACCCGGTGAAGCATCCGGCAAGTTGACTGTCCAGAGGCAAAAGTTAGTGTGCAAGTCTGATCGTGCGTTCACAACACACAGTTGCTCATAGGCACATCAACGAACTAACCAGTGTCAGTTAATGAAGGTACACGGCAAGGAACATTGATATATTGTTCATTTTTATGAGGACTGAGTTAACACAAGCCATGCATATGTCTTCAATGCAACTTCATTGATTACGTAAACAACTACTTAGTAAGTACATTCACAACGCACAGTATTGGACTCAGAGCGAGCTCATCAAATCAATAACATACTCAGACCAATGTCAAGCACTGTCTGCAGATAACGAAGGTTTCAAGTTATTGTTTATTTTCTGGTGAACGAGCACTAACACACAACATCATAGACACAACGCAGAAGTTTCATTATGTAAGCGAGAAATACAAAGTGTAACTAACTGAGTCTCGATGCTAGTGACAAACACTGAATTTGAAGGAACAGGACATTCAACAAATGTTTCGATATATTTGGTAAGATTTGACATACATGATCACTCATCCATGGCGGAGTCTTCTGTCAAATCAACATTTGTCATGGTGTTAGTGCTTTCAGTGGCTGCGGCTACAGCTGCCTCATATGCTTGAAGTCATGCATTGTAATCCTGTTCTGCTTCCTCCATAATAACTTGACGAATCATGGTGCGGAAAGATTCATTTCTCGCTGGATGATTGAGCAATAACTCTACAGCGGCTGCTGCTACAAGCTTAACTAATAGACGGGTGAGTGCTGGATTCTGTCAGTGCTGAATTGATCTCACCACAGCAGTCTGGCATGCAAACTCGAGCCACTCGATGACCACATGGACCACAGACACTTTGAAGTTCAATATCTGTGTGTCCACACCGGAAGACATCCCCAGCGTTGTGCGGAGTATTGCTGTCAGGCAAGGGCAGAGGTATAGGACTGCTGGATGCCTCAGGTGAGGGTGGAGGCGTATGAGCAATGGACATCTCAGGCAAGGGTGGGGGCGTAGTAGTGGTAGACATGTCTGAAGGTTTGGGTTCAAGTTCAAATTTTCAACTATAGACTTTAAAATATTTCAACAGGTCTCAGTGCATATACGCAAGGAACCGAACGAGTGATGAATCGACCAGGTATTTCCTGTTATATTCATGTATCTACTAACATGATCATCAAACAGCTTCTTTTGTGCATGCTTCTTTCTTGAAGCACTATGACTCGAGGGAGGGAGGAATTCATTCATGGGAGCAGGCATATACTGGTAAGTTCTAGTATCATTTTCCCCTCAAACGAGCCTTACTGATGTCAAAGAAAAGAAAATATGTGGCCTACCGCAATGAGTCTGATTCAGACGAAGATACGACAACAGCCTATGCCAGGATGGTAGCAGTATCAAACGGTGGTCGCAGGCAAGTTATCGTACCTTGTTCCCCAATGAAAGTGAGGGCGAAAAATCTGCTGGAAGACCAAGCTGGGGCCCTGCAAACAGACAATTGGGAGCCAACACTTGACAATGATTTGGTGTTCGACGATGAGGTCGAATCCCCACCGGTTGAGTCCCGACCCATCACAGTAGCCAATACACTAGCGAAATGTTATACGAACTCGGTGCGATTCCAATAGATTTTCTTTTCTAACACTCAACTCTTTATAGGATGCACCTTTACATAAATGGATGGGCATCAGCGGGCGTACTGGATTCCGTGAAGAATATCTTCTTGAAGAGCTACGTCTGGAGGGCCATTGTAGCTTGGCAACTACGCTGTGCTCATGCAGTGACATTAATAGTCACATCGTGCAAGAACAACTGTATCGCTGTGAAGATTGCTATGGGCCAGAAATTTTATGCAAGTCTTGTTGTTTATTAAAGCATGCATGTCACCCTTTGCATATCATCAAGGCGAGTATTTCAAAGTTCTGGCTCTATTTCCATTTTTTGACGATGCACAGAAATGGAACGGGACTTATTTTGAGCGCATTGCCCTGGCGGACATGGGCTTGAGAGTCCAACTAGGACACCAAGGAATGTCATGCTTATGTCCACAAAGAGGGCACGTCTCTTTCGTCGTTATTCACACTAATGCAATCCACTGTGTAAACATCAATTTCTGCAGCTGCCATCAGTGAGTGTCTCATTGCCAGCAACTGTTACGTTGCGAGTGGTATCCGGCTACCTTACACTTTCCTCAAAGTGCCTGTACAAAACAGGTTCTAGAGTTCTTCCTCGTTTTGATGTGGTCAAGCAAAGTATCTGGCTACGAGTTCTATACAAGTCTCGAGCGACTCACTGACAACACGCGTTTAAACATACCTAAGGTGCATTATCACACTTGCCTACATATTGCAAATATTGACCCAGACATAGTCTCGGTATAAAGAATTCATGCGGATGGTTCGTCAATTTCGACATATTAAATTGATGAAGCAAGCTGGTTGTGGCAATGTAACCGGTGGCATCTACAAGACTGAGCCTGGTGCATTAGCCATTGAGTGTCCTGCTTGTCCACAACCTGGCATAAATTTGCCAGAGGACTGGGACAAGGTGGAGGGATCAATGAAGTAGGTTTTTTTTCTTCTAATCCACTGCATTCATTAAATCCCCCCTCATAGATTTCTCTACTATTTAATTATCGCTATGGATGCTAACTTCCGTCTCAAGAACAGGGCTCGGTCTTCTAGTACGGCCGATCCTGGGCTGCACACAGGTCTGGCATACTTCATTCCTGACAAACCCTATGTGGAGCACATACTGAAGAACGCAAGTCAAACCGATGTAAGTTTCTTTTCAATTCTCACTCTTGATGTACCTGCTTAGAGGACGCCAACCCATTAGATTAGCACTTGTTCAGGCTTTAGGACATTGGCACATGCTGAATCCAAGCACTCGAGTGGGTTGTGAGCGACTGGCGTTGGCTTATGTCTTTGTGTGCGCCATGAATTTGTTCAACCTCAAGGAGTTGGAGACCTTCAAAAAGGTGAAAGGTATGTTCGTTTAAAGTGTATATATCCAACTGTCTAATGAAGAATTTAGATACGCTAATATGGATTTTATTTTTTTCTCGTCCATCATGCCTCTCCTCCTCTCCGTCGTCATATCTTATGACATTGCTTGCCAATGGAAAATCAACCTCACAAAAAGAATCAACAAGCTTCCAGAACACCTTCAGATTCCGGCGGCTGTCGCTCTTGCAACATTTATATTTGGAATCCCTAAGTTTCACTGCCCTGCGCATGAGGAGAAATGTGCGATACCACATTCCCTGAACCTTATACCAGGCATAGGACGGACTGATGGCGAAGGAATTGAGCGCAATTGGGCAGAAATGAATCGTGTTGCAAACAGCACGAAGGAAATGGGCCCCAGTTCTCGACACGATGTCCTCGATGACCATTTCGGTCATCACAACTGGCGTAAATATACTGGACTAGGTAAGATTTTTGTTTTGATTCAACCTATACAACGACTCAATCGATCTACAGGACTTTCACTATGGAGAAAACTTTTAAATGCTGTCAAGGAACGCACTCATCACCAGTCCTTTTTGCACAACTTTGATTCATCGATCGATGAAGCCCATCGAGGAGAATGGAGTGCGATGATCGAGGCTTGGGAGCGCGACAAATCAAGTCTGAACCCGTACGTGCTCAGCAGAATTAGTAAAATCTATCTATATTTTTAAATTCTTTTTGTTGAAGCTGACTCTGGTACCATAGGTCTTTCAGAAGCACAAGTACGTGTTAATTTTGTGGACAAGGAGAAGATCGCTATCCGTAATGGACGTAAACTTCCGCATGAAACAACTCCTAGTTCTTTCATCAATATCAATATGGCCCTGGTTCTTGAAGATGCCCAGTAAGTTCTACTCCTTCAATAGTTTGAGACTGCCTTCTGATCATTATCAGACGACGAATCAAGATTGACCTCCCATCATCACTCAGTGCAAATCAATACACCGAACTTCACCAACACCGGGTCACGCTACAACGACAGCTAGACCGCTTCCGCATCATACAGCAGGTATATATGGTAGGGATTGGAAGCTGGATCACACAGCAAGACAGGGATTCATCTGATGACATCGAGGACGAATCTCTCTGGCTACCATCGACACTCCCTGCAAGCGATCGAGAAGCAATATGTACGAATGACATTGCTCACATCGAGGCTGAGCTTCGCAAGGGACAGTGTTGTGATGCACTCGATAGGCTCCGCAGGCATCTACATACTAAGTCTCATTTCATCAAACATCGCAATCTCGATTTATGTGGACAACGAGCCAACACTCATGCGACTTCCTTTCTCGCCCGCTTCGATAGCAAAATCAATGCTGCTACTGTAAAGTACCGTGTTGCTTGGTCAGCGTTGTTAGAACTGGTTGGGATCAACGAGCTGGAGAGGGAATTTCAATGTTTACAGGCTAAGGATATTGTGGCACCTGTTGACACAGTGTCAGGTGCCAGGAGTACTACTGGAATGCGCGGAAAAAAGAGGTCCGAGCGAGATGCATCTCGTGGATTAGGACAAGGTTATCAGATGACATCGTGGATTTGGCTTACTTTGGGAGTTCAGGATGACATGGGTCTAAATGATGGTGAGTGCGTTCGCTATTGCATTGATCAACTCCCTTTTTGACATGAAACGGCAGTGTTGCGTGTAGAATGGGCCAAGTCTCGCGCGCGCGCACAATGGTGGAACGAAGAAGTGTTACTTCTCAAGGAAGAAATGCGGCGAACACGTCAATTTCTCGCATGGCATGCACAACAGTGGCGATCTGTTACTGAACTATCACACCAGGATGCGCAGATCGTGGCTGGCGCCGCTGCATATGCCCAAAGGCAGGCAACAATTCAGCATGCATTACTGGCTCGTTTCACTAGTCTCTGGGGCACTGGAGTTAGCGCGGTGTAGAGACTCATGCCTCTCATTGTGCAATATGGCAGTTTTCACTGGGGAGTACATGGCACGAACTTGTAGCATCACTCTGTGTGCTACCTGCAGCTATCTCTATATGAGGCGCAGCTTTCCCGCGCAATGCGCGCCATGCGCGCGTACCTTTCCCACGCTTCACGATGTATATGCGCGCGCGCTTTCCCGTGCTGTAGCGCCCTATAGCGCCAGCCATCCGGAAGCATCCATCCACTGTCCACCAAGTTCCCTAGTGCGTATATTTCCATTTCTCACATTTGCATATTGTTCCATCTTTATTTTTATCATGGACCCTTACTTACATATATCTTTACATACCTTACTTGGCAGCGCTTCGGCTCCGCATGACAGCGCTTAGGCGCCATACTTAAGTGCCAGCAGTACATACTTACTTACAAACTTACTCTCCCACCAGCACGACAGAGGACTTACTGGTTACTACCCACTATTTACCTAGCAGAACATAGTAGAAATCTATTTGTTTACACCTTGCATCTCCCTTCTCTTGTCTTACATCATATCATCACCTAAGCAAACTCACTCTTACTCTCTCTTGTTTCTGCATACATGCGCGCGCATTCCCGCGCTTTGCATTGGCCAACCAGTAGCGCTTTCAGCGCATACCTCTAGATCCTTGCTGCACTCGCTTCCCCTTTAGGGTCGAACGCACTTGTCGTCTCAAGTATAGCAGACTAGGCAATGCACGACCTTACAACAATTATAGATACAGTCAGGAGCATTGTTCGTGCCTTGCTGAATCGTTGAACCTTCAGCGGATGATACAGCCGCTGAGGATGAAGCCACTAGATATATAGCTGAGGACGAAGATTTTGACGATGATGACGAGGGGTAGGCATATAGGGGCTTTTGGGTGTTATTTTTATCGTGTCGTGTATTTGTGTTTAATTAGTCATCGTCAATCAAACATTTATTTGAAACCTACATTTAAATGATTATTAGTCTGGATACCCATAATAATATTATTGACTGGTGTGAACCAGGTGTGGATGGCAGAGTGGCAAGAGCCATGGATTAGGTCAAAATGCGCAGGTGGTAGTTGCCGTGAAAAGTGTCTATGGGAAAACTGGTAGTTGCCATTATACTAGGTCTAATACTACAGCCAAGGGTGGCTTTGCGTCATTTCCAAAAAGTCAGGGATGCTGCCGACTTGAATTTGGACTCGGACGGGCCTGTCAGTGCAGCTGGCTCTGCGGAGATCTGAAGGAGATACTGTTAGTTTGGCTCTCCCTATAATATATATATATTTTAATTCACTCGACTATGCGAGTCTTGCTTCATACTACTAGTACATAACAATTTCCGGGTCGTTATTGTACCTACTACTATGCATCCAGTGTTTTGGTCCAAAAATAGCATACACAGAATCTGTGTGGCGCTCCATTTCAATTAACAAGGCCAACATCTGTGCAACTTCACTGGTTCATGACTTTCTGGCTGCGGACATTTTTGAAAGATCTGTGCACAACTTGAACGTCTAGTTCTTTCCAATCTTATATATGCTGAAGCATACATCTATAAGGACTCATTCAAGTTTACTTGGTGTGTGCATTTCCTTGCTTAGATGCCACTTTGTTGACCATCCTTCATACTAGTACTAGACGTGCTTCAAACACTCAATAACCTCTTTTTCCAGGTATGCTGAAAGAGGTGCGTGAGATGGCATAACATTGAAATCAGATCTGACGACACGCAGGTATACCGTTCTGCCGTGGATATCTGTTGCACGGTGAAGGTTCAATGATTCAGCGAGGCACGAACAATGCTCCTGACTGTATCTATAATTGTTGTAAGGTCGTGCATTGCCTAGTCTGCTATACTTGAGACGACAAGTGCGTTCGACCCTAAAGGGGAAGCGAGTGCAGCAAGGATCTAGAGGTATGCGCTGAAAGCGCTACTGGTTGGCCAATGCGAAGCGCGGGAAAGCGCAGGTGCGCGCGAGGCGCGAGAATGCGCGAAGCGCGGGAATGCGCGCGCATGTATGCAGAAACAAGAGAGAGTAAGAGTGAGTTTGCTTAGGTGATGATATGATGTAAGACAAGAGAAGGGAGATGCAAGGTGTAAACAAATAGATTTCTACTATGTTCTGCTAGGTAAATAGTGGGTAGTAACCAGTAAGTCCTCTGTCGTTCTGGTGGGAGAGTAAGTTTGTAAGTAAGTATGTACTGCTGGCACTTAAGTATGGCGCCTAAGCGCTGTCATGCGGAGCCGAAGCGCTGCCAAGTAAGGTATGTAAAGATATATGTAAGTAAGGGTCCATGATAAAAATAAAGATGGAACAATATGCAAATGTGAGAAATGGAAATATACGCACTAGGGAACTTGGTGGACAGTGGATGGATGCTTCCGGATGGCTGGCGCTATAGGGCGCTACAGCACGGGAAAGCGCGCGCGCATATACATCGTGAAGCGTGGGAAAGGTACGCGCGCATGGCGCGCATTGCGCGGGAAAGCTGCGCCTCATATAGAGATAGCTGCAGGTAGCACACAGAGTGATGCTACAAGTTCGTGCCATGTACTCCCCAGTGAAAACTGCCATATTGCACAATGAGAGGCATGAGTCTCTACAATGGTGTTCCTGGAAGGTTCGTATGATTCATGTGCTCTAGTTACCACCAGTACTCACGCTCCATTGGTCATAGCAGCAAGACTTCATTGATACATTCATTGGCAAGTGAATTAGGTCTGGATATCTACATTGTCAGCTTGTCATCAAAGGGGTAAGAGTGGCTCGAGCCTGAGTAACCGACTATTAATGTTTGCCAAATTCAGGATGAGTGATAATACACTGACAACATTGATGGGTCATGTACCATCCAGGTACGGTTCTCCGTCATCCACGGTCATTTCTTGGTATTCATGTATCATCATAACAGATATATTTTGCTTCTTGAAGATCTGGATGCCGCGTTCACGCGCTCTGTCAGTCGTGATGCATCATCAACTGGTGCTCCCACAGCATCTAACACCAATAGCACAACCACTGAGACTAGCGATGGATCAACATTGAGCTTGAGTGGACTTTTGAACAGCCTCGATGGAGTTGCTGCTGCAGAAGGCCGGTGGGTTACTATGGTTCCCCTCTGAAACTGCGCCACTAACATGTCTCACCAGACTGCTTTTTGCTATGACTAACCATATTGAGCGCCTTGATCCAGCTCTTAGTTGCCCAGGACACATGATGTCTGGGTGAATTTCACACATGCGACAAAATGGCAAGCTGAGGGCATTTTCAAGTGTTTCTTCCCCTCGAAGCCTGCTGGTGTCACTACCACATCTCCACCTGAAGAGGACGTTGACACTTCGCAGAAAAACCTTCCCCTGTCAAAGCGCAAGGTGCCCAGTCACACTATTCCTGTGCTTGATGAGACTGAAATTTCTGAGCTTGCTAAGCGTTTCGCAGATGCTATCCCAGAGAACGAGCTAAGCGTAAGTTTCCGGAAGTGATAATATATTTGCCGTTGACGTCATTTCAGGTTGCCGCACTTCAAGGTTACTTGTTAAAGAATAAGGTTTACCTGCGCGAATGTGTCGACTCTAACAGTCTGATTGTACGAGTACGATCGTCCTGTGTGAGCCCTTATTTCCACCTTTCTTTCCACTGCCCACTGCTCTAGCCGCTCGCAATTGCCTTGTATTTCAATTTATATCATGGCCAACAACACTCACATATGTAGTCTATTCTTTCAGTTTTTTTTTTCAACTTTGATGGCTGATCGCGAAGATCCATCACACAGCTTCAGAATCATCACATCAGCATCACATGCGAGAATGCAAATGAAATGCCACCAGCAAGTACACTTGTCAGACATCTGCTCAGGGAGTCATAAGGCAAGGACACTGTAAAAGACGATGCTGGTCTCAAGCGTACATGGTCGTTGTTGCTCGCATTCGCCACCAGATCTCAACGCATTTCTCTCGGGCCAAGTTGCATGGAAAGTGCTAGGAGAATGTTGGGGGGTGATGAGGTAAGTACTGCCTCCTCAGGCTCTGCTGGTTTTGTTGTATGGGCACGACTGACTTGGGAGTTTAAATGTTCTGTGTCGTAGAGCGGAGCTCCACAATGTTGTTCTTTTGCTTCGCATTGCGCAGCAACCTTCTTCAATTCTCACATTCATTGGAATGTCCGAGTCCAAGCCATACTAGCCACTGGACATGGGACTACATTGACACTGACCCAAGTACGTGCGTCACCCTGAACCCAAACAAGTTTTACGTTGACCGCGAGCTAGAAATAGCATCATGCAACCTTGAAAGCTGCACATCGCTGAAAAAGGCGAGTATTGACATTATTAATGCCGTTGCCTGTGTGAAACTTTCCATTATAGGCGTACAATCATATTTAGGGTAGCTGCCCTTGCCGGGGATAGTACTACCAGTGCAAGGCCGTTAAATTGAGTGGAAGTTGTTTGAAGTCAAATACATCCCTAGTCTCCTCCCTTTCCCTCAATCTCTTTTCCCTTTACTCGTCGTTGAAGCTAATGTCACAGGTGGACGATATCCCGCAGCCCAAGGCATCCTCCCAGACCTCCGTGGCATCATCCATGGCGGTGCCGACGTCTGATAGTGCTCAACAAAGGCGCAAAATTGCTGAATTGGAGGAGAAACTGCAAGTGCTTGAGTCAGGGCATGGTGAAACAAAGGTATGAATGTCGACATTTATAATCATGTAGTTCTGCACGCTAACTGTTATCAGGGAAACAAACTACTTCATGTCTCAAGGACAAGCTATCAGGCGCATTGTTGCTCTATTTGATAGCATTGAAGACATGATAGCCGAGAACGATAGGCGGTGCAATCTCGAGAGTGATGACGACAATCTAACTCTTGTGTCAGTGTTTTACCTCTCCATCTCCTGAGCGTTACTCACTAGTTTGGTATCAGTCAGGATCGTCTGCAATTCGGTTATATAATCCTCAACAATACCCTTCCGTGGTTTCACAGAAAGGTTTCTGACATGGAATACAATGACTATATGCACATGTTAAAAAAGGTGTGTTTCGCCATTGTCGATGAGTACCTTGTAATGGATCTTCATTCAGCTTAGACACGGGGCCGACAGTGCTCGAGGGGATGATACCTCAAAGCTTAAGACTCTTATCCCAGATTGGGTCAATCGTGAGTGGAGGCCCGATCCCCCTGTCGACCTCGAAGACAAACACTGCTGTGGATTTGCCCACGACATGTGCGGTAGATTGCTCTGTCCAACTGAGCTAGACTGGAATGATCCAACGTTAGTATCACACTTATGACATCTCACGACACTAATCATTCACCAGTATCAGAGCAGGAATCTGGGACTGCACGGACGGCTATGTCGTGACAGAAATGTCTTGGCCAGTGTTCCTTTATGCAGGATATACTGCCGATCAGAACAATCTCAAGGAAGGTCTGTTCAAAAGCAAGCTTTTAGTTCAGGTTTGTCGTACATAGATAGCTTCACAAAGACCTCACTTGTTGCAGGCATTCAAGGATATCTTTACATCCCCCTCCTCAGCAAAGGACATTTCCGGCGATGGTGATGGTGCTAACATCATCGAAAATAACAGACGTGCGAAAAAGGATCCCTTGGGCAAGAAAGTCAAAACACATGTGGCGCAAATCATCAAGATGAATAAAGTGTCAGCCCGCTCGATTGTGTATGTATCGTGTCAAGTAAGTGGTCAATTTTTTGTGTCCTTACGAGGTACTAACAAATTATGTAGTTGCGATTCGCACTTTCATCAGTGACTTCGTGGCAATCAATAGATGGTGATTTTGATTACACACAGTTCTGGTTCAACATTGTAGACTTTTTTGAATGCCCTCCTGGCCGAGTAGCGCAGCGCAACATTGACCGGTTGCTTACATGGTGGACAAGGTATATTATTTTCAATACTTTCAATTTGACAACCGTTGACTGTTTATTAGGAAAGTCTTTGGTACCAGTCATCGTACAGAACTTAGTGATGCGGCAAAAGGCAAGATGTCCGTCAATGCTCTCGCGATGCAGAGGGCGCGACTGGATGATGCACAGTTCAATTCCAAGTAGTTTACCCCTTCGGCCAGTTATTCTTACAATAGATAGCAACCTGCCCAATATAATGTCGATTTGCATTTACCACTTGCTTGTTTGATGTGTGAAGACCTACGATATTGGTGTTCGTACCATGAGAAAACAACACATAGGGTCCTATGTACCTCTCTTGACATGTTGTTAATGTATCTGCATAATACACGTATGTGTTTAGTAGGCTGCATGAGGAAATCTAGCGTGATAATTGGAAAAGCCAGGATATTATCTCCTTCTATGTACACGTTAACAATCACAAGGAGGCTGACAGGTGACGGCGATCTTAGAACATATCAAATTAGTAGCCCAATTCACGAGACATGGACAAATCATCATATTCTCTCAGTCTGGTACAGGTCAGTGATTGCTCAGGCAGAGCAAAATGACATCGGTAGAAACCTGATATTACCCAACAGCAGCTTTGTCATTAGATGAGGAAGCTAAGCCACTCGTCTCGTGAGGTGCAAAAAGTGCAATGGTTTTGATGGGTGGTGTGATATATGATATACTCGACGAGTGATCAATAAGGGCTTGAAGTAATATATGCCCCACTACTATATTGTTTTAGTCTATGCAGGCGTCAACAATTGCTGAAGCAAAATGTAACTATACCAATTATTGTAGACAATAGCACAACTTCAGTCATAAATACTTGATTTCACCCATTAACACCTTGATGATTGGATGGGGGGCGGCTGTCACCAGGGTCCCAAATTCACTTACATGGCACTACACAGCATTTTCGCAAAACCTTGGACTGCTGTGAGACGCGTGGCAAATGAATACAACTGCTAGTCGTTGGGTATTCATACGATTCGCGTGACAATTTGAAGTGAGCTGTACGTTGTATATGTTTGCTTGATGGACACATTCCAGCTGCGATACGAAAGTGGCACTTCTTTGCACAAATTCGCAATTGATATATAGTAGACAAACATGAACAATTTAAAGAAGGTGGCATTAAAATTCGCACAAGGGCATCAGTTTGCACTTCGTAAACACTTCATGGTACTCTGCAAAACACGAGTTTTTGGTCTGGCTTGGGACGTTGCACGATACTCGAAGAAAATCAACTTTTTGGAGAAGAGGGCGTCAAAATTAGCGCGAGAATATTAATTTAAACTTGTGCACTTGGTAAACACCTTGTAGTTATCTGGAAGATTAAGGCCTTCATGCCTGACTTTGACACGATGAAATTCACTTCTGAGGTGCCGATAGTGTCTCATGCAGTTCGACCCTTTGATTTTACTTCATATCACTTTCAAGTTAGAATTCCAGCGATATGTAGGTGTTCTCCCGATCAAACACTGGTGTAGGAAATTTATGCATTGTCCTTTCCTGTATAAAGTCAAACATCACTATGTGATGATGGATAGCAGAATTATACAGATGTTTGTGATTGTGTACTATGTATCGTCATATATACTCTTATCATCTTTCCTCCAGTTCACTGATGAATATGTGCAGGGCTGAGAGCACGTCCTTTATTTTCATCGCTACAAGCAATAGTATAAGTATTACAACGTAAAGGTTCTGCAATCGGCGTGGTGACGCACCCTAAAACACTTTTCGGTTCTCTGTGATATTATTCCTAAGGCTGGTGCACATGCAGTTGAAGTTGATGGCAGAATGTACGAATAACAGGGTTGATTAATGACCTGCATGGTTTGCTCTTCCTGTAGAAATTCCGCATGACTGCAATCCTAACATGTCACGGTAACCCTCGATAACTTCAAGTTAAGCTGGTCGTGGACGGTGAAGGTTCAATGATACAGCGAGGCACGAACAATGCTCCTGACTGTATCTATAAATGTTGTAAGGTCACATGTTGCCTAGTCTGCTATACTTGAGACGACAAGTGCGTTCGACCCTAAAGGGGAAGCGAGTGCAGCAAGGATCTAGTAGTAGGCGCCAAAGGCGCTACTGGTTGGCAAATGCGAAGCGTGGGAAAGCGCAGGTGCGCACAAGGTGCGAGAATGCGCGAAGTGCGGGAATGCGTGCGCGTGTATGCGGAAACAAGAGAGAGTAAGAGTGAGTTTGCTGAGGTGATGATTAGACACTAGACAAGAGGTGAGAGATGCAAGCTGAGAGATGTTATATGCGAGGTGCCAAGGAATAGATTTCAACTATGCTCTGTTGGGTAGTAAATGGGTATTGTTGTGGTTCGGTGGGTGAGTAAGTCAGTGATAGTATGTACTGCTGGTGCTTAAGTATGGCGCCTAAGCGCTGTCATGCGGAGCTGAAGCGCTGCCAAGTAAGGTATGTAAAGATATATGTAAGTAAGGGTCCATGATAAAAATAAAGATGGAACAATATGCAAATGTGAGAAATGGAAATATACGCACTAGGGAACTTGGTGGACAGTGGATGGATGCTTCCGGATGGCTGGCGCTATAGGGCGCTACAGCACGGGAAAGCGCGCGCGCATATACATCGTGAAGCGTGGGAAAGGTACGCGCGCATGGCGCGCATTGCGCGGGAAAGCTGCGCCTCATATAGAGATAGCTGCAGGTAGCACACAGAGTGATGCTACAAGTTCGTGCCATGTACTCCCCAGTGAAAACTGCCATATTGCACAATGAGAGGCATGAGTCTCTACACCGAGTATGCCTGTCGCCTACGGAGGTCCAAAGTATTAATGTATGACTCTCGACATCACTCGTACATATTCATCCTTTTCTTTTACATACGCAAATCCTTGGTACACGCTTCATACTCATGTTCACCTTTTATTTGGCGTCTCAATCAGCGTATAAATTCCTGTTCACAAAAATGATCACCCATCGAAGACTGAGGTGAGCTCTCTTGTTCACGGTTCTACGGACACTTTGCTGACTATTACCCTACCTAGTCCCATTCCTGTTCCCAGTCCGAGCCTCTCTTCATTGGGGACAGAGTATGACATCCCAGGAGACAAACACACAAACGCATATGTCGGGTTCAAAATCGTCAAATGAACCTGTCAAGCTCGATATAGAGCATGCAGTGGTTGAAGACGATCCTCGAATATGGTCAAACACGAAAAAGGTGTGTCCTTCCCTCTTGATTCGTAACTACAGGCTAATAGATCACATCATACAGAACGTTGTATTGTTCATCATATCTGGAGCATCGATCATCGCGGGTTTGTGCGCGAATATTCAAAACCGTGAGTTGTTTCTTTAATACCATGGCAATATCAGCTGAACAGCCAGGACAGCCACCAATGCACAAATCGAGCAACAGCTACACACCAGTAGTGGGGACATCAGCCTGAGTTTGTCTCTTTACATTCTCGCTCAAGGCATTCTTCCTATGATTTGGAGCGCAATCAGCGAGATAAAGGGCTGCAAGGTTTGGATTTCTGTGTCTTGAGTGTCACTTGTTAATATCACCGAGCTCAGACAGTGTACCTTTTCTCCTTAGTACTGTTTACACTCGGATCGGCGATCGTGGCCATATTCAGAACCATTGGTTTTGTGATTGGTATGTGTATTATACAAGGAACAGGGTAGGGTAGCCCCTCAGTCCCTCAAATTCTTGCTCACATGGACTAGGGCAAGCGCGGTTCTCGCTATTGGAGCTGCCACTCTGGCCGGCATATATGAGCCGCATCAACGAGGAGAAATGATGGGTGTCTTCTATGCTGCACCTCTTCTTGGACCCTTGTTTGGGTCAATTATCGGTGGTGCACTCACACAGGGCCTCATCTGGCGGGCGGTTTTCTGGTTCCTAACCATCTGGGGAGGTATAATATTTTCGGCATTCCTTTTCTTGTTCAAGGATACCTTCCAGAAGGAAAGGAGTATGGCATACCAGAATGTATTGAAAAGGAGGCTCCGAGAGCAACAGTTGTCAGAGGCAATGGACGACTCGCAAAATATCTCAAAGAAGGAATCACAAGTGAATGACAAAGATCAGACAAGTTCGAACGACATTGAAGCACAGCCGATGGTCATACCAGCATCAACTATTGGAGAAGTATAGCTGTTCATTGCTGATGTCAACCCTTTCCCTCCATACCTATCGGTCATTAGCCGTAAGAACAACATTGCTATCTTGATAGCATCAGGTGAGTCTCAGTGGTTATTGCTGGAGCTGTTTCAATGAAATTCAATGCCATCTTGCGCCAGGTTTCATTTTTGCATTTGGCTTTAGCATTACGTATACATGTGCAAGAACATTGTCAATGCTAGTGATGTGCGGGCCCGGCTCAGCCTGAAAGCCCCAGCTTGGGCTCGGCTTTTGGGGGCTTGGGCTTTGCAAAACCTCAGGCCAAGCTGTGGGCCAAAGCCAGGCCAAAGCCACGGCTCGGCTTGGGCTCAATGACGGCTTTCAAAAACAAAATGACTCGAAATTCAATATAAGTAGCGCTCGAGTCCTACAGTACTTCATCGTCGTCTGCTGAATCAACATCAGACTCTTCCTCCTCCAAAATCAGTGTATCCCACCCCTCATCATCTGCTGGCTCGACTTCTAACCCGCCAGTCCCATGTTTGGAATCTTCACTTTCTTCTGTAAGGGATGAGGGACCAGGCTCCCGGAATATAAGTTCGTTACGAAGAGAACACTTTATGCATTGTAGAGCCTCAACGATGTCTCCTTTCAGCCGATTACGCCGCTTGGTGATCGTGATGCCTCCTTGCGAGAAAGCTCGCTCACTCGAGACAGATGCTGCCATAATGGATAAGTAATCCCTTGCCAGCGAAGCCCACACTGGATACCTTAGGGCATTGATCTTAAAACAATAGTCAGCATCGAGTGAGTAGCGAGTGAAAGTGACTTACACCCCACCACTGAATAGTGGTCATACCTGCCGGGGGAGCGGCCTCAATGGTTTCGATATAGCTTGTGAACTCAGCCCTCCATGGTTTTGATGGATCCCCGATGGACGCGGCACCTGGTTCTGCCTCGGAGTCGTCTTTGGAGTCACTCTGAACTTCCCGAATGAGTTTCTTGAGGCCGCCAACCTTACTTTTTGTAGTTGCAGGCTGTGACAATGCAAGTGACTGATTGAGCTCGTTGTAGCATTGTTCGAAGACGTTCTCAGCACAAGCAAGCACATCATCGAGCAAATTCGATGGCCAGTGCTTTTTGAAGTATGCGAGTTTGGCTGTCGGATCAAGTACTAGTATGGTAGAGTATGTTAGAGTCAGAATGATTGGAATAGAAAATGACGAACACATGGCAATAACATAGGCAGCAGTGTCTGTAGTTTTCTCATAATATACATCTAGCTTCTCTGCTGCTGCCTTGAGTGCGCCGGCAAACCAAATATACTTGGGCCTTTCTGCTCGTGAAGACCATGATTTGTGAAGCGTCTCCAGTGCAGGAATTGCAAGATGGAGAGTTGATCCTTGATCAGACAAGAAAGCTTGCTGTGCCACATCGGCATATGAAAGAAGGTCTGTGAACTGGCCAACCCGTGTCCACTCCGCAGATGTCAATTGCAAAAAGTTGATTTTGGCATGCTTCAATAAATTTTGCTCTTGGTGTCCCATTTCATACACGAACGTATCGACATGCTGTAATGGCAAGTCAGAGTGAGAACAAAAAGGTGTGGTGGTGTATCATACCTGCTTGTTGCAATCGGCACGATTAAGCATAATGTAAGTTGAAGACCAGCGGACCTTCATATCAATTAGTAGTTGTGTTGGCAAAGAGACACCTGCTTTCGTCTGAACAGTGTTTCGCCGAGGAACGTTCTTTGACACAGATACTGCGGACCAGACCAATCTCGTCACGATTGACCCTCTGAGCTAGATCCGGTTCGTGAGCATGCGGGTTATGGGGGTCGTAGTGGGGTGCCTTGCTATAGGTACTGATGAGTCGTTGCGTGCCGAGATTAATAACATGCACTAAACAACTGTCAGGGTTGTTAGCAGTTCCATCAACCAAATTGAAAAGACTTACTTTATCTTGCGTTGACGCCATGGGAAATCTTTGTGGTACTTCGCCTCATACAACTTCGAGAATTCCTGCAGCATGGTACTATTGTTTGCTGCATTGTCGCATGTGACGTGGCCGATCTAGGTCAAGATATAAGCACAGTCATTGAGGAGGTGGAATTTTTACTGACTTTGTGTGCGACACCGACATGATCAAGCACCTTGAATAATGCACCCCCTAGGCGCTGGCCATTATGGGCATTATTGAGCCAAGTAAAGCCAAGTAATGCATTCCCAGGTACCCATTGCATCGGATCGTTTTCTTCAATCCAGTGTCCAGTGACAGCAAAATAACCATCCAAGTTATCGGCCTGCCACACGTCACACGTGATATTGATTGCACCGCTGACGGATTGGCTTTAAAATCGTGTCAGATAAGAGCAGATACTGTGAAGAATGGTACATACATTCAATTTCTTCTTGAGTTTGGTCAAATGGTTCTTGAAAACACGTATGATTTCAGCACGCGTGGCCTTTTGGCCTGGAATCTTGACACCCTGTGTAGCACACGAGGCAACATCTATCATTTCTTTGAACTTAGGGTGCTCAAGAGCCTGTATGGGCTAAATTCTGTTAGTTTACAGCCGACAATATCAATATGAATGAGTCTTACCTGATCTGTGGCGACAAGCCACTCAATTGCAGCTTTTCTAAAATTCTGGTGGGTGTAAGGGATGGCGCGCTCCGACAATTTGCACTCAGTCAAGTGCACATCAATCATTTGCTGTGCTTGTGCGGCTTTCTTTTTCTTGGCTGTGATGTCACCCGGCAATTTAGATGTGAAGGTGTTGGCCTTGGCCCATGTACGGTATGTTCCCTATGGACATTTAGATCTAGTACATCAACAAATAAATAAATGAGAACATACAGCGAATTTGGCTTCTGCATGACGGCGGAGGGTTGACATCTCGTTTAAAATGGTACATTGAGCCCTAAGATATGTAGTGTTAGTGATGTAAAGACATATGCAAATGATGTGACAACGTATGGACAAACTTTGCACTTTCGATGTCTTTTGACCTTGCCGTTAGTGTGAGTGCACTCCAATGGTTGACTGAAGAATTGGTCGATGTCGTGAGTTTTATCCTCGCATGTGGGAGATTCATCGATGATGGGCTGGACATCAATATCTGCAAGAATACCGTTGTAGAGACTCATGCCTCTCATTGTGCAATATGGCAGTTTTCACTGGGGAGTACATGGCACGAACTTGTAGCATCACTCTGTGTGCTACCTGCAGCTATCTCTATATGAGGCGCAGCTTTCCCGCGCAATGCGCGCCATGCGCGCGTACCTTTCCCACGCTTCACGATGTATATGCGCGCGCGCTTTCCTGCGCTTGAGTGCCCTATAGCGCCAGCCATCCGGAAGCATCCATCCACTGTCCACCAAGTTCCCTAGTGCGTATATTTCCATTTCTCACATTTGCTTATCGTTCCATCTTTATTTTTATCATGGACCCTTACTTACATATATCTTTACATACCTTACTCGGTAGCGCTTCGGCTCCACATGACAGCGCTTAGGCGCCATACTTAAGCACCAGCAGTACATACTATGACTGACTCACTTACTCTCCCACCAGAACGACAGAGGACTTACTGGTTACTACCCACTATTCACCTAGCAGAACATAGTAGAAATCTATTTGTTTACACCTCGCATCTCTCTTCTCTTGTCTTACATCATATCATCACTTAAGCAAACTCACTCTTACTCTCTCTCATATCTGTATACACGTGCACGCTTTCCCACGCTTCGCGCCATACACGCGCGCATTCCCGCGCCTTGCGCGCACCTGCGCTTTCTCGCGCTTCACATTGGCCAACCAGTAGCGCTTTCAGCGCATACCTCTAGATCCTTGCTGCATTCGCTCCCCCTTTAGGGTCGAACGCACTTGTCGTCTCAAGTATAGCAGACTAGGCAATGCGCGACCTTACAACATTTATAGATACAGTCAGGAGCATTGTTCGTGCCTCGCTGTATCGTTGAACCTTCACCGTCTTCGTCAACAACTTCTTGAGCTTTAGCAGCTTTCTTGCGACGGACTCATTTGCCTGACGACGCTAGGTCAGGAAGGTACATTATCTTGCAGATAGACTTACACTTTGGATTCGTCCGTGCATCTTCGTGTTCGTCATCACCGGATATCTCATCTTCATTGATTTCTTCGACATGTGCCCTTTTGCTGGTGGTTTCAGGTGCGATGGTGTCGACATTCGGTGCAGGAGCAGACGGGATGGGTGCTTGTGGTGGTTCGGTGGCTGGAGGATGGGTGTCATCGGTGGTGCGCTTCAATGCCTCTGCAGCACGAAAGGTGTTGATGGCTCTTGTTTGAGAAGGGAGAGCTGCCTTCTCGGAGTGCTCCAGGAGTGCAGCAGTCGGTTTGACTTTGCGCACTGGATGCACTACACGTGGCTCATCATCACTGTCTGTATGGACCATTCCGACCATTAGATTTTTTCAAGTTAGAGCAAGGGTAGCGACGTACCAGTACCATAGCCATGAATACCTTTTATCCCACTACAAAGGATCAAGATCGTGATGAAAAAGTATACTTCGAACACAAAGCAACATGAAACAGAGTAACATCGACGGTGCAAAGCACAAAGATGGGCAACTCACCTGGGTTTCTGACATATGAAGTGTTTGTTGGATTTGCAGAAGAGACTAGAGTAGTAATGGTTAGACAGATTTAGATATAGTAAATAAACTCGTACCTGATGTCCGGATGTCCATGGAAGTCTGTAACAGACGATTCGACTCCCTAAAGTAAGGACACATGGATGTCGATGATGGATGCGCAGGGACTAAAGCCGCGGCCTGAGCCGCCGGCTCAGGCTTCTCAACACGTCAAGCCGGGCCCTGGGCCGTGGTCAGGCCCTGACTTGGGCCCGGCTCGGCTCGGCCTAATCAGGCTCGGCTTGGGCCGGCCCACGGCCTGAAGCCGGGCCGTGCACATCACTAGTCAATGCATTATAATTACGATGCTTTGAAGATCGGCCTCGTCTTAATTGCCTATGGTATTGGTATGCAAATTACGAGCAAACCGCGAGTACCTCCTTGACGCATCTATCCCAGGCTCTATATCCGGCAGCATGTTAGGTGGACGTTGGTCCGATCGGACACTTGCTCGACTAAAGGCAACGAACGGAGGGATCAGCTTTCCAGAGGTGACCCATTATCTTCAGCTCAACCTGTCACCACTTTTGACGCAAATCCGTACAGATACGCCTCGAGAGTGCAAAAGTCGCCATGGTGTGGTTACCTCTTTCCGTGATTGGATACGCTTGGGTGTGCCAAGAACGGGTCAACATCGCTGCGATGTGCGTGATGCTCTTCCTCGCAGGATTTTTATCCATGTATGTATCTTTCGTGTCACACCGTCTTTTGCTCCCATCCGTGATAGATGGATCTACGCGAGCACGCTGGCATATATTGTCGACGCAAACACTGGTCGCTCATCGACGGCAGTAGCGGCCAACACTTCTTTCCGTGGTCTGTCTGCTTTTGTTGCTACTGAAATTGCTGTGCCTCTACAAGTGAGTCGATGACACGATTGCTTGCGGAATATCGGATCTGAGGTTGGTTTAGGATAGTATTGGTGACGGTGGTTTGTATACCCTCTGGGCGGGGCTGATGGTCATTACTAATTGTATCATCTTATTGGTATTGTATAAAGGCAGGAAGTGGAGAGAAGCTAGTGCTGAGCGGGAGAAGCGGAAGCTGGATGGCAAGTAAATGATCATCATGGCTTTTGAAGTCTCGATAGTAAACCATAGGTGAGTATAGATGATACTAACTATAACGTTACTGTTTCACTGGCAGTGTAGAATTAAGGCTCGTTTGCCGTCAATTCAAGTTGCACAACATATGATCGGTGTGAGTCGACTGTTATCGATATCGGATTCATTAATACAGCAACTGCCAGCGACGTTGTTAGCGTTCGAGTTGACGAGCCATTTTATGGTCGTCCACACAGCAGTATTGAAATCTAGATCTGATCCTCGGGTCGGGCTTGGTCCAATGATGTCAAACTTCCTAGAAACCACCACGAGGCTATTCCCAAAGCTCACAAATATAATATTGACTCGTAAAGGTGAATGCTACGAACCCGAAGGCCCAAAAGCTTCAAGATGGCTCATTTGTACACTCCTTGTAGTATATTTTGAACGAGCAATTCAATGATACCATTGGACAACTGATCGATTTGTAAACCTCTCTTCATATATACTTCGCGATGGAAAATACACAAACGACGTGAAAGAAAAATATCAATGCGAAATAACAGGACAGCAAGACATCCGGTGCATAAATTCGACAGTCTCAAACCCGGGACCCGAATTGTGCCTTTGTGCGCAGGTCAGGTGATGAATACACGAAAATCATTGAGCACACACCTGCGCAAGTTTCTGCCCTTCGGATAACACAAGGAGGCAGGACCGCAATCCCTTCAAGCACCACTGAATTTCAAGCCAGGAGAGGAGGTGGCGATCCCAGAAGTGCTTGAATGTATGGTTGAGCTTGTCGTCCATTGAACTCAGAGATCATGAGAAATGAAAGACCCAGTTTTGGCATGCGTACTTCAGGGCGTCTGAAGATGATTCACTTCGCTCCCGTGCTGAGGTTGCGAAAATTGTGAACGCGGTCATAGCACGGATGACCTCGAAGTCTGGACAATCTTGTAGGGATGCAGAGGTGGAATTATCTTTGGGCCTTAAGGCCAGGAATGCCGGAAACATCAAGAAATCTGGTAAGCTCTTGAACTCCTGGATTGCTTGAAAAGCTGGTGGTAAATTCAATTGTCGGATAATTGCGCACTCGTTGATTGTTTCCATCGTCTTCGAGAAGTCTTCCATCGTCACCCAGACAGACGCCGCAGAGGTCAGCTGCCATGCTTGCCCATGGTATGTCTTGAGCCACCCTCGTCCGCTCTGGGTCTGCAGCCACTCTCGTCCGCCCATGGTCTGCAGCCACATTCGCCCACTTCGGGTCAGCAGCCACGTTGTCCCTCTTTTTGTCTGTAACCATTCTTGACCATGTTCAGTCTGCAGTCCAACTGGGGTCTGCAGCCACTTTTGTCCGACCGGTGTATGCAGCCATTTTTGCCCTCCTGGGGTCAGGAGCCATTCTTGCACGCCCTTGGCGGGAAACCACTCTCGCCTCTGGAACAGGAACCGCGCTTGCACGCTCTTGGGGAGTAACCACTCTCGCCCACTCTGGGTCGGGGACCACTTTTGCGTGCTCTGGGCGAGCAACCACTCTCCCCCGGGAGAGGTGTCCAGCCATGCATGACCGATTGGAGTCTGCAATTTATTTAGGTGTATGAGGCGCTCACTCTGAGTCTCCGGCAACACCCTCCCGGTCGACATCTTCAGCCACTTCTCCCCACTCGGTGTCTTCAGCCGGCACCTTCCGTTCGGTATCTTCAGCCAGTCCCTCCCGCTCGGTGTCATCAACCAGTCCCTACCGCTCGGTGTCTCCAGCCAGTCCCTCCCGCTTAGTATCTCCAGCCACTCTCTCCCGCTCGGTGTCTCCAGCCAGTCCCTCCCGCTCGGTGTCTCCAGCCAGTCCCTCCCGCTCGGTGTCTTCAGCCAGCCCCTCCTGCTCGGTGCCTTCAGCCACTCCCTCCCGCTCGGTATCTTCAGCCACTCCCTCCCGCTCGGTGTTTTTAGCCACTTCCTCCCGCTCGATGTCTCCAACCACTCTCCTCCAGTCTGAGTCCGCAGCCACGCACGTCCATCCAAAGTCCCTAGCCAGGACTCCAGACCAGACCCACGAGCTCCCCGAAGCCATAACAGGCCCATGAGAACCTGCAGCGGCTCAGGTGGCTTGACGATGAAGGCTAACGATTGTTGCAAGTTCCTGGGGTCTTGGGGTTGCATAGCCTGATTCTGCGACTTCAATTCTAAGAGCGCATCCATGAAAGTAGTGCGTTCTGGGATGTCTTGGATCATCAAGCGGAAAGAGGAATAAGCGAGTAGGGAATGCGGTGCTGTGATGGGTTGTAATCCAGGCAGGCTGCAGTGTGAGAAGTCTGAAACATAGTCCCGAATGGACGAATGGTAGATATTCACAGGATGGCTGCTGTCAGTGGGAATATCCATGAAAGACCGTAGTTGTACAAGTGCGGTCGTGACATCACTGCCCTGACCTGGGCCAAGGAGCTTCGAGATCTGTGAGATCGGCAGAGGGTCTGCAAGGGCAGCAACAATAGACAAGTACTGGTATGCCCTGCTGGGGTCCGAACAGGTGGCAAGGATACGGTTGTATAACTCATACACTTCTGTCCCAGGCAGCAGTTCATTGGTTAGCTCGAGCATGAGCTCAAGGCGATCCCGGGGGTCATTGTATCCGTCGTCGACAAACTTCATCATTGTAGATGCCACAATGAAACGTCTGCCAGCTCGGTTCGCCAGCCGTGTAAGTTTATCCGCAGCGAGCTGAGGGAAATCAGGATGGCGACTTTGCAACTCCGTGAAGGAATGCTGTAAGAAGATATAGATGTCATTGTCAACATCTTCGCCGTCTAACGAAATGGTACGGGAAATGCCCTCCCCAGAAGTATTCACCGGTATCTCGTATACCAGTGCGCGCACTTTTTGAATGGCTTTACGGATATGCTCCTCCAAGCGACTCGTGAGCAGAATGTGGATCACGGGAAGTTCAGGATCACGAAGAGCTTCCCCGAGGAGGGAAATGAGGTCGGCGACGGTTTCAGGTTTGCATTCATCGAGGGCATCGATGACAAAGACTGGAGGTGGACAGCCGCGTAACCTGAGTTGCAGGTGCAAGAGAGGTTGGCGAAATAACGCCTTCATCTGGTCGCGAAGAGACTTGCTGGAGTCTAGAACTGCAGGATTCTCGCGGACAGCTCTGTTCACGTCGTTCCTGACGCTGGGAAAATTGCTCGCAAGCTGGTAAGCAAGTGTTGCAAAGAATTGACCGGTCGTGCTGCGTTTCGTGTGCTTGCGCGAGAAAAAGAATGTCCCCGCGAGCCTTGTTTCGATTTTCGTATTCGGTGTTATTTTCAGACTTTTCATTCTTTCAGCTACAGTGAATGCCACGGCAGACTTTCCGACGCCTGCCGTGCCATGCAGCCAAATGATTTGACTCTTCTCTCGCTTGTCCAACAATCCATGGATGAGTTTGAGAAGGTCCACTCGGGTCCCTTCCAAACATTTCGGATGGGGCTGGCGTTCAGGGGAGTCATATTCAGCGCCCAGGACAGCGACCTGGGACAGCTTCTCCCAAGTTCCTTCGGCCATTGCTAGAAGTTCGTCAAGGACTGTCAGTCATGTCAGAGAGCTAGAGAGGTAAAGAGGGAAGAATATATTTACATCAATTCCAGTCACTTATCAACGGATAATGATGATAGAATGTGACACAAAACGGGGAGTTCGAAAGCTGGAACTGCGTTTGAAATCGAAAGGGTTAATTAGCGAAACGATCGAGTAATGGATATGTCAACGTTTAGAAAAGATGTTTGGAGTAGTAGGATGGACGATGACTCTGGTTGCAATTCTATTCAAAGCTTGAAAGCTTGATGGGTGGTGGTTGCATGCAGTCAGGTTAAAAGTACAAGCGCGCGGATGTCTGGCTGCAGGTCCCAGCTGCCAGAAAGGCACGAGGCTGCACAGGAAGTTACCAAAATCCGACTCGGAAAGTTGGATGTTGAATTATGAACCATACACGTACCGCATCCGACTCGAACACCATATGGAGTCCATGTGCATGATCATATCGACTTTCGCTGTTTTATAATTTAACCATCAGTGAACAGAGTTCAACAGACAGAACATGCACGAAATACCGCCAGTACCGGGTGCAATTGCATCCATTACGTCATGCTGTGTTCGTGTCGATGTCTTTCCATTTGGTCCGCTTCCGCTGAAGACGGAATCTATCTATTGGTGCGCAACATCACACGTTCTCGAAGACGCTGAGACCTGTCTACAACGTGCATCAACAAAAACGGGAAGTGCAACTTAGCACCACGTAGGCTATATTAATCGTTATCAGCAGGTTTCGACCTTGAACGTTAACACCTGTTGAAAAATTTCATCCAGGTTATGGTGCGCAGGGTAGAACAAGTCTATCTTTGCAGCTCAGCGATCATACACAACCTTTCCTCTACCAAAATTACAATGATGTGAAAATTGCTCGGAGGTCGTCTTTCCGCTGGAAGTTGCCCCAGACTCGTATGAATGGTAAATGAACAAGACGAACTACGTTCGACAGCATGGCTGGTTGTGTGCCTGATGTGGATGTAGCTCCTCTGTTTGAAAAGAAAATTCCTTCAAAAAGCAAAGCAAGTACCTCTCACGAGAGAGGTACACAAGAGACCCAGCACCGGAACCAGCATAAACGCAGTCCATCTCCACATCCGGCAGCGGGTGATTGCTTGTCCCTTTTCAAAAGGGTCAATGCAGCAGCATCGTGAGTATGCATGTACCCTACCAGCATGACAGTAGGGAATTCCATCCTCCTTGTGTCCCCACCACATCACAGGCGACCACTCGTCTATGAGGTTGGCGAGCGTTTGGAGGTGGCCATATGCGGCTGTTGGAGACCACACGGTCGGTGCACTGCGACGAAATTGAAGACACAGGCAAATATAAGGAGCGCAATGCATAAGTTCCAGATCTGCAAGAATGTGTGAGAATGTGGTAGCGATTTGCATGGGCAGTAAGTGCGAACCTGGGTGGTGTACATGTATATCGGTATATATCTTATGTTCTCGTCAGTGGCTGAGACAGATGAAAGCCCAAACATCTAGTCTGTGATCGTCTGGGATAGTGTTCAATAACACTGACAGCAAAATACTAGGCGTGGATAACTCACGCAGGAAAGGCTTCGCGAGGAAAGGCACGAGACAGCGGATGAGTGAAAATCAGCTTCAGCAGGTCCGTTGCCACTCTAAGTCCTTTCTTTCCGGTAGCGCATCTCCACTGTGTTTCGTCTCGAATGTCATTCACGACGAGCTCCGATCAATGCAGCCCAAGCGTCAATGGTCCCTGAACGACTGCAATGTTGACAAAGAGCAGAATCCACCCCTCAAGACCAACACTTGGCATATGATACGTGATGTAATTCCACTGGCCGTTCTGAAGGAGTGGCCACGTTTGTAGGGTCAGCGGATTAGAGGAAACATACGAGTTGTGGAAGTAGTCCCAATATACATGACGAGTGCGGCCCATCCATCACGTAATGCAACGATCACCCAAAGAGAAATGACAACTTTCCGAATGCTAGGCTGAGCATGTCACACAGAGGGCTGTGTCTCCGTTGGCTTCATGAGACATCCATCTGTGTCTAGGTTAGACACGACTTGAACATGCCACTCCGACAAGGGCATATCTGCGACTCGTCAGACTGAGGTCGTAGAATCGGTTCTAGCATCGGCAGTGGACTTCGCATCAGATATTGTCGAGTCAAAGTTCTGGTGACCCAGAAGTGCGCTATATACAAGAAGGCTGGATGGATGTCAATTTTCTTCTGGCGGTTTGGAAGAAACTGCCATCATTATGGGAGGTAGAGACAAGAAAGCCAGCGCACTATAGACGCGCAGATTGAATATATTTCACTTATGACCACGGCGTTTCGTGATGGAAGAGTAGTTGTACGGCACGGTCACATTAATATGTATCCTGTGCACCGTTGATTTACATCGCATCGCAGTACTGAAAGTGCACGCAATGTCAGGATGGTGATCGATTGATCAGTCAAGGCTAACCTCTTTGTAATGTACTGCACACATATCCGTGCACGGGCTGGCTGCTGTCCGTTGATCAAGAGAAATAATAGTAAGAATGAGCTCGAGGTTGGCGTCCTGAAATGATAGAATTCTGATTGCTGAGTTTCAATCGAGGCGCGTTGTGCATGTGATGAGTGTGAGTGATGTGTGGCCTATTACACTAAGTGGGATTGACGTTAGTACGGACCGTCCTTAACGTTGAAACAACATATGCCGGGAGACCTGACTTGCAGACCAGGAGTACTTCTGTGAATCTCGATGATGTGACCGCCTGGCTGCGACTCTGGGAGCGTGGATATACATATAATGAATCAGAGCACGCTCGAATCCATGGCACGTTCGGATGACAAGCACTGGGAGATTCCAGTGACTAGCTATAGCAGTAAGTGTAATTGCATAATGCGCACTCACCGTTTGGGAACACTCCAGCAGTTGCCGCAGCGTCGGTGGCGCAGACGCCCGAATTTACCATTATTTGGAAATGAGTCACAGAAAACGTCCATGGCGTATACTGACCTTGCTTCGCAAGGTTATGTCTCTTCCTGCAGCTTTGGTTGACCAGAACATCTGTATTGTTTCATCGTTCACTCTTGAGAATGGGAGGATATTGCGGGAGGTCCCGGTCGGCTACAAGACTTGGGGCAAATTGAATGACGTTAGGGACAACGTTATGATCATTTGCCATGCATTCACTGGCAGCGCAGATGTAGAAGATTGGTGAGATCTTTTGACATTTCATTTCGGAAAAATTCTTATGTATTGCAGGTGGGGCCCTCTTATCGGACGCGGGAAGGCCTTCGACCCTAATCGATTTTTCATCTTCTGTGCTAATGTTATGGGCTCACCATATGGATCGGCTTCTCCTGTAACAACTAATCCAGCGACGGGAAAACCTTATGGCCCAGAATTCCCTCAGACAACGATACGCGATGACGTGCGGTGGGTAGTCTTCCAATATCCTGAATGGTTTCTGACCTGATTCATGCAGACTGCATAAATTTGTCCTTGATAATTTGGGAGTTTCCAACGTCGCTGTAGTCATTGGAGGCTCCATGGGTGGAATGGCCGTTCTTGAATGGCCTCTGTGCACCCCCCCAGGTTATGTCCGTCATATAATTCCTCTGGCCACGTCTGCGCGGCACTCTGCTTGGTGTATCAGTTGGGGAGAGGCACAACGCCAAAGCATCTATAGCGATCCGCTTTACGACGACGGGTACTACGACACACAACCTTCAACTGGTTTAGCTGCTGCACGAATGGCCGCACTTCTAACTTATCGATCGCGTGACTCTTTCGAGAGTCGCTTTGGACGTCGCCCTCAAGTAACTCCTGTCCCAAAGTCTAGCGCTGTCACACCTTCTTCTATTACACTTGCTGATAAGGATCTCGCTGCTCATAATGAGGGTCACAGAAATGCGATCCGCACACGCCCTCAAACTCAAACCTCAACCGCATCATCTCCACCTCATTCTCCAACAGAAGGGCCGAACGGCATGGAGCCTAACTCACCCCCTCCACTTTTTTCAGCGCAATCGTACTTGCGCTATCAGGGCGCCAAGTTCGTGGCGCGCTTTGACGCTAATTGTTACATCCATATCACCCGCAAGATGGATACGCATGATATCGCTCGAGGACGAACCTCCATTCTCCAAGACCCTCCATCACCGACGGCACAATCAACTGCTCTTGCCGCTGTCATTGCAACTCTCCCTCCGCGTGCATTGGTGATCAGCGTCGAAACAGACGGCTTGTTCACTCCTTCTGAACAAAAGGAGCTCGCAACACACATACCTGATGCTGAGCTTGTGGTCATCCCATCGCCTGATGGCCATGACGGCTTCCTCCTTGAATTCGAGCAAATCAACACGCATATACTTGGATTCCTCAGGAGGGAGTTTCCAGATTTATATGAGAGAGACGAGGAGGATATTCCTAAGGGGGACTTTACGATCAAGAAGACGAGCCTGTTTGGAGAGGCTGAGGCAGATATTACAAGGTGGTAGAGGTCGCGCAGCCGATTTATATGACATTCCGCCATATCTCTGGGTCTAGTGAGGAAGAAGATGAGGGCATGTCCACTCGCCCTAGATACCATCAATACAAGTCGAATACACGCATTAGATATCATGATTCATAGAAACCTTTGTGATCATACATGAATACGGCCATGATGCATGTGGGTGGGTCGTTTGAGATATGTATTTGTTTGTAACTTTAGTAGCCAATTTTATAATGCATTGGTTGGCAGTTCTTCAAGCTCAAGCGCTCAAGCTTTGACTAAACCTCGGCTTGAGTTCTCACATACATATTAATTATACACTCAGAAGTGGCTGTTTCTGTCCTGTCAATAACACCTCAAACATGGTTCTCTTGAGATTTGCACCGTCTCCTACTGGTGCTCTTCACCTCGGTGGACTCAGGACCGCTCTTTACAACCACCTGTTCGCCAAAAAACACGGAGGTAAATGGATTCTCAGAATAGAAGACACAGATGCGGTCAGTTTCATGCTTTCCTCCTCTCTGCAAAATCTCATCTGTGACCCAGGCGAGATATGTACCGACTGCGGTGGACGACATTAGGAATGCATTGGCATGGGCTGGTCTTCCGCATGACTTCGGTAAGCTGTATGTCACATTCTGGCTCAAAGCAATTCAAATAATCTTCCTCTAGGTCCTGGAATGGATGGTCCGCATGGGCCGTATTTCCAAGTCGGTGTCTCACAACCTGTTGCACGCCCCATATACTGAGCTCCACCAGTCAGAGCGGCTCGACCTTTATCATTCATATACACGCAGGCTCCTAGACGTCCGTCGTGTGCTCATTACTTCTCTCTTCTTTCTTTAACCATTGCCAATTCATAGTCTGGTCATGCATACCGGTGCTTTTGCTCTCCCGATAAACTTGCTGCTACTCGCGAGAAGCTTGCGCGCACAGGGTCAAATGCTACGTATGACAAGTCCTGCCTCCATCTCACGGAGGAAGAAGTTGCACGCAGAGTACGCGCTGGGGAGAAGTCCATCGTCAGACTGAATGTGAGTACATCTACTGTGCTGTTAATCCTCATGCTTAACAAGCGACAGGATGACAACCTCCCAGACCGTGCTTCACCCACCGATATCGTCTTCGGTCTCCTGAGGGATGCACATGCCTCACTTCCAACAGACCCTGTTCTTTTGAAATCTGATCTGTTCCCCACGTACCATTTGGCGTCTGTTGTTGATGACCATGAGATGGATATCACGCATGTTCTCCGTGGAGAGGTAGGTGTCCATACCTCCGTGATACGACGTCTTTAATTCCATGTATCCCAGGAATGGCTGCCTTCACTACCGCTGCACCTCGATCTGTATTCGTGTTTGGGTCTCGAACCCCCTCAGTTTGCGCATCTACCCATCCTCTTGAACCCGAATGGAACAAAGATGTCAAAGCGCAATGGAGATGTGTCTGTCTTAGATTTCATGGTACGTCACTTTCATTATCCACGAACTTTGATTTGAACGCCATTTTCTATAGCGCCGTGGTTGGGAACCGGAAGGTGTTCTAAATTGGCTTGCACTAGCTGGATGGGGAGTTCACCATGAAAATGGGCGCCCTTCCCCACCCGGAACGCCCTCGACTCAACCTCCCGACAGTACAACCCTCATGACGCTCCCAGAACTCATCGACCAAGTGCGTTGTCACTATTTCATGAGTTCTTGGCGTGTTCTACAACAGGTCTATTCTACAGTTTGATTTATCTTCCGTCACACATCGCAGGAATGTTCTTGATCCTGCAAAGCTTGCATATCTTAACAAACATCACCTCATGCGAAGCTGGCAGACCGAACAAGGTATTGCCTTCCAGGCAACACGAGTACATGATGTTGTCAAGGCTACTTTCCCTCACAGGTAGTCTGTTCATCTATTCATTTATGCCCTTGTTGACCCGGTATTTCTAGTCTATACACAAATGTGGAGTACATCACGCGTGTGATCAGCGTCTTGCAGGTGAGCATGCTTTACCTACTGGATGAGCGTACAGCTACAGTGCTTCCAGGGTCGCATAACAAATCTCCATGATGTTCCAACACTCGCTCCGTTCTTTTTCGTGGAACCGGATTATGAATTGCCCGAAGCGCGATCCGTGAAGCGAGGACTATCAGCTGATGACTACGGCAAGTCACACACTATCAGTAATCAGCATTACTGATTGCTTTGCGTCATTATAGACCATGTGGTGCGACGAGTTATCCTGCAACTCGAGTCTTCATCACCATCGACTCAATCTGATATTGCAGTTTTCTTGCACGATGCGTGCGAGAAAACAGGCCTCAAGTCCAAGGTCTTCATGACTGCTTTGAGGCACGCGCTATCTGGGATGAAAGCGGGACCTAGCCTTCCTGAGATTATCGATGTTCTTGGTACCGAACGGACAGCGGAAAGGCTGAAATTGGCGCTCTCAGCGCACAAAACTAGCAATTCGGAATAAATATAATCGAATATCTGATTGTCCATTTGCGCTACTTGTATACAGATGATATGTGAGTAGTATGCACAGGCTTGCTAAAATTACGGGACAAAGAGCTAAGAATCAAAGCGTTTCCCATCCTCCACTGTCGACCGTGCTCTCAAGTTTACGAGCAACAGCAGTTGGAATACCGTGGTTGAGCCACGTTTTGCGGACTTCTTCCCATCTAGCTGGGTGTATATATTGACGGCGACCACGTCTGTACGCCATAGTTTAGCATTCAATTGAAATTAACCGGCAGAACAGACTGACCTCATTGAGACATCGACCTCACCATGAACATCGAGGTAAGGGGACTGTGCAAATGTCCCGTTGTTGACGTATAAATAAAGTAGAGAGCATCGTTTCACGACGAAGTAAACACCGATAGCACCACCGCAACTGCAACCACAAGGAATCAGCGTCATGTCGTGGTATAACTTGGAGGACTCACTCTCGTGTATGCATATTACACTCCCCTCTAAGTCCTAACTCGTCTTGACAGCAGTGACTCGCCATACAGCATGTTACTCCGCAGATCAAACAGATTGCAGCATCCGTCGGAACGGTGTTGCATCGGTGACATTTCATCACCTTGTCTCGCTCACCAAAAAGGTTATCGAGGATAAGCGGCAGACGGGCGATGCCGTATACAGCTGCGTAGTCCAGTACGACGCCACAGTTGAGTTGCGAGGCAGCATGCGAGTGGCCATAGTGGGCGCACCATCCGGAGAGTGCGTTTTGAAGCGTATCTTGGTTTGGGAGGTCTGCCAAGGGAGGAATGCCAAGGGTAGCGAGTAGACGCTTGTACTCATTGACGTTAGAGGCACCTAGTAATGGAGTCGGGAATGTAAGCGGGACAACGGAGCGACACAGAATTGCTGCCCGTCTGAGGAATGGAAGAGTAAACGCGTAAAGCATCTTCTCGATGCGAGCTTCACCAAACGCATCAAAGACTAGCGTAGCAGTGTGCTCGAAGACGGGTGAATGTCGCACGACCGACATGAAGAACATACGGACATCACCGAAGATATCAGCATGGGCACGAGCAGCGGGCTGCTGGAAAGCGCTGTACGTCCTAGCCTTGTTGAGGACATATACCATACCAATGACTGTGCGAGCCAAACAGGCATAGTAACACAAGATCAAGACATGCTGCAACATCTCGGGAGCCACTGCGGCGGTTTCGATGAGTACGGTGAATGGGTCGCGTAAGAGTAAGGGATACGAGAAGGAGGTCAGTGATGTTCGGCTCCACTCTGGGAGTAACCGTTTGATTATGGCTTGTTTGACTGACTCCCGGCCACCATCTGGCCGACCGTCCAGTTCAAGAGCGGATAGTCTTGTCAAGCTGGCAAGTAACCCGCGGATCATTCTACTTTGTGTATCCGATAATGACAGCGAATCCGCCACAATGCCTCCGGAGGAGTCAGTCCCACGAGCAGCAACCTCGATAGCGGAAATTGTGTATCCGACAAGGTCTTCCGGAAGATACATCCCTGCACCTCTTTCTCCTACTTCTGGTTCAGGTCGCTCGCGAAGATGACGTGTTTGTTGCGAGACCATTCTTGATGATAACATGAGGGTGTCGAGCATCTTCGTCGAGGCCACTGCTTCTGGTTTACGCACGGCTGCGCCATAACCAGGATCTTGCGCGCTCCAGAACACAAACTCGCCCGTCCCACTCCTGAACTGCAGACCATCCATGACGCTGTCTGGTTTTGACTTCAAGACGCTTATCCCCGCAGCTCGAATCCAGTCTGGGAAGGGGATGCGGCTCGCAGGAGAATTGTTGGGATGAAGAACGGGGAGAAGAACATTACCCAAGCTCTTACAAAGTGGGCAGATGTACTCCTTGCGCTGAATGTTTTCAGGATGGTTTCTCGTCGCGTGTGAGCGGTGCCGCTGGCGAACAGAGGAATTATAGACTTGGAAACAGTCGAGGTGCATCATGTGGCCACACACAGATGCGTGGAGCCCGAAACGAGTGTACTGTGCAGGGAAGCCATCGAAGTTGGGCGAGCTTGCGGTGTCGAGCTCCTCGGCATTGGTTGGGGGGAAAGTGGTGTCGCGCGGACTCGCTCGATCGAGCGACTGAGGCATTGTCATAAGCTCGTTGAGATATTGACTATGGCTGTCCGGGTGTTTCCTGAGCAACCGGCTGGGTTGTACGAGCCCTAGAGAGCCGAACGCTTTGGCCTCATTGAGATCTTCCTGGCAGACGATGCAAGTGCCATACGAGGAAAGTTCGTCAGATGTCTCATCCATATCCTGATCATTTTCCTCTTCCTCTTCCTCGAAATTGAGCGAGAAACTTGCTTGTTGAGCTTTCATCTCTGCCATAATGGCTTCTTGGCGTGCCTTAGCCGCACGCTTCTTGACACCCTCAACATCAGGTGCTGGGGCAGCGAGGCTCAGGACTTTGCGAGGAGGTTGCACCCCTTCCGGAACATGCTTGGAAATCTCTGTCAGAACCCAATCGATGCGGCTCTTGTAGGGTTTGTATTTTTCATCATGTTCCATGGCGCATATGATGTCGGCGAGTTTCTTTTCTTCTGCAAAGGGTTTGATAACAGAGACATGACTGAAAACAGAAGGTCGTTCTACGAGCGCTAGCATGATGAGCTGGAATGTTTGGTCGAGTATAGCTTCGGCGGAGGGTGGGGCCGTCCCCGCACTATTAGTGAGCGAAATCACGTTATATATGGCATAGAACATGACTTGAAGAAGCGCTTCAGACTCCAGGACGGACGGGAGTATCGAAAATGGGCCGGATGTGATGGTCAACGGCTTTGGGACGATGACTGGGTCTTTCACACCTGTCTTCTTCCGAAGTCTGTTCTTGAGGATGACCTCCACTTCCTCACGCTTATTCCGTGTGTAATGGAAGGTGAATGGATCCACCTCATCATAAGCCTCATCCTTGAGCTCATACACGCCAGTGTCAGATGTCGACTCAGGTGCGCGGAAGTGAGATACGTCCTTGAGGACGCGCTCGAAAGATACATCATCCACCATCCTCTCGGAGACGCGCTTGGCAAGATCGGTGAATGAACTTGGCCCCGCTGCGAGTGCGTGCACGATCTCGCGACGGATGGCACACTGAAATGGGAGCTTCGTGGCGCTGGCTCTCTCGCCAAGAATAGTTATAAGGACGTAGAGAAGCTCCTCGACCATGCTCAGTAAATGGGCGCCTTCATAAGGGGACTTCTCAACTTCACCACGGAAGAACGAGAGGAGGCCGAAACGGTCGAGGATGGAGACAATGATAATATTTGGATCGAGGATGATGAGAGATGACTGGAGGATGAACAGGTCTTGGTCGTAGCAGAGCTCGCGAAGCATGAAATCGCGGTAGTGCAGAAGCTGGCCACGGATAGGGAAGCCGTTGCGGACCCATAATCCTGCCCTGATCTGGGCAATCATAGCGAGCACTGTGAAACCACAGTTAGACAAGCTGCAATATTGATGAACACATTTTACCTCGCAAAGGGAAATCAATTAATGTGAGAATGGCACCCTCATTGAAGGGGCGCAAAAACAAGTCCCGGACGCCAGACACCCCAATCTCCTTCAATGACTCCTCTGACAAAATATCAACGTGCTTTAACAGATCTGCAAGGAGCCAGTGAAGGGAGTGATGAAAGCTGACCCATCCTTCCAGCACGTTGAAATCGACGATCTGATACTGTGCGTCACCAAATTCGACCTCGTGCAACATCGGCTTTGAAAACTTTTCCTTGTCAAGCCTATCTGTCGAGAGAGTGCACACAGCGAGAATCTCCCGCACGACAGTTGTGATCGCTCCTACAAGCTGCGTTGGGTTCGCAAATGCGAAGGCTTCACCGTAGACCTTGATGACACGGGAAAGGGAAAGTGTTACGTTGAACACACTGATCCACACATCCGTTTCATACTCGACATGACTCGAGGCAACGCGCTTGTTTGGGTTGATACACATGAAGACCTGGCATACCTTGACAAACTTGCGTATGAAGGCTGGGTTACGAGCGATGAGCTGTTGGACAGGCCGGTTGTGACAGAGATACCGGAGATCACTGAAGACGGGCATGAAGCGTTTGCTTCTGAATGGGGGGCTTTCAACGTCTATGTCTTGTTGGGCGGGAGCCGTGGTGAGGATGTGCTTGTCCGCAATGTGATTGGTGAAGAAGTTGACAATGATGTCGAGCAGACGTGTCATGAGATCGTGTTGAGAAACGATGTGCAGGGCAACGGATGGTGCAGTGAAAAGTTGGAGGGCGAAATACTTTATGGAAGTTTCTGCTTCACGGTCAACCAGAAGATAAGCGTCAGCGACACGGTGGTAGGTGCTGGCAAAGTGGGACGCTGCAATACGTCAAAATGTGCTTATGACAATGAGCAACGTTGTAGCATACCAATGGCAATTTTATGGGGATGCGAAAGTATCAAGATCGACGCATAAATTGCTTTCAAGTGTATCCGGGGCTTCTTCCACAGTCGAGTGTGATAGACGAATAACCAATCAATACGGCACGGACGTGCCAGATCTGCAGCAAGGTTTGGGACTTGGGGACCAGGAGTGAAGAACGTGTTCTCTCGCCGTCTCGGCGACAAAAGCTCGGCAGCGATGATTTCTTTGATTATCAGGGTATCCGCCCCCAGCCGGCTTCGAGTGAGATCAAGCAGCCACTCAATGATGACACAAGCAACCTGCTCGCGAAAGGTATCATATGCACGACGGATCGTGACACCGAGTTCAATTTTTGTCATCAAATGTGCTGCTTCAAGGAGCCGGGGGACGTCACCGTTGATGTCGATTATTTCCCGGCCCACATCGTCAATAGAGTATGCCATGATGCTTGCCGTCTTCCTATCATGGCCAGTGGTCTCGGATATAAGCTTGATGACCTCATCAAATGAGTGCTTGTCGTCGTTCCAAATGATGATGGCGTATTGGTCCTTTTGCATAGGATCTGCTGAGGGTTGCAATCGTAGGTCAGCCTCATTCGAAGG